TAGTTATCTTTGCGAGGCAACAAAAAATGGCATCAGAAACATGGTATTCATGTCGAAGCACGTGGTCAAAGCTCCACACATTCATAAAATTGATCATGTGACAATATTTACGGTATTTGCAGAAAGACAATGTGGTGTTTTGATTCCCTAAGAAATATCGGTGTATATGCAATTATCTCCCTGTAGGATGCTTCACATGATCGGTGCACTAACAATTTGCTCTCTCAGATATTTTAGACATGTAAATAATTTGTGATTATTTTTTTCCAAAATCGTAATTTGTAATAGCATAGTTTTAGGCTCAAAAGCGTAATTCTTGTGCCAAAAGTGTAATGGTTGGCATCTCTGCAAGGGTAGTCCCAGAGCTATCAAAACATTACCATGGAATTGGGATTCAGAATTTTACATTTCCATGTCAGCGACACATCAATATGAACAGTCAAAGTCACACATGTTGCCATGGAAATGGAAAATATACTCTGCAAATAATGCAAAAGGAGTAAATTTGTAAATATCTGACAGAGTGTTGTCGACATCCATAAGAAATTAATACCAAAAATAAATTGGTCATTTCTGCGTGGATTGGGATTGATTTATGTGGAAACAATGGGGTACTGCATAAATTTGGTGAAAAGAAGGAAAAATCGCAAAAAAACAACCATTTGAGAGCCTGGTGCTGAAACACACCGACATGACATGCACGTGCAACATCACTTGTTGGGCAATAAAAACGTTGGGTTTTCATTTGTATGCCATCACAATCTTACAGCAAGTGAACAGCAAAAACAAGCCACAACTGACGGAACCCAACGCAACGTCATCAGCTGACTGCAAAGAGGAGAATCATCTTCAGGTGTAACCAGGTTTTTCTACGTAGCTCCAAGCACCATAACAAGACTGCGGAACCGTTATCAGACACGTGGGATGTCTCCAGATCCGGTTAACCAGGTATCACTACTAGAGTGAGTATGGTTTTATGCCGCTTTTAGCAATATTCCAGCAATATCACGACGGGGGACACCGGAAATGGGCTTCACACATTGTACCCATGTCGGGAATCGAACCCGGGTCTTCGGCGTGATGAGCAAACGCTTTAACCACTAGGCTACCCAACCGCCCCTATCACTACTAGAGCACAGGACAGATTCATATGGCTACGTCACTTTCATGAAAGAACCACAACCGTCACCTATACAACTACAGCAGTACTAGGATTGCGTAGGATATCAGCCCAGACAGTGAGGAACTGTATGCACTGAAGGTATCTGTGCTAGACGACCAGTGCAAAGTGTCATTTTGACTGACCTGCATCGTCAGCTACGACGTCAATGGTCTCAAGGTCAGAGTATGGCAACAACTGCAATGGAGACAAGCTGGGTTTAGTGACGAGTCAAGTTGTATGAATTGGTGTGTGGATGGTTAACGTTGGGGTTTCAGGGGTTAACATTATGCACAAAACTCCATACAGGAAGTGCACAGATTTGGCGGTGTTGGTGTGATGATGTGGGCAACCATCTCCTACACTGGTAGAGAAGAGTTGGTGCAAGTTCTGGGGAATTATCGGCATAACGTTACACGGATGAGATTCTTGGGACAACGGTGCCGGTCAGTTTTGGACTTATATGGTGTACAAACAAGATGTTGAGAACAGATAACCTTCACCTTGAAAATCTACTGTTCCATGTGTGCCATATGGAACCTGGTTCAATGACAATAATGTGTGCCAATTTTGAAACAATCGAGTACCATATATATCTAAAATCACTTTTCCATTTAAAAAATCCCTAAATAGCAAAAGGCACCAGATGACAACCTGGTCTGTGTGTGCACAGTTTATAAAAGAATTCCTATTACTTTTATGATCCGGACAAACACACCACTAGTCCAAGTCAAACTTGTTGCTATGGAAACAGGAATTTTCTTCTCCAGTTTTTTAAATTCCTAAATAGCAAAAGGCACCACTTCAGCCCCTGATTAATACGTGCACCAAGTTTGGATGAAAATGTTTTTTTAGTTCTGCTCCAAAACAATACCTACTTCTGTTTCAGCTAATACTAACTTGTTTCCTTGGAAATAGGGAAAAATCAAATTTGGAAATTTTCCTCAATATCAAAAGGCACCACTCCAGCCCTTGGTAAACACATGTACAAGGTTTGGATGAAAAGTCTTTCACGGTTTTCAAGTTGTGCTCTGGAAATAAAATCCACCCCCACTCGAGTCCAAATTGTTTCCATGGAAATCGAGAACCATTTACAGCTCAAGTCCAATTTGTCGTCATGAAAACATAACAAGTCATCGGAAGATGACACATCCCCCTGCCCCAACATATATGTATATATAGCAAGTAGGGCTGCTACGATACAGGAAGGTCCCGATATGATACGTATCTCGATATTCTGGTCCCGATACGATACGTATCTCGATACGCAATGATAAAAAAACAAGACTTAAAGCATGCCAAGATTGAACCTTTCATGATTTTGGAACAGTCAAAATTATTTTATAATAACACGACTACTGAAGTAGTTAAGCTTCCAAGTGGAACTTTCTCTAACTTTCCTTCAAAACAATTCAAAGTTCAAACACCAGAAAATAATTTATGTACTTCACCAGTGATACAACTTCAAAGAATGTTGATTCAATGGTCAAAGAAATTGTATCTGAAATTATTGTTTTATCAGGAATAATGTATTCCAATATCAGGTTACTTTAGAGGCAGCTTTTACTATATATATATATTTAAAATTATAACAAGAGTCATCAGAAAGATGACATATCCCCCCGGCAGCTGTCTATAAAGTAACCACTAGTAAATGTGCAATTCTCTATGTAATAAGTCAAGAGTTGAATGTTCTTGAAGAAGCATACATTGTTTACCCACAAAAGATCCACCATGGTCGCATCGATATGAAATGGAAAGTAAAACAAGTGTGTTTCTGTGGGTTATTTTTATGCAAACAAATGTCAAATTACAAAAAACTAAACAAGCGTATAGTCAACGCAGTCATCTATATCCCTGCCCATTTTAACACGTTATGGTCCCAAACCAGGTAACTGACCCAACACTAATGGGGATAAACAAGGTACACTAATTGAAACCATACAAACAAGTTCAATTTGTTGGCAGAAATAGATGGATATTGAACACAACTAGTTCAAACGTCATATCATATACTCCTGTGCTGTTGTTTTCTGTAAACAAATCCATAACATACCATTCTGCTACTTCAGCCACTAGTCCGGAGCCCAAGTCTTTGTTCAGCTCATAACAGTAACACCAAAATCTGTGGATATGATGCTAAGAGCCATGTTCAAGCTTGTTGCCTTTTTGGCAAACTGGCACACATAAAAATATGGACTGGAAAAGGGGCCTTAAAAAGATTACCAACAGAATGGTCTACAACTTGGTCAGGGAACCCTTTTTGGAGGTTGAGGCTTAACATGCTTAATATGCAAAAATGACAACTGGTGAGATGTTCCCAACTCTGGACATGTCAACCAGTGGCTTACAGTCCGACCACTTATCCTAGGCATGATTGACAACATTCAGGACAAGTCAACCAGCGGCTTACAGCATGATCACTTATTCTCACCATGATTGTTTGTTTGTGTTTGTTTTTGTTTTATGCCGCACACGGCAATATTCCAGCAATATGACGGTGGTCTGTAAATAATCGAGTCTAGACCAGACAATCCAGTGATTAATATCATGAGCATCGATCCACGCAATTGAGATTGATGACATGCTTCAACCAAGTCAGCGAGTTTGACCACCCGATCCCGTAAGTCGCCTTTTACGACAAGCATAGTCACCTTTCTCACCATGATTGACAACAGTCAGGACAAGTCAACCAGCAGCTTACAGCATGAACACTTATCCTTGGCATGATTGACAACAGTCAGGACAAGTCAACAAGAGGCTTACAGCATGAACACTTATCCTTGGCATGATTGACAACAGTCAGGACAAGTCAACAAGAGGCTTACAGCATGAACACTTATCCTTGGCATGATTGACAACAGTCAGGACAAGTCAACAAGAGGCTTACAGCATGAACACTTATTCTCGGCATGATTGACAACAGTCAGGACAAGTCAACCAGAGGCTTACAGTCTGACCACTTATCCTCGGCATGATTGACAACAGTCAGGACACGTCAACCAGCAGCTTACAGCATGAACACTTATTCTCGGCATGATTGACAACAGTCAGGACAAGTCAACCAGCAGCTTACAGCATGAACACTTATCCTCGGCCTGACTGACAACAGTCAGGACAAGTCAACCAGCAGCTTACAGCATGAACACTTATTCTCGGCATGATTGACAACAGTCAGGACAAGTCAACCAGAGGCTTACAGCATGAACACTTATTCTCGGCATGATTAACAACAGTCAGGACAAGTCAACAAGAGGCTTACAGCATGAACACTTATCCTTGGCATGATTGACAACAGTCAGGACAAGTCAACAAGAGGCTTACAGCATGAACACTTATCCTTGGCATGATTGACAACAGTCAGGACAAGTCAACCAGCAGCTTACAGCATGAACACTTATCCTTGGCATGATTGACAACAGTCAGGACAAGTCAACAAGAGGCTTACAGCATGAACACTTATCCTTGGCATGATTGACAACAGTCAGGACAAGTCAACAAGAGGCTTACAGCATGAACACTTATCCTCGGCATGATTGACAACAGTCAGGACATGTCAACCAGAGGCTTACAGCATGAACACTTATCCTCGGCCTGACTGACAACAGTCGGGACACGGCAACCGGTGGCTTACAGCAAGACCATAGCTGCTCCACGATCGACATGCTGTTGGCCATGTAAAATACAGTCACATTGTCCTTTTTGATCAGATGTATGACAAGCATAGGAAACTGGGACCAATTCTTCCCTGGGTGAGAGGACAGTAAATTTATATATCTCCATCCAAGTCCATCATAATTAAGACAAAAACGAACAACAAAAATCAATGACAGAAGTATGGTTTTGCTCAAAATGTTTATTATTTTTATTCCTACGGTTACAAAAGATGCAAGTGCTACTCTGACACATTTGTACAGACCTATTGTGACAAGCTGCAGGGAACACATCCTACGAGAACACCGTAAAGTAGCACTGTTGAGTAACACAGTAGGCAAGTAGACACTGAACATCTAGACATGTTCCCAAATATGGAAACTGTAACAGGATGGCAACTTTATATTAATTTAAAATGATAACAATGACACAGAAACGATGATTTAATCATTGACTCAAATCGGTAAGATGAGCATAGTGTCTGCATGATTCCAACCTATGGTTAGGTTCACCGAATGAGAAATGCAGAGGAAGTTGTCTTATGTTTGATGCAGGTATAGTATTTGGTAAATGAGTGACAGATTGCAGCATTATTGAATGCATTCCAACTACATGTCTTGAAACTTTCATAACTCCATCATATTAACATAAATATCACCAACATGAGCAAGTAATAAAACTGTTGTTTGAAAACAACTTTTAAAATGTAGTAATCACGACCAATTAGTTAGCACTCCTCTTTCTGTTATAGCACATATTTTCACATGCCACCGAGTGTGAGTACATTTTAAACACCAGGAACCTTGCTTTTTGAAGCAAATTTACAAAACATACTCAAATGCTATCTACATATACATATTAACTATGTAATTACTCAAATTACACAACTTAAAATGCACAAAATTGTGTTGCAGCACACAGCTATAAAATTCTTTTGATTTTAAACACCAACCATTCATTAAATCATAAAATTTTCGTCATCAGTAAAAGACAAGGTGGGTGTCTAAGACCTATATTTCTCCATTTTCTTCGAAAATGTATACATGTGAGCTCCTCCTTAAGGGCATCCGATTCCAGCAGCAAAACGTTCATGGCAAAAATGGGGCTGGTAAAACGGTAGACGATGATGGATAAAAAGGTCACCGATTGGTCAATGAGATGATCATGACATGATGAATAATGTCCAACATTGAGTTCTCAGTCCTCGTCCTCATCATCATCCTCTTCCTCCTCTTCTTCTTCCTCCTCCTCCTCTTCTTCTTCCTCCTCTACCTCCTCCACAGCAGGCTTGGGCTTCTTCGCTGGGGACGCGCCAGGCTTATCTTTACTCCTGTAGGCAGTGATTTCCTGAAAAACCAAGATAATATCTTAAGAGGACATTCATGATGATCGAGTGACGAGGGATCCAGATCACTCAAAGATGCCAACCCAAGATTGAGGGTGCACCCATGTAGCTCAGCTGAATATGAAGTTAATTTTCAATTGTCAACAGACATTCAGGAGCAGTGTTTAAGTGTTAAGGGAAAATAAAGGTCAACACATAAAATATCACAAAAACGTGGGACATATGTGTTGAGACCCGCAACAACTACACATATACCAAATTGCAAACAATTTTGAACATAGATGGCTGAATAATTGCCATAAGAAGTTTCTGCATCCAGTATGGTCAAACGTCAAAATTTATATCGCCCCCAAAAATGGAACACATATTCAATCCAACGTACCAACTTTCATTCACTTGGGGGGAAAAAAAGGCTGAAAAGGGACCAAAATAGGTTTTTCAATATGGCTACTGCGGTAACTGATTCTGTCCTCTTGGGGAAAAAAAAAATATCAACCTACTCCCAAGCTGATTATTAATTGGTTGAATATGCAAGGCCAATAACTAGCCTCAATTACTAGTGATGTTTTAAAATAAAATTTGTGATATGATTCACAACACCTTTACCAAACAGGAGATAAGATGAAATGGGGATGAACTTTGCATTTCTTTTATACACTTTGATGGGTTGGTTTTTTTAAATGCTGCATTTAGGCAATATTGGAGCCATATGACGATGGTCTGTAAATAATCAAGTCTGGGCCAGACAATCCAGTGATTGACATCATGAAACCAATCAACCAAGTCAGCGAGTCTGACCACCTGATCCCATTCGTCGCCTCTTACGACAAGCATGGGTTGCTGAAGACCTATTCGAACCCAGATTTTCACGTGTTCTCTTATACAGAAGATGTAACAGTGTGACTTATATGTGAAATCAAGCCCATACAGTTATCCCCTCCGACCCTACACGCTAGGAGTACTGAAATAAAAGACACACAAACAACATATTGTCAGCAGTGCAATCTTATGACCAGGTGCTCTGTTATCATATTATGACACTAGTAAACTGCTGTATAAAGGCAACTGTTTGCGGATGATTAATGACTTACAACTTCATATCGTTCCTTGTCCTTCTTCGCCATTTTCTCATATTTGGGTTTATCTTTGCAGACCTCCCACCGCTTCCCTAATGCTTTGGCCACTTCGGACACAGACAGGCCGGGTTGGTCTTCCTTAACCTTTGATCTTTCTTCTCCACAGAAGAAAAAGAAAGCAGACCTGGAATACAGATTGGATATTTATTCAAGTGTCATCACTATCCTGCGCCATGGAGCACATTAGAATTGTCCCGAAAGTTGTGAATATTAACTAAAAAGCCTTAAGAAGAGATAGGCACTAGGGACACTCCATGTGAAAATAATACACACAAAAGGCACCAATTCTCAAACTCAGCCTTGATAAGCATCTCTTAGATAAGCTAACTTCAGTAGTTTCTAAGAAAACTTGTCCCCTTTGCAGACACTTTGCCATTTGTAAAATAATATGGCTCATTGGCTGTAACTGTATGCTCAAAATCAAAACATGTACTAAGGGAAATAACTCTAGAAAAAAATAACTTACAGGACCAACATTCAAACAGTCTCGACAAGTATCACCTAGATTAGCATGCAAATTGTCATTCATGTAACATCAATAGTTTCTGAGAAAGTTGCACCAAGTTGAAAAGCATGGAGCAAGGGCCATACCTCCGCCCGCATCATCATAAAGTCAGCCGCACATTTTTTTAAATTTCCATTTTCAAATTATTATTTTTTTTGTAATACTTATTAACATTAACAATGCGATCCAATATAGCACACAGTTACTTCCCTTTACATGCACACTGCTCTACTGCAAATCTTGTGTTATGGTCATGGCGGCAATAGGAGTTTGTATGCTTATTTTAGTAAGGAGGCTCTTTCCCAGGTTGATGGTACACAACTGTTTATTTGGTTACATACAAGTTTCAAAACACCCACCACACGAAAAAAACACCCGCCTGCCCGCACTATATTTTCAAAAAGTCATAGCCTGAGAACCAATTCTTTTAAATTTTAAGCCTAAGATCATGACCAGTAATATCAGTGTATAAAATTTCATTTCTCTAACTTAAATATTAATGGAGAAAACTTTGTCCCCCTTTGAGAAGTGGACGGAAGAATTTTGTTCCTATATCCCCGCCCCACTGGCGGGGGATAAAAGGCATAGTATGAAATAGATGCACATAGCGCAGCAAATTAACCTTTGTGTACCAGCCTGAAATTACACACATCATATTTAAAAGTGAAACAATCAAAAAAATAACAAATATTCCTTAACTTCCATACAATTTTTAAAACACTGCAAAACAATAAATTAATATTGCAATTTCATTTTATTGATAAAAATAGAAAAATGCTAATCAAAACAAAACATTTCTGGTCATTTCCAACACTGCAAGAAATAAATTATGACTGGCATTCTTACAGTGCTCTCTTGGGGGCATTAGGGTCCTTGGACTTCCTCTTCTTCTTTGCCTTCTCTCCCTTTGGGGGTTGATAGCTCTTCATTTCATGCTCATAGCGAACCTTATCTTTATCAGCCATCGACTCAAACCTTTTCTTATCACTAGGTTCCATTTTCTGAAAACAAACGTTCAAATTAAGTCATGCTTCTGTAGACATGTTTTTTAAAAAGATTTTATACATCCTACCCATGACAAAAATAAAAACAAATTACAATTTTGTAATTTATTTACTCTATACTTTTAAAACAGTGAATTTCCAACTTATATCAAATATAGAGCACAGATTCAAAAACTCAAATATGCAAACCGGCATCAACGTCTTAACAGGAAAACCATTAGCCAACAGGATATCAATTATGTTGTGAAGAAACGTCAGAAGTTAAGAGATAAGTATGCATATACAGGGATGAGAATAGAGATTTTCCTTTTCAGCTGAAACTTCTTTGCAATGGAGCGTGGTCTATAATTTGGGGGTGTTTAGGGGCTAGCCATGAGATTTTAACAAATTTGTGGTCACTAAAATTCCTGGAAATGTCCGGATCCTCAGAAGATTCTCACCACTGCATATACCAGGCAACAAAATGACGTATCATTAAGATTGTTAAGAAAAGTTGAATTACCTTCCATTTCTCAGCACACTTCTTTGTGAACTCAGTGAATACTACAGACTCGCCAGGGTGCTTCTTCTTGTGCTCTTCACGGCATGTCTGCACGAAGAATGCGTATGAGGACATACGCCCACGTGGTTTGTTCGAATCTTTACGACCCATGATTATTCAAGCAGCAGTCAACAATTCTGTAAAAGACCAATAGTATAATAAGAAAGAATTCATTTCTTATTGCAATTTACTGAATTGGAATCCATTGCAAAATAATTCATTAGAACATAACATTTTAGTTGACAATTACCTATTAAATCTGAGTGTTGTCAGTGTCAAAGGCACAGACAAACATCAACCGTGATTTAATAAAGTACATTCGGAGCAACAAGTTAAATGTAGGTTTTACTAAACAACCACATGTTATTGGCTAATCATATGTCAGATGATCTAAAAACCTAGATTTGAGTATGATTTTATGCCACTTTTAGCAATATTCCAGCTATATCACGTCAGTGCATATTTGAGAACCCAGAAGATAAATATGAGACAGGCACACATGACTAAACTGATAATAATATCTCATATTACTTGTTATAGTAGACAAGATTGATCACGTCAAACAAATTGAGAGGGAAAAAAATGAGTGATGTAACTGATGACTCGAAGCACCATCATAACATGACTTCATCAATAATATCGGCAAAGGTGCATACATTGTTCTATCTCAAACTTAGTGTGTAAATAACAGATAAAAACTCTAAAAATGCATCACTTGGGCATGGAGACAGAAGTCGCTCTGAAAACAACTTCCAAAATTATTTGTGCAACAAAGACTTTTTTTCTCTTGCAAGATCGACAGTTAAAAATATCAACAGATCAGTCTGGTGAACCAACCCAAGAATCACAGCTTCCAGATACATATTTTCTACATTCAGTTAAAAATAATAAACAAAAACAATTTTTAAAAAATTTTTTTAAAAGAGTATGCGAAGAGAGCCAAGAAATTATTTAAATCAAATTATTTTTTAATTATTGGTGCGTTAAATATATGAAAAATAATTTCAATATGAATTTTCATAATTACGGGTTTCTTTGTGTAATATTATTAATATACATAATTGAGACCAGTCTGGACATTATTATATTTTATTACGTAACCTGAGAACAATAAAGACTGATAACATATGCACATAATACACAGACTTTTTCTTCAAACATTTTTAGAAAATAAAAAAATTAGCAAGTTAAACATTATTATTCTTTTGGATCAGGGACATATTTCGAAAATTAACAAACAGGGCCAAAGAAAAAAACCAAAATATCCTTTTATGTCAAGTAACAGTTATTCTCCCAAAAATATTAGAAGAGATCCACTGACAAGTGACACATGCAAAAGTGCATTCATAAACTTTATGACAAAAGACGAAATGACAGCTGCAAAAACATTTATGCATTAATGTAGGTCAAATGACGACTAAATTTTCTCTTATTTTAAACATAAATTTCATTATCATAATTTAAAACCAACAGGATATGTCGAGAAACAAGCTGACAAAATCTCCATTATAGCTATACTATTGTACATTGTGAATGTGGCATTTGTCCTATGGCGCGTATAGCATAGGCTGTCGTTCTGTCAGACATTGGGCCCTTCTTGTTCAAAACCGCCATTTCTTTTGTAACTAGATCAGACCGCCTCTGCAGACAAAGAGACTACTCGATTCTGATCTAGAAAAATCGAAAAATTGCAAATCCTTATAAGTTTAAGTCATTTTGGGTATGTTAAACCACCATCGCCGATACCTTCTATACTCTATCATTCCCCATACTAAACGAATGGCAATAGCAAAATCCTATGTTAGAGCAAAATCCGTCATGGCCGCTCGTCCAACCTCAAACAACGACCCCAAAACTCACCTCTCCAATGTCAAATTCCATTCCCATGAATGAAAGTCCCTTTTAAAATCATCCCAGGGTGATCTCGGTTCGGAAAATGTTCCTGACATTAGTGTTCCCCGAAGTTTAAACTTCATCATCGTTCCTACTATGCTGGGCTATATGTTATATACAGTGAGTATTACTAGAGCAAACGGCTTCACTATGTTCAGGTCTTGTTGAACGATCGCCTATATGGCCGCAATATCGCTACGTAATGACAAAGGGCTTGTCTGGAAATCGAGCTCAACCTCGGTTAAAACACAACGCACAACTCTCAAAATTAACAGAATTACAGATAAATGATGTGAGATCACATCCATGTCGTTAGATCATAATGCGATGTTGATTTTAACTTCGAAAACCTTTAAATTGTCAAGTCCTTCCCCGCCTATAGCCACAGCATAGCCAGGCAGACATGGCGCTCATATGCAATCTATATAGGGCATGATGGCAAGCTCTCAAAAATACGAATAGCATCATTACAAACTTGATAACATGTCAGAAACAAACCTGCATCCTATAGAAGACATATTAGGCTAATGCATAAATAACTTTTTCCAAGTAAAATGTAAAAAGAATATAAGTTTAAACACTTACAATTCAGCCTTGTACCGTACACTGCTATCTACTGCAACTATAACCCACGCTACTTATTCCGCTAAAGACTCACGGCTACTTTGGCGTCTAAACGCTGCGATTGGCTGAAATTTGGATTAGCCGCACATATGAACCAATGAGAAACATCCATTTGAATGACGTTTTTGCATAATAAAGAAGGCGGCTTGACAAATAAACAACTCGGCAAATGATCACATGATGCACATTGTGAGATGTATACCGCTAGGTACGCATTACCTCACGACGCACTATCACCAGTTGATTTTGTCAACGGTATTCATCTGTAATATAACTGTTTCGAGGCAGCTGGGAACATGGCTTGGTCAGCAATATGCTCGTATAATTAAAAGTAGAGAAATATAAATATACCTAACACATGCTCCAGAACGCATATACAACGAAACATATCTACTCAGTGTGATATCAAGATATTATTATTCAGGTTTAACAGCGTTAGAAATTGGCACTGGTCCTATAGTTCTTGCCAAACTGCCCGATGGTTACTTTAAGGTGTCATAAGGACTAGTAGAAATTTGCCATTTTTAGGGGTTTTGCTATATGTTATAATTATAAGGACTAGTTGGCTAATACTGTTAGTTTCTATAGCTGGTTTAATAAATGCTATGAGTATTTGTGAATATTAAGAAGATTATGAAATAATATATATAGGTTCAAACAGTCCTCAGTGTTTCTGTTCGGCCTTTCTGTAGTTTGATATTACAGTTTGTTTCCACGCATCTTTCGAACATTAACGTGTTTATAACGTCCTTAATTGAAATTGAATTAATAGGATGAAAAATAAAATATCAATATTACAATTCTAAACAGGGTGGTTTGCATAAAATACATTGAGAAAGGAATCAATGTGCCATTGTAAGCGGTCTATATTTACAGTGCACTAGGCTGTGTAACTTACATTTGATGCTATCTTCACATGTTCTTTCCTGCTCATAAGAGTTCACAGCCTAATAAAAATCTATTTTGTGCACTACTTGATGTTCCAACAGACGGTTTAATAAAGCTGTCAAAATGTAGTTGTACAACTAGTAGTACCGAATGTCTCTCGTCGGTCGTGATTGACAGAAAGAAGCGTCCATGTCCAAAACTTGTAGCCAAATAAATCAAGTTTTAAACAATGACAGATGTAATCCAGTCTTAAGTTCAAATAAATCGGTATATATCTTTCATATTTATTTGTATTTTAATGATTTCAGACTCTATTATCCACGTATACCGTGATTCATTTTCTCTATCGACAGTGTTTACGATTTACGAATGGGCGTGGCCAAGTCCATATATGACAACTACGTCATGCGACCTCTGACCTCGCTGATCAACACGAAAACACGCCGCCATTTCACTCGCTTCGTTGTTCTGTGGGTAGATTCTGACGGTGACTTGCAGTCTAGCTGGCATTACATCAGAAACCGGGAGATTAGAGCTTGATTCGCGGCTCCTAGACAGTGCAGTGGTGAAGTGTCTGACATTATGAGGTAAGCAAATGCGCTCTAGACATCTGCTGACGTGAATAAATTTCCTCGACATTTCTGCCTCCGTGTTGGCTTTGGGAGTCAGTGTCCATCTCCGAGACGATGAATTTAAGATGGTCTGTATTTCTTAGTCCTTCGGAAATGCCACCTGTGATTTTATGCGTGGCTAAGCGGTACTTCTTTATTGCCATTATAACTGAATTCAGGCATTAATAGTTACAGAGCAAATAGCCCGGAGTGAAGGGATGGGTTTCCCAAACTTTTCGCTGATGTCAAAACGAAAAGTCCTTTCGCCTGATTGAGAGTGAAGTGGTTCCAACTGATTTCATGTGATTCATGATTAACCTTGCATCGAATGTCAGGGTGGTACAAGACACACAGAACACATATTCAGCCGAACAGATATGTATTGTTTGAGGCCTGTCAAGGAAGGCAAACAGAGCCTTATCTCTTGTGGCTCAATCTCCACTAAATGTGCATATCTTATTCGAAACATGAAAATAAAATTTCTTCATGGATAGTTCTGTTCTGGCTGGATGATTGACTGACACCACAGTTGAATAGGTTTTAAGTGGCTCCATTGTACACAGGTTATTTAAAAAAATATATTAATGATGAAGCCCCTAGTGCTGCATGACAGATAGATACATGCGTATTTTAACAATAATAACAAAAAAATCAGCCGTGAGATCAACCTTTCCTGCAAAACAAGTTTATTCTGATTTGTTTTTGTTTTTTTGTTTAACGCTGCACTCAGCAATATTCCAGATATATGATGATATATGAAGTCTGTAAATTAATTGAGTCTGGACCAGACAATCCAGTGATTGACATCATGAGCACCGATCCACGTAATTGCAATACGATAACATGCATCAACCAAGTCAGCGGGGGCTGACCATCCAATCCTGTGAGTCGCCTCTTAAGACAAGCTTAGTCGCCTTTTACGGCTAGCATAGGTTGCTGAAGACCTTATCTTCCCTGGATCTTCACACGGGTCAGTTTATTCTGAAGAACAGCTAAGCCCTGCAGTTAATGTGTTGATACAAACAAATTCAAACCGTTAAGGTAAATCTTTAGCTGCAATGGAGTTCTACCTCAATACATCTACCCGAGGCAAGAGAGTTAACTAAACGTAAATTATTTTCTTACAGAGTTATATCCCTTGTTCCATGCTTTTCAACTTGCATATTTTCTGCAATGGGGACAAGTTTTCTCTATAACTATAAAGGTTAGAGAAATATTACACACTGATATTACTGGTCATGACTTTAAATGAGTTTGAAAATTGATGTGTAAAATTAATTTTTTTGGAGTTATGGCCCTTGCTCTGTGCTTTTTAACTGAAATGGGGACAAGTTTTCTTAGAAACTACTGATGTTTCTTGGATGACAGTTTGCAGGCTTATCTATGAGATAGTTTTCAAGACTGTGTTCGAAAATTGGTTAAATTAAATTATTTGTTTCCCTTGCTGCTTGTTTTTAGATTTTGACCACAGCCTTTGATCTATGTTATTTGCATAGTGTCTGCAATGGGGACAAGTTTTCTCAGAAACTGACTGAAGTTACAGGGTTCCCGCTGGCTTTTGAACCTGCCAGTCCACCGGGACTTTCAATTTGTACTTTCAATCTAAAAATTAACAGTCCCCCCTAACTTTTGCCAGTTGCCAGTCCCAACTTTCAACAAATAAAAAAAAAGTATGAAAATTATTTTTAATTCTTTCAACATCATGTTTAGTGCAAAGATGTCATCTCTGAAGTAACTTAGTTAGATCTATACGTCATTCACACTTACTTCACTCACAATCTCCTCCTTATTTTTAAAAAAATATTTCGAGACAGGCGCTACAAATGGATATTTAACCTAGAAATAGACAAGTGGAAACCCTGATGGTAACAGACAAACTGACTTTGTTCGAAAAATGTGCTTATATGAATATCACCGATGTTTTGTTCAGCAAAATAGATTTATGAGGTAATTTATTTGCCGGTCCACATGGACCGGCAGTCACATGAATCATCAGTCCAAGCCTAATTTTACCAGTAAAAATCTGGTTATTACCAGTAAACGGGAATGCTGAGTTAGCATTCCTAAAAGATACTTATCAAGACTAGTTCAAGAATTGGTGTTGCAAATTTCTTTTTGCCAGAGAAGGGGCCTTTGTGTGTAATAATTTCACATTTAATCATTTGTATCCTGCCATGAAGTTAAAGGGGGATATAGGAATGGGTGCTGTCCTTCCGCCTGTCCTTCCGCCATGTTTCGTTTCTGGAGAAGAACTAAAAAACCATGAGAGATATACTAATCAAACTTGCAACATTGATATGGTGGTGAAGTGGTGCCAATTGATAGTTTGGGAATTTTATTTTTCGAGTTACCATGGCAACGACTTTGAGAGAGTGGGTTGGGTTAAACGCCGCTTTTAACAGTATTCCAGTTATATCACGGCGTGTCAGCTTCATGTGGGAGGAAAGCCCAAAGTGATGCAGGTCTCAGACGTTTACCACTTAGGTGAAACCCACGAGCACGGGTATGGTGCTGACAAACCTAGAAACATAATCGGGGCAAACCAGGATTCAAACCCACAATCATAGGTTTCTGGCGTGTCCAAGGGACGCATCTCTGCACAGCGAATCGCGGCGCCTTAGATGACTTGGCCACCCATGCCCCCGGCAACGACTTTGACTTAGATTGGAAATTGTGTAGGTAGTGCTCCTTTCCGGTCTTGAAAAATGATATTTATTCACCAAACTTGGCACATAGATAGGTCTAATGGTGAACTGGTGCCTCTTGATAGTTTAGGATTTTTATAAATTGATTTTTTTAGTTTCCTTAGCAACACAACTTGACATGTCATATTGTTCCTGATGACATAAAGCGACCCTAGTGCCTATCTCTTTTGAAGGCTTTTTTTTATAGTTAATATCCACTACTATATGAACAAACAAAAGTCTAACATGCCACGTGATGGTGGATAGTGATAACCCTGTGTTCATGTTTTGCAGTAACAATTGACAAACAGTAGAGTTTGTGGGGGGAGTTTTGACTAAACTTTGTCTGGATGTAGCTGGTGAGCAGCCATGCCCAGATTCTACTTTCTTGACGCTAGCATCTTGAAACTATGTCAAACAAGAAATAATTTTGTTTATTTCTAACATGCTTAATAATGTTGTAAATTTTGCTTTGCAGTACAAATGGGTTCAGCACAGAGGAGGACAGCCGCGGGGGTCATGACCAGATCTGTTGCTTGATTGACAGCAATGAGCGTTGTACGCGGCAAGCCGGCAATGCCAGTTACAGCAAGCGCATACAGAAAACAGTTCAGCAGCGAAAACTGAAGCTCACCAGGGATGACAGTGTGAGTGGCATGATGAGAAGTGGAGGGATGTTGGTTTACGCCACAGTCTGTAAAATTGGCTGGGATTTCAAGGGTCTTGGTTACCTTCAAAGTATATCTACAAAATGAAGGCTCCCTGAAACAATAGGATGACGTCACTTATAAATATGATTGCAAACTAAGTGCTGTTCTCATTTTTGTAAATTCTGAGGAATTGGGACATTTTTTATTCAGAATTTTGACTGTCATGTGCTGCAGACTTCAGACTGAATATCAGCCCTTGAGCAGGTCTAGATAAATTCCTGCGTTACACAAACAGTTCCTGTCTAGCCCCAGGTTGTAATATTTCCCCTCTTTCCTGTGTTTGTTGTACAAGGCAACAGAATGGATCGGGTGGCCATGTGACTTGGTCATTGTACACCTACCATATGGGAAGTTGCTTTTTATATAAATTACTGGTTTGTCTTGCCAGACTTGATTTTTTTACAGATCGCCATCATATTACTGTAATATTGATGAGTCCAGTGTTTATCGACAAGCTCACTGGCACTATGATCGAGTGATGTGCATTCAGTAGAATTATTGGAATATTGTCCTCCTGTTCCCTTCCAATCTCATTAAAATCAGATCTAAGTTCTCGCTGTTGCTAAACAAAGATCTGAGGACATCCCATTACGGGTCACGTCAGAACGACCTTTCGTGAACTTTGACCGACCACTGAAACAAATAACAAGAAGTCGATATCATCCAATGAGAAAGCAGCTTTCGCAAGCTTTACAGTTTTATCATAGAGAAGTCCTTTCCAAAGCACAATTGGAAAAATCATTGTACATGTATATGAAATTACTCAATGTGTTGGCTAAAAAATGTTTGGACAAAAACCTCAGTGTAAGCTCATAAGCAAACAGACGTCGTGTAGTTATCAGTAATGTTCATAGATCTTGATATGATTTCTCAGTTTATTGCACAATAACCAGAATTAAGAATTAAAACATGAAAAAGTTGCCACTGCTGTCCCAGTAGTCTAAGGGAGGCAACTCTGTGTAGAGTTGTGTCTCTTTGCTGTGAGACTCCACTCACAGATTTTGTGGCAATTGTTATTCCTTGGCTGTCAGCTTCAAATAGAAAACATTTACAGCTTACTTTTGTTTTTATCACACTTTATGTGGTTTTTGATCAAAAGTTACTTGAGACAAGAGTGAACACTTTTGCACACCTAAGCCTCTGTCCAGAATAGAAACTAACTTCTTTTATACAGTAGGCAATATCATAGTTTTGCATTTGAAAACCTTGCAAACTTCAGTCATTTCTACTCACCTGTAATCAAGAGGTGTGACATTTGTGATGCACACCTGTATTCAAGGGGTGTGACATATATGACTCACCTGTAACCAACATGTGTGACGTATGATGACTCACCTGTAATAAGGTGGTGTGACATGTGTGATACACACCTGTAATCAAGGGTAGTGACATATATGACTCACCTGTAACCAACATGTGTGAAGTATGATGACTCACCTGTAATAAGGTGGTGTGACATGTGTGATACACACCTGTAATCAAGGGGTGTGACATATATGACTCACCCGTAACCAACATGTGATGACTCACCTGTGATAAGGAGGTGTGACGTGTGATGACTCACCAGTTGGGTTCCCCTGTTCCAGGTGTCACACATCTACATCTGTGACTTCCACAAGAGCATGATCCAGAGTGTACGCAGCAAGCGGAAGAGGAAGGACAGTGAGGACGACAGGGGATCACCTGATGGAGACGATGATGTACCGGAGGTATGTGGAAATGTCTCACCTGGAACTAGGACATGAGGATCCAAATGGGATTCCAGGGCAGAATAGATCTCTGGTACCCCATCCCTTTCTCCCTTTGGGGATTCAAGGGCAGAATAGATGCACTGTACCCCATCCTTATCTCCCTTTGGGGATTCCAGGGCAGAATAGATGCCCTGTACTCCACCCTTATCTCCCTTTGGAGATTCCAAGGCAGAATAGAAGCACTGTACCCCATCCTTATCTCCCTTTGGGGATTCCAGTCCAGAATAGATTCCCTGTACTCCACCCTTATCTTCATTATGGGGCCACACTCTGAGAGATTAAACTTTTAATATTAAAACCCCATGGTATGCAGGTTATTGATGCAGAATCCCCGTCCACAAGTAACTTAAGCGTTGCACAGAATTTTCGCAGGGCATCTTTCTCAGATATTACATGTTGCAGCAACAACGTCCAATGTCATATACCGGTATATTTAGCCTCAACAGTTTGTTTGTGGTCACTGCCGTTAGCATGTCTCTTCAAGGTACTCGTTATAAAATTAGAATGCTCCTTTGTAATTGAGTTAGGTGCCACATGATTTGTTCCAAGCTGACATGTCATAGTATTTCTTTCTGTCATGCTGCAACCACGTGTAGTCATGAAATCAGATTCACTGAAAACTTCTACCTTACTCAGATTTCCCGCCTTTCCCAGGGGCGGTCGGGTAGCCTAGTGGTTAAAGCGTTCGCTTGTCACACCGAAGACCCGGGTTCGATTCGCGACATGGGTACAATGTGTGAAGCCCATTTCTGGTGTCCCCCACCGTGATGTTGCTGGAATATTGCTAAGAACGGCGTAAAACCATACTCACTCACTCACTCACTCACTCACTCACTCACTCTCACTCACTCACTCACTCACTCACTCACTCACTCACTCACTCACTCACTCACTCACTCACTCACTCACTCCTGCCTTCCCTCAGTCTGTCACCATGGTCTCTCTCCGGTGGGCCATGAGACACATTCTGTATATCGCTGACATAACTTGTGGTCAGTGATTCTGCGAGCCGACACCAGCTTCATTTGAAACAGAAACATCTTTGACTACTATATTTGAAAAATGTGTATGCTCGATTCTGATTGGACCATTTGTGACTTTCAGCCAATGAAGGGTACTGATAGTAAGGCCAATGAAAATCATGTTTACTTACATTCAATAATAGAAGCAGCTGTCCCAGTGATATAAACTGTTTTTGAGACAGTTAGTGACTCCCATAATTATATAAATAAATCCATCTACACAAATGAGCCCCTTGTCCCACTGAGAGTAAATAACATGCGTCAGTCGGTAAAATATTGTGAGAATCTCCCAAGGCTGCTGCATCGGCAGAACACGGGGAAGTCAGTGTTCCATGAGCTCATGGTGTCGTCCTCACTTGAGCAAGTAGAGTGATAACTGAGTCACTTAGATTGGGATCAGGGGCCGTTCCACAAAGCGATCTTATTGTCAGACTGTCGTAAGCCTGTGTTAAAGTATGGGAATTACGATCATCTTAGTGCTAAGATCGCTTTGTGGAACGGGGCCCAGAACAGGTTTTGTTGCAGAATGCCCTTTTTCACTTCTTCATATTTATTTTCACAAATATATGCAGATAATCATGATGGTAACATTTGTACCTTTGGATGTATTGTGTAGTTTCATTATTTTGTTTCAGATTGACTTTTTCCAAATGCCTGTGAATGCCCTTCGACGTTACAAGCGCCATTTCAAAATCTCCACACGTCCTGGCCTCAACAAAGCACAACTAGCTGATGTAAGTAGTGTTGTTGTTGTTGTTGTTGCATTTAGTGTTTAAGAGGTCGCCTTCTGCCTAAGCAATTTCGGCTGACCTGTCCCTCTTTGGGACTCCTGTGTGTGACTAGGATACACATATCTATTGTGAGTTTGGTATTCACATTGATGTAAGTACATTTCTCACACTTTAAGTAACACATTGTTACAGTTTCTAGGGCGAGTAGGTCCTTGTGGTTTGGAGTCAACAGAATGTAAAGGACGTTTTCAGTGAAGCCATGAGTACTGCTCATATTCGATAGGGATTTACCACACATTGTTCCACAAATCAAGCTTACCCTATGACTAGCATAACTCCCATACATTGCCATTGACTTAATGTGATGCAGAGCTGTTAGCAGTTGGACTAAGGGAGAACCAGTCAGTCAGCTAAAACAAAAAAAGACTCTGCCCGCCCACACTATATTTTCAAAAACAATTGCCTGAGAACCAATTCTTTCATTTTAAAGAGGTTGCATACAAAAAACCAAAAAAATTCAAGAAATGGGTATGTTTGGTATCATTTTGTAGAATTACGCAATAAAAAAACCAAGTCACCATGGCATTTTTTTAATAAGTGGCGCCATCTAGAGGCACTGGATGATAAAATCATTTTGCCAATAAAATGGTCATTTTAAAGTTTGATTATTAAATGAGTGTTTTTAAATAGACATATTACAGTATTGATATGACACAAAACAGAAAAATGAAAATTCTAGTCAAAACATTTTTTATTTCACACATCATTTGACTTTAAAAAAAGCACATTTTCCCCCAAAAAATGATTCATCAGTTGAAAAAGCATTTTACAAAATCAAGATATTTTTCAAACTGGCTTATTTCTAATGTTTATTCATTGTAAAATAAAATTATAAAATAAAAACAACATGTTACCAGAGGATATTCAAATTATTTTCAATCAACACAGCACACCCCTAAAATAATGAATCAGGGGAGGTAACTCTTGCCCAAATTTACATTTCTATGAGTTCTTATGCAAACATTTTGGTGGAAGTACAATTAGCCGCGAGTCAAAGGGACGTAACCGCATTACAAATACTCACCGTTACATGCCCGTCTGGTATGCACATGAACAATGGTATCCAACGTCTTTAATAAGCCTAAAATAATCTAGTCACATTTTATGAGCGCTTCATTCATTTCCTGCCACTTACAATAATCTACTGCCCCATAATACTTTGTATCATTTATCAATTTAACACATATCATTTTGTTTTTTTCCAGGCTGTTGCCCGACATTTCCGTACTATCCCTGTTGTTGAGAAAGAGGCTCTGACCTACTTCATCTATATGGCAAAAAACTACAAGAGTCGGTTTGACCAGAAATACATTGACACAGTCCACAGCTAGTCAAACTCATGTTTATTTTGTGTATATTTTACATATATTGTTTTGATGTTACATTTGAACTCCATTCTCATTTTGTATGTTATTGTGTGATACCAACACGACCATAGAACAATATGGAAAATAAATAATGTATATGTAATATGTCTTCGATACATCTTCTCTACAGTTGGGGGGCACGGCTGTGCAGAGTTGTGTCCCTTTGGCATGCCAGAAACCTGTGTTTGTGGGTTCGAATCCCGGTTGGCCCCAATTATGTTTCTAGGTTTGTCAGCACCATGCCCGTGCTCGTGGGTTTCACCAAAGTGGTAAACATCTGCATCACTTCGGGCTTTCCTTCAACATTAAGTTGACATGCCGTAATGTAACTGGAATACTGGATCACTCACTCACTCACTCACTCACTCACTCACTCACTCACTCACTCACTCACTCACTCACTCACTCACTCACCCACCCACTCACTCACTCACTCACTCACTCACCCACCCACTCACTCACTCACTCACTTCTATACAGTTTGAAGATTCCAGGGTATGGGTCCTAAGTTTGGTTGTTGTTTAATGCCATACTCACCAATATTGTAGCTATATGACAGCGGTCAGTCTGTAAATCGAGACTTGACCAGACAATCTACTGATTGATAATATGAGCATCGATCTACGCAATCGGATATGATAACATGATTCAATCAAGTCAGCAACCCTGACTACCTAATCCCGTTAATCGCCTATAACGACAAGCATAGTCGTCTTTTATGGCAAGCATGGGTTGCTGAAGATCTATTTGAACCCAGATCTTCATAGGTTTAAATGCCTTAAGCACCCTATTCTTATCAGAGCTGATTATTGATTGATTGTGTGACCTTGCTAAGGTTGTGTTATTATCGGGGAAGGTTGGGGTTTGATACCCAAAGACTTTAAAAGATGGTACTTATTGTTAGGACAAGTACTGGTTGGCTTTAGTCATGTATAGAAGTGAGTCATGTGTCTGAGTGGGGCGGGAAATTTGACATGGTGGGAACCAGGGGAATGGATCCAGGATTGAGTGAGTATGGTTTTACGCCGCTTTGAGCAATATTCCAGCAATATCACGGAGGGGGGACACTAGAAATGGACTTCACACATTGTACCCATGTCGGGAATCGAACCCGGGTCTTCGTCTTCGGCGTGACAAGCGAACGCTTTAACCACTAGGCTACCCGATCCAGGAGTTAGTGTATGTTTACAAAAATGCAAGCAATGGAGATATAGAGGATGGCACTAAAAGCTAGTGGTGGAAGATGCCTCAGTGGATCGAAATGTTTTTACTTTTCGATTCAAGTATCGATCACAATCGCACACTGTTTCGAATAAACGGAAAAAAAGATTCGTTATTAGGAAAATAATTTCGTTATAAAGAATCTTGTTGTAATAACGAATCTTATTTCCGTAATAACGAATCGTTTTTTCCGTTATAACGAATTTATTCTCATAATAACGAATCTTTTTTCCGTTATATCAAAAGTTCGCAATTAAGGTCAAATATTACGAATAAAGAACTAAATGTTACTACTAAAGGTCAAAATACAAAACAAACAGACGAGGGTTAAACATACAAAGTTGAAATAAATGTCAAAAGTACGCAATATTAATAGTCAAATGTTACGAAAAGACGTCATAAGAAAAGAAAGAACAATGTGTACGAAAGAACGCCAGTGGGCGCGAAAGGACGTTTTCAATAAAGAACGTCAGTGAGCACGAAAGGACGTTGACAATAAAGAACGCCAGATGGCGCTGCAATTTGTAAAACATTCCGAGTTTAATCGGCTAGTTCCGCCGTGTATATGATAACTGCATGCCGAGGTGCACAGTGTATTACGTCATTCCTCGTGCACTCACCGTCTGACGTCACACATATATACATATACATGTATTTATAATGTATAATGAACTGTTAAATTGCGTACTTTTGTCCTTTTTTCAACTTTGTATTTTTTGACCGAATGGCCGCCCGTACACATGCAAGTGATGCATATCAGATCGTGAGTAAGGGTCGCACAGTTGGTGTATGGTCCCCGCCCTACTAAAAAGCGGACTAGTACATGGCTATTTGCACGAGCACTAACCTTGAATGTGATGCTTACTACATTTCAACTCACTGTCCCCAAGGTAACTGACACAGACTGGTCGGATACTGTGTCGGAGTGGGGTGTCGGAGTGGGCTAGTACTATAAAACTATCATTAGTCCAGACTGGTCGGATACTGTGTCGGAGTGGGGTGTCGAAGTGGGCTAGTACTATAAAACTATCATTAGTCCAGACTGGTCGGATACTGTGTCGGAGTGGGGTGTCGGAGTGGGCTAGTACTATAAAACTATCATTAGTCCAGACTGGTCGGATACTGTGTCGGAGTGAGGTGTCTCAGTGGGCTAGTACTATAAAACTGTCATTAGTCCAGACTGGTCGGATACTGTGTCGGAGTGAGGTGTCCCAGTGGGCTAGTACTAAAAAACTATCATTAGTCCAGACTGGTCGGATACTGTGTCGGAGTGAGGTGTCTCAGTGGGCTAGTACTATCAAACTGTCATCAATCAAGACTGACAGAAGCAGCTACACATATACACCTGCTTGCAAATGAAATAATCTGAACAGCAACCACTCGATCATGATGCTAACCATCTAGGTCTGGTATGGGCGTTTGTGCATGAATATCGATACTACAGCGATACGGTGGATGTTTCCCCACAGTCCGTAGTGTCCAGAACCGCAATGCTGGGAAGCAGTAGCAAGCACTAAGACCTGATATTCATGTTTATTTGTTTGTTTGTTGTTTAACGCCGTACTCAGCAATATTCCAGCTGTATGATGGCGATCTGTAAATAATCGAGTCTGAACCAGACAATCCAGTGATTGACACCACGATCATCGATCTTCGCAATTGGGATACGATGACATGCATCAACCAAATGAGCGAGCCTGACCACCCGATCCCTTTAGACGCCTCTTATGGCAAGCATTTAAAGACTCATAATTCTAACCTGGATCCTCACGGGGCCTTTTGTGATGGTAATGATGTTGAAGTTATAATAATCAATAAAAGTTAACAGACAGACTACATATGAAGAACAAAATGTGTTACAAGCTGAGACCGTAGAGAATAGAATAATTGTATTCTGATATTGGAGTGGTATTTATACTAGCGGGAAAAGTAATGAACTTCATTTACTCTTGGGGGCACGGGGGGCCCAGTCGTCCAAGGCGCCGCTGTGCAGAGTTGAGTCCCTTGGGCACGCCAGAAACCTATGATTGTGGGTTCGAATCCAGGTTCGCCCCGATTATGTTTCTAGGTTTGTCAGCACCATACCGTCCTCGTGGGTTTCACCGAAGTGGTAAACGTCTAAGACCTGCATCACTTCGGGATTTCCTCCAACATTAAGCTGACACGCCGCAATATATACGGCAATACTGTTAAAAGCGGCGTTAAACCCAACTCACTCACTCACTCTTAACAAATGAAGGGATACTCGGAAATATTAGTGCAATAATCTTGGGGTCGACGTTAAGTCCCATTTCTCCTCACCAAGCGTCTGTAGGGTTGTACAAGTGTTGTCCTTACGGGTGGCTGAATAAGGACCACACATCTTTAAATACATGTAATTGTATTTTGAATTCTGATTGTAGGCAGATGAGAGGCAATTGCTCTGGGACCAGTGAACATTTTCCGATTTTTGAAACCCCTATCTACATCGACAGCAATAGTGGTCATCCTGTCTGAACAATAGCTTAACAGGCCAAACCTGGACAAGCACACGCAATACACCTGCATGTATTAAGCTCTGGGCCTAATGACGGCTTTATCACATTTTAGAACCAAATTTTTAATTTAAAAAATCAAGCCCTAGGCTTAAATACGGAAACTATGCAAACACGACTCAAGAATTCATTTCATTCGACTTAAATGAATCAACTCTTTTCATTTTTTCTAATAGTACAAAAAAGACACTAATGTGCCACTTCAACGCAAAAACATCATGACATACATACATGGTTAATAACACCAAGTACTTGGCAACAAGTACTGCAAAACATGTAACTGTGAACTTACAATTAATCCAATCTCATTAAAATCAGATCTAAGTTCCCGCTGCCGCTAAACAAAGATCTGAGGACATCCCATTACGGGTCACGTCATTACGACATCCCATTACGGTCGTCGTTTTGGTGGTCTTCATCTCTCAGAACAAGGCCAGAGTAGGATGAAGCTGAATCGTTCCAGGGCGGTTCTCCCCCTTCCGGCACACCACGAAAGAAATCAGTATAGAACGGACTAATGCAAGTATTTGGGGGCGCTTTACATATTGTTTTGCATAACTATATAGATATGCTACTACAACTGAGACAGTGAGTTGCATGACAATATATATTTATGCATCAAAGTGACCGTCCGTGTCGCTAGCTCTCCGTTGGGCTTCGATGACAGCACGTGGAGCCGTACAACCAATGTAAACATAGGATAACTACGCAAAAACAAGTAGATTTTCACGTATTTGCATACTTTCTCAATGAAAGTTAACCATTCTTTGACATTTGTTTATGAAAATGTGTAGACTTGTCAAACATGAAACGGATGAAAAGCATATGCAATATCTTGAATGGACTGTGAGCGTTCGCTGGACACGCCGAAGACCCGGGTTCGATTCCCGACATGGGTACAACGTGTGAAGCCCATTCTGGTGTCCGCCGCCGTGACATTGCTGGAATATTGCTAAAAGCGGCGTAAAACCATACTAACTCACTCACTCATCCCGATCAGCATATAATTAAGCTGGGACATTTAATCCCTGTGAAGATCCGAGTTGGAATAGGTCTTCAGCAACCCCTGCTTGCCGTAAGAGGCGACTAACGGGGTCGGGTGGTCAGGCTCGCTGACCTGGTTGATGCATGTCTTCGTATCCCATGCAATTGCGTGGATCGATGCTCATGGTGTCAATCACTGGATTGTCTTGTTCAGACTGGATTATTTACAAACTGCTGCCATATAGCTGGAATATTGCTGAGAGCGGCGTTAAACAACAAAGAAACAGTTAAACCAGTGGTTGACAGCACGAGCAACGCACCATGCTGTCGGAGGACGATGACACGGGACCAACAAGATCACACAGTGAATCCCCCAGGTGTCAAGGTACAAAAGAGACAGCACATGCGATATTAATTATTATTTTTTTATTACCTCAATGTTAATCTTATACTGTAATAACAGCCATGGAATTAGTCCTATGCAAGCTGGATCCTCTCTTGAACGTTGGGGTACAGAGACTGAGTCGGGTCACTTGAACCCGTACCCCGATTCGTTTTGTTTGGGGCAGATTGGTCCCTAGTGTGGTGTAAAAGACATGTGAACCCTATCTGTTTTATGTTATCTAGTCCCTGTCAGGGTGTTTTGACCGTTAACCCCTATTCGTTTCGTCCTGTCTGGTCCATGGCATGGTGTTTTAGCCGTAGTTCCTAATGGGTTAACGTTGTCATGTAGCCTTGCATGATGCAGTGAGTCAGTGACCACTTCACACTATTTGTTTTGTGTTGTCTGACCGCCTCCGTGCTGGAGTATAGAGCGGGAACGTTCGTAGTTCGTACCCCGGCTGAGTCAAACCAAAAGACAAGAAAATGTGATATCTGTTGTTACCCTGCCTGGCTCTCGGCATTTAGGGGCTAAAACAAGGACTGGTCGGCTCGGAGTCAGTATATGTATCCAAGTCGGTTATTCAAGTTGAACCCCGGCATATGGTATCTCAGAGAACTAGCACTATTAAATAATCGACATTAGTCCAGACTGGTATAAGCACACACAGATACACACAGACAGGAAATGTTTGCCACGTAAAAAGAAATAAATGTATTAAATATTATGTTTTAAAGGTTATATACCCATGCACACACATACATCCTCAGCAACACGTGACGTGACGCTAAAACCCTCAACCCCTCCTCACCATTTTTAAAGGTGTGACTTGCAGTTATATAACCACACACACACACACACACACACGCACACACACTGTGTGTAAGTGCAATTTTCTCCTCGCCTCGTCTGTCTGGTCTCTGGCATGGTGTTTTAACAGGTAATCCCTATTTGTTTTGAGCTTACTTGTCTCTGTTGTAGTGTTAAACATGTGAACTCTGTTTGTTTCAGTGATGTTCCTGGTATGGTGTTTTAACCCCAAATCTCCATGTAGCGTACATGTCACTAAAATGAGCTACTGTGGCGGATATTGTAATTTTTGTTTAAACATAAGGTTTACTTTGTTGAAGCAAATGTCAAGTTTGTTTGTTTGTTGTTTAACGCCACTCTCCGCAATATTCAAGCTATATACATGGTGGTCTTCTGTAAATAATCGAGTCTGGACCAGACAATCCAGTGACTGACATCATGTGCACCGATCTACACAGTTGCGATACGATGACATGCGTCAACCAATTAAGTCGGCGGGCCTGACCATCCGATCCCGTTAGTCGTCTCTTACAAGCATGAGTTGCTGAGGACCAATTCTAACTCGGATCTTCACGGGGGTATTCCCTCGAAGTGAACAGAAGTGTGTTTAACCACAGGAGTCCGTATCTAAAAATAGACGCCCTCATGCATATTCATGACCATCTCCACACGCGCGTCCATTTTTAGATACGGACTCCTGTGGTTTAACATACACTACATGCCGCCTCACACGGCAAGAATAGTCGCCTCTTACAAGCATGGTCTGCTGGAGACCAATTCTAACCTTGTCCTCATGGGTCCGACATGTAGAACATGTTATGTTGACATAACATTTCTTTATTCAGTATATTGGCTGAAGGCAAGAGGTTAAGTTCCAGTGCGGACAGACGGACGGAGATCCATAGCGTAAGCGGACACTGTCGATGTGAAGGAGAGCCAACATGATTTTATATGATCTATATTCAACTGTAGGGACTGACTTAACTGATCTGGTTTATCTCACAATGATCACAAACCGCAGCCATATAGCTGGAATTATTCTTTCAAAGTAACAGCGATATTGTTGTAATGCTATTTTATAATGAAGCAATTCTGTGGAAACATGCAGATATTGTTAACACTGAAACCCAGAACGTTGTGAGCTCTGACAGTTACCTCCTGTAGACTGCCACGTCAACTATTCACTGACCAAAAGTGCTAATATCTCGCCTCACGGACAGAAGCTGTATGGGGAAATAGGTCGGATAGAGCTAGACTGGTACCCTGCCCTTCGCCTCCTTGTGGCTGCAGGTGAGGAGCGCAAGCGCTGTAGGGCAGGTAAACCACCCAGGGACAGGGCGTGTCTCCCTTGTAATTGTTGAGGTATAACAAACATGTTGAGTGTAATAATTTACAGTTAGGAATGTCTTAGCACCTATTTTCATAAATATTTACATATTTCGTAGGTAAGACAAAGATAAAGTTTCTCTTAAAAGTTTGGCTACATCTTTCCAACTAGTACTCATCCCCATTCCAGTCCTTGTGCCTTGCAATAAAATAAATTACAGATGTAAATACTCCAAGCACATATTGCATAGCGGTGATAACTGACACACCTTCAAGTACATGTAGGCTACAAACAGTGTTTGATCACCAGAGCCGTAGTCCCAGGATACACTGCCTTCTTAGTCTACAGCCTGAATATACAATATACAACATACGCTTCTGTTATTTTTCTATATTTTATTCTTTGTGCTTTATGTACAGCTTTGTCACCAACTGATGACAACTGTTGATTTGCATTTTCTATTTATTCTGTTCAATTTTTGTGATCTTAGTTGTCCTCTTCAGATGACATGGTAAAATCACTAGCTTCTCACTAGCTTGAGTAATGATATAGTAGAAATCCTCATGATCACACTGACACAGTCTCCTATTTGGTTGGAAGAAACATCCAAATTGCAGTACAGATGGTCCACTGTAACTGATGACCCTCTTTTGACAGGATCATGTGCATGCTGATGATTACAGAATGGTGACTGCCTTATTATCCAGACCAAACTGTTGAGGTTGACAATATCCTTTCGGTGATTGCCCGGTCTAACTGAGCAGAGTGCTGCATGTTTGTCAAGGCTGAGCACTAAGGTTGGATTCCTTCATGGGTCCAGTATGTGATGCCTCTGCTTGGGGAGTCTGCATGGTATTGTTACATGTGCTGATGTATGTTTGAATGTGTGGGTTTTACTTTATATGTTGATCTGTACCTTGGGTGCAATTAGACATGACTTGAAGTAACGGGCTTTCAGTTGACTAAATTGCTTCTTATGTAAGCTTGTGATCTGATTGATTCAAGGGAGTAGTGAGTGAGTGAGTTGGGTTTAACGCCGTTTTTAACAGTATTCCAGTTATATCGCGGCGTGTCAGCTTAATGTGGGAGGAAAGCCCGAAGTGATGCAGGTCTCAAACGTTTACCACTTCAGTGAAACCCACGAGCACGGGTATGGTGCTGACAAACCTAGAAACATAATTGGGGCGAAACGGGATTCGAACCCACAATCATAGGTTTCTGGCGTGCCCAAGGGACGCAACTCTGCACAGCGAATCGCGGCGCCTTAGACGACTGGGCCACCCGTGCCCCCGATTCAAGGGAGTAGCTTTTGTGTGTTTCGTGAAAGTATCGGCAAAGCATTTTGAAACACTTGTGATTGTTGTAGACGTTCAGTGGTGTTTGTGACTGTGTGAAACAGCCTTGTTTGTATTGAAGCATACCCCTTTACTTTACCTTAACTCATAAAAGTATCCTTTAATATCCAAGTAGATGGAGAACTATAATATGAGTCCTCTAGAAGTAAATCCGATCCACAATGTGATGGATCTCCAATACTTAAACATAGACATACAACTGCCATTGTGCTATGATCACTTTGTGGACTGGCCCAGGCGTTGAATCCCTAATTTTGGTGTTCCCCACAGTGATATTGCTGCAATACCCCTCAACACAGCATACAATTCTACCCTCACCCAAGGCAAAACGTTGTGTTATTTCCGAACACTGGTTCCTGGCTGAGATTTATTGAGGTGTGGACTATGATACAGAGGTGGGCATACATAAATAGGGCCGTAGTTATGAGGAGAGCTGGCTGAGCTTCTCGTTGAGGGCCAGCTGTGTCCTGGTCAGGTTTGTAAGGTACACCACCATCAGCAAGTCCTGAAACATACAAGTTTGCTGCTGTAACTAAACATGAAGAGAGAATAACATTGATTAACATAATACGCCATTTTGTTTGCATATTATTAAAACATCATATCATGATGTTTTTATTCCAAGGAATGAACTTCAAATGAACCTTGAGATTATTTTGCCTTTGCGAATTGGCATGATCTCTTGGCACATGAGGAAAGTCTGCACAACAAGAAAGTACATTGGCCTTATGAAATTGTGATAGTGGTCTGTAAACAATCGAGTTTGGACCAGACAATCAGTGATCAATATTGTGAGCAATGATCCACGCCGTCAGGTACCATGACACGAAGTTAACCAAGTTCCAGAGTCTGTCCATTTAGTCGCCTCTTATAAGAGAGTTATTGTGTATGGTTTTACACCACTTTTAGCAACATCACAGCAGGGGACACCACATATAGTGAGTGAGTATGGTTTAACGCCGCTTTTAGCAATATTCCAGCAATATCACGGCGGGGGACACCACATATAGGCTTTACACATTGTATCCATGTGGGGAATACAACCTGGGTCTTCGGCGTGACTAGCGAACACTTTAACCACTAGGCTTCCCCACCGCCCATCACCTCTTACGATGAGCATAGGTTGCTGGGGCCCAGATAATAAATGACTGAGGTTTATTTTTGTTTGCCGCTACCAACGACCTAATTTATGTACAAACTGATATTAAACTGCAGGAACAACGGCCTTATCATTGCGGCAAATCACAGACAAAGGGAGTACAAACCTTCATGTTGGAATTCAGCATGGACTCGAAGTCCTCGGTGTCTGTGTGAGGGATACTGGTGACGATGTTCATCAGCATCCTTCCTGTCTTGCTGTCAGCAGGCAACTTGCCACTCTGCAATAGGCAACCCATTGTATGTACTCCGACAACGCAATCTACGCACTCCAACAACCCATTGTATGCACTTTGACAACGCAGTCTACGCACTCCGACAACCCATAGTACGCACTCCAACAACCCATTGTATGCACTTTGACAACGCAGTCTACGCACTCCGACAACCCATTGTACGCACTCCGACAACCCATTGTACACACTCCGACAACCCATTGTATGCACTTTGACAACGCAGTCTACGCACTCCGACAACCCATAGTACGCACTCCAACAACCCATTGTATGCACTTTGACAACGCAGTCTACGCACTCCGACAACCCATAGTACGCACTCCAACAACCCATTGTATGCACTTTGACAACGCAGTCTACGCACTCCGACAACCCATAGTACGCACTCCAACAACCCATTGTATGCACTTTGACAACGCAGTCTACGCACTCCGACAACCCATTGTACGCACTCCGACAACCCATTGTACACACTCCGACAACCCATTGTACACCCTCCAACAAACCATTGTACACACTCCGACAACCCATTGTACACACTCCGACAACCCATTGTACACCCTCCAACAACACATTGTACACACCCCGACAACCCATTGTACACACTCTGACAAACCATTGTACACCCTCCGACAACTCATTGTACACCCTCCGACAACCCATTGTACACCCTCCAACAACACATTGTACACACCCCGACAACCCATTGTACACACTCCAACAACCCATTGTACACCCTCCGACAACTCATTGTACACCCTCCGACAACCCATTGTACACCCTCCAACAACCCATTGTACACACCCCGACAACCCATTGTACACACTCTGACAAACCATTGTACACCCTCCAACAACACATTGCACACACTCCGACAACCCATTGTACACACTCCAACAACCCATTGTACACCCTCCAACAACACATTGCACACACTCCGACAACCCATTGTACACACTCCAACAACCCATTGTACACACTCCAACAACCCATTGTACACACTCCGACAACCCATTGTACACCCTCTGACAAACCATTGTACACACTCCAACAACACATAGGTTACTAAGGACCTGTCCTAACCCAGAATACCCACGGTACAACCAGCATAGGTTACTAAGGACCTGTCCTAACCCGGAATACCCACGGTACAACCAGCATAGGTTACTAAGGACCTGTCCTAACCCGGAATACCCACGGTACAACCAGCATAGGTTACTAAGGACCTGTCCTAACCCGGAATACCCACGGTACAACCAGCATAGGTTACTAAGGACCTGTCCTAACCCGGAATACCCACGGTACAACCAGCATAGGTTACTAAGGACCTGTCCTAACCCGGAATACCCACGGTACAACCAGCATAGGTTACCAAGGACCTGTCCTAACCCGGAATACCCACGGTACAACCAGCATAGGTTACCAAGGACCTGTCCTAACCCGGAATACCCACGGTACAACCAGCATAGGTTACTAAGGACCTGTCCTAACCCGGAATACCCACGGTACAACCAGCATAGGTTACTAAGGACCTGTCCTAACCCGGAATACCCACGGTACAACCAGCATAGGTTACTAAGGACCTGTCCTAACCCGGAATACCCACGGTACAACCAGCATAGGTTACTAAGGACCTGTCCTAACCCGGAATACCCACGGTACAACCAGCATAGGTTACTAAGGACCTGTCCTAACCCGGAATACCCACGGTAAACCAGCATAGGTTACTAAGGACCTGTCCTAACCTGGAATCACCACAGTACAACCCTCATAGATTGTTAGACGACTATTTTCTTCAGTGATGGTAACTTCATTAAATATACACAACTATATCATCAACTTCATAAATTTGATTAACCAGTATCAAAAACATAATTTGATTGCAAGAAGTAAAACAAGTTCTATACTAAGATAATAAATCAAAATACATATTACTCAAAAGAAATTAAGGAACCCAAGATTCTTTCACATCAGTTGCCCAAGCCTGCACTACATACCAGAACATCATCGACGTATGATAAGACAAGTACAATGATCTCCTTCAGCTTCTTCGTGGAGCTCTCAACGAGTGCCAGGTCCGAAGACATGGACACACTTCTCTTGTTGACAGTCTTCCCCTGCTGCAGGACGTTCACTGAAATGAGACAAGTGTCAGTGAGTGAATGTTGTTTTATATTGAACCCACAGCCTGCAAATGTTTTCTTTTAGATTTTTTAAAGACTAGTCTCATAGACTCAAATTATTGCTTATTGCTCCTCATTTCTGAAAAGCAGTGGAAACTTCCTGAACTGTGTTCCCGGAGAACAGAGAAAACATCTCACCCAACCTCACCCCTGGACTGTGCATGTGCACTGGAAGCATGTGACCAAGACCGGTTACTCGTCACTCTCTCATCCTAAGTCATACTTATTGCTTATAATTAAGTGGCGGAATATGAAACTGTCTGTCTGGCTGATCAGGTAGTTGATTCTTGGTGGTAAAATCCTATCAAAGGTTGAGATAGGTCAATACTTTATCGCCTCTGACAAACTAATCGCATGAATCTCTGACATTCTAACTGCCGTGGTTAGGGCTAGTGGAAACAACCTCTTCTGAGTAAGACGTTCAAAAGCAGCATGTAGTAAGGGTTCATATGCTTCACTGGTAAGGTGATGAAGCACCACATTCAGATCTCAGGCTGGGGCTTTGAATTGGCCATCAAGCCTGTACAATCTTAGTAAGGCTAATAATTCTGGAACTTTGAGTTGATTCTGTTATGCATTATTAGAACGGAAACAATCGCTGCAAGAGATGCTTGTCATTGAACCTTTGAGATTCCTTGTACTACGTATGTGACAAAGGAATTCTGCTACTTGTGGAAAGGGTAGCTTTAGCTGCCGTAAAAACTTTAAAATTGATCACATGAATTCCTCAAAGATCCACAAAGGGCCAGAGAGACTGCCTTGCCTGCTCTGTATGAAATCCCCTTCTAGTGACATTGAACGTGATAGGTTCCATATGTGAAGTATGTAAGAGTCTGGGTTTTTTTTATAAACTTGCATGGTGTGGGGATGTAGAGTGAGTGAGTATGGTTGTACGCCACTTTTAACAATATTCCAGCAATATCACAGCGGGGGACACCAGAAATGGGCTTCACACATTGTACCCATGTTGGGAATCAAACCCAGGTACTCGGCATGACGAGCGAACGCTTTAACCACTAGGCTACCCGACTGCCCCTGGGGATATAGAAGGAAGTTTGGCCAGCTTGGGAGTATTACTTTTGGTTTCCCTGTTAGTGCGAAGAGTTCTGGGAACCAAGTCCTTACTAGCCTGTAAGGCGCACCCAAAACCAGTAATTAGTTGTTGGTCAGTTCGACTTTCTGAATAATCAGTGGAATTAGTACCAGTAGTGGGAACGTGTAAGCATGTAGCCCTTCCTAGGATATGGCCTGGGAGGCAAATTTTCTATCAAGGCTTTCCTTTGTGAAAGTCCTCATTGGGTGAGGTGAGGTGAGGTGAGGTGAGGTGAAACAGGGTTAAACGTCGCATTCACAATTAGTGCACTTATAGAACGACTTGCATGTGTGTGTTTGTGGCTGCTTGGACAAATGCCTGTTTTATAGTGCTAGCCCACTGAGATACCGTGCTGCAGGTTAAATGAATACCTCACTCAGACACAGTATACTGAGTCCGAGCCAACCAGTCCTTGTTATAGCCCCTTAATGCCAAGTGCCAGGCAAGATAAAAACAAGTACCATATTTTAACATCTTTTAGTATGACGTGGCCAGAGATGAAACCACGACTTCCTGCTCTCCAGGCAGATGTTTTATCACTAAGCCATGAAGGGGGTCAGCCTCATTGGGGAAAAGCCCTATGTCCAAGTAATGAAGCATAACACTAACCTCCAATCTGTTCTGGCTCATATCTGACGATGTCGATAGTCACTGGTGTAAACATTGTCCCAACAGTCCGTCCTGGGACTCCCATCGGAGTGCTGAAAACAAACTAACTGGTCAGTACGAAAAGGGAGCTGAGAAGTTGTCAAAATGTTGTTTTCTGGCATTGATATAATAAATATGCTAAACTAAAACAATGCAAAAAGTGACATGTACCACCTGACAAGCCAACAGTAGAAACCAATATAATTTAGTCATTTACTATGGTGAACACAAGAAAAACTTTCAAATTCTGCACATTTCTACTGCACATATGATATCTTCCTTATAATCAACATTTAGTTGGGACTGTATATATATGCCAGGTTGATGCCCCCCTCCTGCCCCCCTCCTTCCCCCCTCTTCAGACACTTAACATGTTAACTGTGCCCTTGGGAATAATGTGCACCCCTCCCTTTTTTCATCAAAATCCTGAATCCACTGATGACGCATTCAGGGGTATGATTATCATCTTCCAAGGATCTCTCATGATTTGAACCTACAACCAACAGAACCTGATAGCATAGGGACTTAACTCTGCATAGCAAGTTTCAGCTCCTCGACCACAGGGCCAAGACAAATTAATGTCTAAAATCTGCAGAATAGTGTGTATATTTTAAACACAATCATCTCTTAAATACAGGAGATGCTTTGATAATATGTTCTAAATTTGTCTAGGAGATATGTTGGAATGCCTAAATGGATGTCATATAATTCTGGGGCAAAGTAGGTACAAGCAACTCACACTTGTCATAAGAGAAAGGACTAAAACATGAGATGGTTGAAACAATGTGTGATCTGACTTAATATCATATCTCGATGGTGAGGTTTGTTGTTTGGGCTCTCAATAATTGGTCAGTCTGGTTAGACTTGATTACTAAGAGCCTTATCTTAACCATAAATTGTGAGATAAACACAGCGACTGGTGTCGAAAAACATTAACACCCTCACTCACCTGACATATGCCTTCATCCCAAGTTTGCCGGTCTTGACGGTTGTGTCGACTGTGAGATGTACTGGGTTTTTGGCCTCTCTGGAGTAGTACTCGTGGATCAACACGGAGTGGCTGGACACATCCCCGCTGGTGGAGTACCTGTGACATCACAACATGATTACCAAACTGGCACAACTTGGGGGCTTAAAATAGCAAACTGCTATCCAGTGGTCACCATGGATGTTAACCCTAGGCAGTGTTCAGAAGTAAGTTGGGTCCTGAGAGTGAGTATATTATACCATCATATATCTATAAATGTTTAAAATATTTACCAGCCCACGATAACTTCTGCTGCATTAACCTTGCGGTACAGCTCGTACATATTTCTGGCATACTCAATATCAATGGCCACCTGAAACATGTAATATAAAAAGATGACATGAGAATCCTGATGACAAAGATAGACATTTTATCATTACAAAAAATTGTCAAATTGATTACTAAATCCTGGACATGTACAACCACTGACATACAGTAAATATAACATTGATAATCTTATTTCAGAAAATATTTGTGAGTGAAAATTTACGCTGCATTGACATTATTTCAGAAAAATAGAAACAAACATGATTCTAAGTTATATGAGCAAAATAATATTACACACAAGGCCTAAATACAAATCATCCAAATCTTTGAAGGCATTTAGAAGTTGGAAGAACATGAACACATGAAGTTTCTATGGATTACAATTTCTTTATTGTTTGTAACAAATGTTACATTTGAGATTTAGGATATTATGTTTGCAATGACATATTTGTCCCTTCATCAGGTAAATAAAGAAGTTGTTATCCATAAATCTTTCCTGTCTTCAAATCCTCTAAATAAAGCAAAACTACACGAAACAGAAATTCTCATGTAGATAACACACCTCATCATCAGATTCATTGTGCGGCACAGCAAAACAATTTGTCACTTCTATTGCACCCTTCTCATATGATCCTGAAACACAGATGTACACTACAGATAATTTCAAAACAATTTCAGCAAGGTGTTACATAAAAATTGATACACAGAAAGCATGATAGACATGTAAATGGGTTTGTTCTGAACATGGTGAATGCTGTTACCATCATAACTCATTACTGTTGTCAATGTTGTAGATTCTATCGCACAAATCTTATTAAAAGAGCCATATGGTGAGTCTAGTTTGATTGAAAACAATAATTTTAGGCTCTTCATTAGGAAATCGGAAACAGACATATCAAAAGCTACTTGGTAATAGTACTCTGACAGAACGAGACACGAGTTCCCAGTCAAATGACTTGAATTTGGCCACATGTTGTTTGTGATTTTGAAGTTTCTCCGACTGCTAAAAGAAAACATCACCAACATACGAAGACATTTTGTTACAAATCGGAGCCTGTGGAGTTGCTTTTATCATAACAGTTCAAATCCGTACCAAGCAGGGTGCCAATAACTCGTTTGGAGTCTTCATTTCTTCGTTCGTACGAATCAACAATGCTGAAAAGGACCACAGGATGAACCCGGCACACGAGGTGGGTCGCCATTTTGGAGGAAAAGAATTAGCCGTGAAGTTAATGGTATAAATATATGTTCTACAGTATCCCAATATAAACACTGCCGAATCAATTAAATAATGTTGTTACGATTTTTACAATGAACCTTAATTAGTATTTCTATTATCTATTTAGTCATTTTTAACAAGTTGCTTTGAAGCTATCATTTACTGCGGTACAACAAGGCTCTGAAAATTGATTTCCGGCTTAAAATAACTTTCACTATTTTTCATTGCATAATGCAACTATAGCTCCACGCAATTTGTTGGGCGTCGTCGAATAGTGATACAAATAACATTTGGTTATAGGTTTGTATGATTATCATTATTCAAAAATGTAACTTTACACAGGAAAAGTTCTCCTTGAAAATCGTCTACCAAGTATCACATGGGAATGTGAAAGGATCACAGTTCTGAAAACATGCATTGAGTGATTATCAGGTGTCATGACAATCTCAGCTATCGAAATTAATTTTTTACTCCACGTGTCTTACGTCTACAGACGTTTTGGACGAAACTGTTGGTAAATGCTGCTTACTGAGCAGATGTAGGAATCGTAATCGCAGTCTAGATTATAACTGTTCAATAGGTAATGGTCAATATAAAATGCAAACACTTTGCTTACTTTACGAATTGTATTTTGTTTGAAAAATACGTTTGCATAGAAATGTGGTATCCAGTTATAAAAACTATAATTATAGAAAATGTGAATAAATAGTTTGTTTAGATGCAGCCCAGTTGTTTATTCCACACATTCACTTGATTGTTTGGTATGTAGCCAGCCAAGCTGCACTCTGTTGGTTGCCCAGGTAGCATCCAACACTAAATCAGAATCAGACAATATTCAGGGGATCCATTTGGATCCCTGAGATTTTTGGGATGGTATTTATTAGGGCTGTCACGATTCACTCGCATATTTTATGAATCAATCCATATCCCTTAATGAATTGAATTCGATATTCGTAGTCATAAGAATCGAATATTTACGAAAAAATACAAATATTCATCAGAACTTATTATATGCATACATAGATTTCTTCAAAGACAACACTCCTATATGTTTAATTTGAAAATAATGTGGTCACTGGTCATTGTCACATTTGAGCAGATACTAATACGTTTATATATAAATGTATAATATAATAATAATCATTAACACTGTCAGGATGGTCAAACCATGTCAAATAGTTCATTTTGTGTTTGTTTCACTGAATATAATAAAGGATACATCAACTGATGACTTGTTGCTGTAAACAACAAATATTCATAAACAAATATTCATATTTGTTACCCTATATTTGTGGTACATATCATATTCGCCTCGTAGTGTATTCGTTGCAGCCCTAGTATTTATGTATGTTTTCATTTGGCTAAGCTATTCAGTATTACTTGCTAGTGATCATTTGTCCCCCACACATGGTCATGACTTGTTTTACGTTTGCTTGCCTTCATTCAAGGAAGAAATATTAATCCAAAAATGATGAGCAATATTGCCTCCAGCTTGGAAATATTAAAAAAACACCAGTTAAGCACCTTGCACAATATAATTTTAGAAAAGACACATGGGAGTGTCACGTGACAGTTCATGTAAAACAAATTCCAACAAGGTGATGCAAATTTGGTTCAGTCATTGCTTACAGTATGTCTGTCATTTCAACCCAAAATACAACCTAATTTAGCACTTTCATAACCTGATTAGATCATGAAATCACATTGAGAGTGGATGTGTTGTATTCAGGACAGTTATTGTTCACATGCTGTTATGTATAGGGTTTTCTTGTAGAAATGTCGTTTGGTGAACAATGATAACAACATACTTGTTAAAAGGTTCATGGTTCCCAAGTAAGAATTTTATTTCAAAATTGTTTGTCAACTAGTGTATTTATCAAAGAAAAACAAATTGTACCATACTGCATATGTCTAGGTTTTGTAGCCTCTATCATGCATACAACGTAATAGACCTATGAATGCATAATTTTGTTTGTTTGTAATTAGTGTGCAATAAATACTTTTTAGGTATGTAGCTTCAGCAGGTTTGCCAAAGCGGAATGTGTTTTGTATTTCATTTTCCTGTTTCTGGATTTGACTTTCTGAAGCCACATTTATAAATAAATAAAATAAATGGAATTTAGTCCAGATAGTTTGTAAAACTTTGTTTATGAATTTGGGGACTCCCCAAAACTGAAAGGTGAAAATCAAAGAAAAATGAAAAGCAGTGATTTTTTTATTCCATCAACCAGAAAAAGGTAAAATGTTTAAAACCCCAACTAATTTACTGTCACTATCAATAAACTATAAGAATGTGTGCCCTTTTTATTATTTGTCAGGTCCCTTCGATTGACCCGTAAAGAGCCGGGATAGAATAGGTCTTCAGCAACCCATTGCTTGCTGTGAAAGGCGACTATTCTTGTCGTAAGAGGTGACTAACGGGATCGGGTGGTCAGACTCACTGACTTGGTTGATCGGTGTCATGGATCCCAATTGCGTGAATCAATGGTCATGATATCAATCACTGGATTGTCTGGTCCAGACTCGATTATTTACAGACCGCCTTCATATAGCTGGAATATTGCTGAGTGCGAGTTAAACAACAAACAAACAATATTATTTGTCAGCATTTGTGAATAATATTTTTTCACAGAAAGTTTATATATCTTCATGTATAAGCTCTGGATGCTGTTAACTGTCAATAATGAGACACAAAGCATTTCTGATGGAAATGTACATGTTAGAACATGAACATGTTTCTGCAGAATATGTTGCATGTATGTTTTCCCACAAAAAACAAATTATCCAATAAAATCAGTTTTGCCAAATTAACTTCTTTTTCTTTATCTTGACCACCAACCATCCAATTTTGGATTAAAAATAAGTAAACCAAGTAATTAAAAAAAAAATAGAGTCTTAATAGTTTTAAGGCAATACTGTAACCTTGGTAACAGTAATGTTCTGCAAATTTTAGAAAAAAACACAACATTTTGCTTTAAATAGACCCATTAGCATTTCAGATTGTTGTATAAATGAAAAAAAAATTTCTCTTGTCATTCTGCGTGATTGTTTATGGCCTTTAGAACAATGTTGGGGATGAAATCCTAATAAAGCTAATTGTGGACTTGACATCCTACATCTGGTTCCTTGCTCACACAAAGTTAATCAGTGTTTGTCGTTTCGCTTCAGTCATGCACAATTATTTTCAATTGTTTCATGCTGTAGTGTTGTTCTGTTTAGTGCTACATGGATGCAAGCTGATTGACAAATGGACTCGATGGACCCAGAAATCGATTCTGATGATGGCAACTGGCCCGAGTTCCAAGACTCCTCTGTTCGGACAGAGAGGTGTTTGTTTGGTCGGGAGGAGGTTCAGCTGCCTGAAGTCCTTATAGAACAGGTAGGTCCAAATTAGTTTATTAGCATGCTTTTTTTTGGAGTGTGCAGTGAGTTTTGCAAGACTAAAAATATGACCCAATATTAACTTAAGTATCATATGAGTGTGTTTTTATCATTATTTATCATTTTGTTTGTGTTTCTCTTAGCATTTCTTGGTGATATGACCCATGGTGTTGAGCTCAAGGTACTGGTTAACATTCGGGGGGCACGGGGTCTAAGGCGCTGTGATTGGCTGTGCAGAGTTGCGTCCCTTGGGCACGCCAGAAACCTATGATTGTGGGTTCGAATCCCGGTTTGCCCCAATTATGTTTCTAGGTTTGTCAGCACCATACCCGTGCTCGTGGGTTTCACCGAAGTGGTAAACGTCTGAAACCTGCATCACTTCAGGCTTTCCTCCCACATTAAGCTGACACGCCGCGATATGACTGGAATAATGTTAAAAGCGGCGTTAAACCCAACTCACTCACTCACTCTGGTTAACAATCCATTCTGTTGTGAGTCTGAGATGTGTTAGTAATCGGTCTCTTGCATCAATGGCATTGAATGAATTGTTAAATCAAATAACTACATGATATCAAGGTCACAATTTAAAAAGAACAAATTTTAATAACTTTGCTTTAAAAAAATAAATGAAACTATGGCAATGGAATATGTCATTAGGTTCTCTTTGGAGAATTGGATCAAATTCATAATAGTACATTTACAGACTTTGTCCATGTAGGATAAATTACCTGATATTTGACAAAGAGTACACGTAAATGTAAAGTTGATCTTTTGGTAATATTTTTTAGTGCCCTACACATTATACAAATACAGAGTTGTCTCCCTTTGCATTACACCCAATATTACTTCAGGTTTCTTTTGACGCTCAAGGTTTGCTAATATCCTTTGATTCCTTACGTTCTGTATTCTGTGTACTACTATATATAGATTCTATGAGGTTGTGATGATGACATGTGTGATGTGGGGAGGTCAGTGTGCGAGGGGAGGGTGTGTTCCGCAGGGTCGAGCCCATTGTGTCTGTCTGAAGCCTTTCTTATTGTCGGTTGACCGCCTCTGTGGTCTAGTGGTAGAGTAGAGAGCGGAAAGTCCGGGGTTCAATACCAAAAGACATTACAAAATGGTACTTGTTGTTACCCTGCCTGGCGCTGGTCATTAAGGAGTTAAAACAAGGATTAGTCGGCTCAGAGTCAGTATACTGTGTCTGAGTGGTGTGTTCATGTTAATCTGTGGCACAGTATCTCATCGGCCTAGTAGACTAGTACAAGCAGCCACACACGTACATGCATGCACATCGCTATATAAGTGCAATACCTTTGGAGGAGACTTTAAACCCCATTTCATCTCACCACCTATTGTCAGTTGGATCTGTTGATTGTTATTTACAAAAGTGGAATAGTTGTAAAACTGTTGCTATAATTCCAAAAACTTTTTTTTCTGTGTATGCTTATTCTTTCAGAGTCATATATTTCAAGAAGTGTTATCACAAGATATGTGGGACACAGCCCTGAGTGATGCACAAAAACAGCACCTAATGGTGAGTCATGGATAGGAGTTGAGGGGAGACAACTGGTCCTACAAACAATGATGCAGCAGTGTTGTGTGTAACATTTAGTTGTTTGTTGGTGTTGAATGAGTGATTGAAGGAGTAACGTTTAACCATATGTCAATTTGAGTAGCCATGGGAGCATATAGGAGGAGACAGGTTGTAGATGTCGCCACGTTTGTCGAAGCCTGGACCTCAGCTGTCTCAGTGGTTGCTGGTGGAATTTTTAACTGATAATAAGTGCTATTTTTGAACATTGGTAAATTCTTCAATTGATGTGATTTAGGTATGAGAAATGTTTCGGTATCATTACCCTGGAATGAAGTATTTTTCAAACTGACTGTGAGAGCTGATGTTTCGTTGTTGACTATGAAGCATAATCTATGTAGAATCAGTGTAAATTATATTTGAACTTACTTGTTATTTTGTTAAGGAGGTGTTTGAAAGTCAAAGTAGTGTTTCTCCAACTGCCATTGTGTGTACGAGTGGCCCAGTAGTTTAAGGTGTGCAGAGTTGCCTCCCCTGGACGTGCCTGAAACCTTTAATCATGGGTTCGAACCCCAGTTTGCCCCAGTTATGTTTCTAGTTGGCCCAGTTGTTTAAGATGCTGCAATTCACTGTGCAGAGTTGCCTCCCCTGGACGTGCCTGAAACCTTTGATCATGGGTTCGAACCCCAGTTTGCCCCAGTTATGTTTCTAGTTGGCCCAGTCGTTTAAGATGCTGCAATTTGGTGTGCAGAGTTGCCTCCCCTGGACGTGCCTGAAACCTTTGATCATGGGTTTGAATCCCAGTTTGCCCCAGTAATGTTTCTAGGTTTGTCAGCACTATTTATTCCGGAGGTGTAACACGTTCTGAAACTCATAGTGTTTTTAATTGCCATTTAACTCCAAGTTCTTTTACAGGATACATTTTCTGAAGTTGTTATTCGTCGTTCTAAGGATAATGTTTTATGGAATTATTTCAGAAATTCCTGCCAAAGTTTCCACAAAAAGATGGTGAAGAAAAGGAAGAAACTGTAAGGTAATGTGTAATTGGATTTCTGTTTTTCTTCCTGCCATTATTTCCTCTCTTGTATCTTACTCACTAGACTCGTAACTCAATCTTGATATGTTTACACAACACAAGGTGGGATGAATGTCTCACTGGCTTTGTCGTTATGTTGTTATCTTTGTACATTCATTCCGCCTTGTGTTGAGTTAACATATCATGATATATTTTTATATACAAACACTATGCACTCCCTCAGCATTCACCCGATGAAGGAGCAAGAAGTAGCTCTGAAACGTCGTGACAAAGAATAAAAGAAGTTGCTATCCATTAAAAGTGACATGTATCCATGTTCTTCAAACTTCAAAATGCGTATCAAAGACAATTTTGATCACGTAATATTGGTTTGCTTTACTATTTGTTGTAGGGGGCACGGGTGACCCAGTTGTCTAAGGCGCCACGATTCGCTGTGGCACGCCAGAAACCTATGATTGTGGGTTCGAATCCCGGTTCGAACCGATTATGTTTGTAGGTTTGTCAGCACCATACCCGTGCTTGTGGGTTTCACCGAAATGGTAAACGTCTGAGACCTGCATCACTTTGGGCCTTCCTCTGACATTATGCTGACACGCCGCGATTTAACTGGAATACTGTTTAAAGTGGCGTTAAACCCAACTCACTCACTCATGTATTCATGTTCTTCCAACTTCTAAATGCGTATCAAAGACAACTTTGATCACGTAATAATGGTTTGCTTTACTGTTTGTTGTAAATTGTGTATTAATTTGTGTTTCAGGAGAATATTCTCAGGCGATGAGTTCAAGTTTGGAAACCCGTTAACTCAGTTTCAATCACAGCTACGAGGTAAGAAGACACACTGTTGACACTGTTGACAGTACAGGAAAACCTCGTTAGTCGAGAAACCCTGTGTTCTGTCTGATAGCAAAGTTTGTGTTCAATCAAGGGGACATTGCTGGGTACACATGAATCGTTAATCCAGAGCTCGTTAATTGGTTTTACATAGAATGGTACTACATGTATCCACATACATTGGTTTGACTGTAGAGGCGTTTCAGTGTCAACTGCTAGTCATTCCTGTGACAAGAGACGTCCTGTGATGTTGCACAAATGTTGTTAATTAAGTATCCGAAATCTGTCTTTGTTTAAGTACATTTTCATTAGTGATATGGACTCTTATTATCATTGCCCGTAAAAAACTTGAGCTAGCTGATCAATTATTGGAAGATGGAATATAAAAACAAAATGATCAACACAATTATTCAGACCACTGTATAGAGCAAGTCGCGTATATGATGACCTTACATGAGCATATAAACTGATGGCAGGCTGGATTTCATATTTTGTATGGCCTCAGCAGCAGTCCAGATAGAAACTATGACTGTATTCAATGACCCCCAGCCTGTGGTGATTCTAGGTAAAACAGAGGTCCCTGGCTGCCTATGGCATCCTTACGATTCGGGTGATCAGGATTGCTGACTTGGTTGATGCATGTCATCGTGTCCCAAATGTGTAGATCGATGCTCATAATGTCAATCACTAGATTGTCTGGTCGATTAATTATACAGACCGCCATCATATACCTGGAATATTGTTGACTGTGGTGTTAAACAACAAACACAAACAAACGCCAACATCCCCTTTATGTGAGTTATGTCTGATATGATATTAACTGTTGGTGTTTAATAAAGTTGGAAGATGTACATTCTATTAATACTTCATACATTAATGTGTGAGTTATGATGACATGTGTATGTCCCAGACTCGATTATACACAGACCGCTGTCATATAGCTGGAATATTGTTGACCTGACCAAACAAACCTGGTAATATGAGGATCTATGTGGCTGTCAAGGCAGTAGGTCGTCTTCCACGGTGTCATGCAGAAGTTAAGTTTCCATTGAGCCATCGACCTGCTTATTTCAGATGGCTTCTACTCACCTGATATAGCGAGATACACTAATCTATGCAAGCAGTACAAATATCGAGAATACAAGTTCCGGCAGCAGCGGTACTACTCAGCTCTACTCAAGGAGGTTATTCTAACAAGACAGGTACGTAGAGCATAGGTCCTGTTACCATGGTTACAGTGGGTACTTCAGTAATTAAGGTACATAGCTCATAGTTCACTGTTACAAAGATTTATTCAGCAATTTAAAGACTGTTAGTTATGTAATAAGAATTGTGGATGCGTTTTGTGAAGGCCAGGGATGAAATCAAAGTACAATGATGTGTTTATGTTGGGGTAATGTGTGTCTGGGAGGTAGGTTTTCAGGATCCAGTAGTTTCAACTTGGGTCAGTGAAAATTGAGATTTTTAACTTTTTTAACTGATGAATCAAGCCACGGCCTGGTCCCAGGGAGAGGGGATCCAGCTAGTGATCAGACTGATGAGTGCTCAGATTACATCAGCAATTTTGCAACATTTGGCAGTGGGGTAGCCTAATGGTTAAAGCGTTCGCTCATCGCATAGAAGGCCTCGCTTCAACTCCACACGCAGATAGAATGTGTGAAGCCCATTTCTGGTGTCCCCTCCCGTGATATTGCTGAAGTAGTGCTAAAAGCCTTAAGTGGCGTAAAACCATATTTACTCACTGGTAAGGATTCCTTGAGGTATGGGAGCGTCATTTCATTACCTCATTCATATTAGACACGCATCACTTTTACACAAGTTAAGATGGCCATGTGTGTTCAAGGGTGATGGGGGAAGTGTGTCCATAGCATAAAGTATCGATAATGTAACAATGAAAAATAAAATGAGTCGTCCTACTAATATTTTTTATGATTGTTTAGCGAGTTCTGGAAGAAGTGGGTCAGGTTCCGCCAGAACAGCCGGTTAAAATGAAGACCACGCGTGCCCCTCCACCAAAAGATAAGTCCCTAGAACACAAGGTCAAGAAGAAATATACAAGGTCAGTGCAACTTTAATAGATGACTTATATTTTCGCATTGGTGGCCCAGTCATCTAAGGCGCTGCAATTAGGTTTCTTGGTTTGTCAGCACCATACCTGTGCAAAGTGGTAAACATCTTGGACCTGCATTATTTCAGGCTTTCCTCCCGAATTAAGCTGACATGCAGTGATATAACTGGAAGACTTCCCAAAGAGGCATTAAACCCAACTTACTCACTCACTTACACACAGTGTATTATGTGGTAATGAAGAGTTGAATGCAAAATATGTTAAGGACTTTCAACTTTCATAATTATTATGATATATTTGTCACTACTTTTATTTGTAGTCTGTTGTCATAAATAATTTTATTCAGAATTTGGACTTTGTATTAGGCATATAGTAGATACAGCAGTTATTTATTTGTTGCCATGGTTACAGATTGCTGAAGGAGGTGCGAGAAGAGTGTGAGGTGGATGAAACATCCTCGGAAGAGGAGGAGGAGGCAGTCAGTGAGTGTATTCAGTGTTTCAGCTGATGGCACTTTAACAGCCTACATCACCATGTGTTATATATCAGACTTGATCCGAACTCATTTCACGTTAAAGAGCTTCATGTCATGCTGAGACTTGTATACTGAATCATGCCCATACATCTAGAATATTGCTGTGTGGCGTTAAACTAAAAAGAATACCAAACCCTCCCACATTAATGTAAATGATCCCATTGCTGTAACTGTAGCCCCTCATTGTCCGATGGATGACACACAGTATATGAAGTACTGTTGAGCCCCACTCACACTCTGTGCTGGGGAGCACGGGTGGCCCAGTCGTCTAAGGCGCCACGATTCACTGTGCAGAGTTGCGTCCCTTGGGCACGCCAGAAACCTATGATTGTTGGTTCGCCCTGATTATGTTTCTAGGTTTGTCAGCACCATACCCGTGCTCGTGGGTTTAACCGAAGTGGTAAACGTCTGAAACCTGCATCACTTCGTGCTTTCCTCCCACATTAAGCTGACACGCTGTGATATAACTTGAATACTGTTAAAAGCGGCGTTAAACCCTACTCACTCACTCACTCACTCACTCACTCACTCACTCACTCACTCACTCACTCCCTGTGCTGTATCCCCCAGGTCCGGTCCAGCGGAGTCGACGACAGCTGTTCAAGTCTCTGGGTCCCATCCCCTCCCCCGAGCCAACCATGCCCAGCGTCCTGGCCACATTCGCTGCCAAACCTCCCATTGTTAATGGTGATGTTCCTGGTAGGTGTCACTACTACTACTCTCTACTTCATCCGTTGTACTCACACTGATCATCCAGACCCGTGAAGATTGCGGGGTAGAATAGGTCTTCAGCAACCCATGCTTGCCGTACGAGGCGACTAACGGGATCGTGTGGTCAGGCTCGCTGACTTGGTTGATGCATGTCATCGATGGTCATGATATCAATCACTGGATTGTCTGGTCCAGACTCGATTATTTACAGACCACCGTCATATAGCTGTAATATTGCTGAGTGCGGCGTTAAACAACAAACAAACCAAACCAAACCACACTGATCATCCGGGTTACAATTGGTCTTCAGCAACTCAAAGCACCCTGAAGTGGTTGTCAGGCTTGCTGACTTGATTGTCTGATGAAGACTTGACTGTTTACAGACCACCTTAATGTAGCTGGACTATTGCTGAGTGTGGCATTAAACAAACAAACTAATTTGCCAATGATTTGACATGCCATTAACAAGCTGTGGGATTACATGATTGACAGCTAATAAAAGGATGTTATGTGGGTCCATTAAGATCTTTACAATGATGTAAATGTGTGTGTATGTTGTGTGTTGTTTCAGGTGTAAATGTGTGTCTATGTTGTTTCTGGTGCAAATGTGTGTGCAAGTGTGTGTGTGCAAGTGTGTGTGTGTGTGTGTGTGTGTGTGTGTGTGTGTGTGTGTGTGTGTGTGTGTGTGTGTGTGTGTGTGTGTGTGTGTGTGTGTGTGTGTGTTGTTTCAGGTGTAAATGTGTGTCTATGTTGTTTCTGGTGCAAATGTGTGCTTATGTTGTTTCAGGTGTAAATGTGTGTCAGTGGTGTTTCAGGTGTAATTGTGTGTCAGTGGTGTTTCAGGTGTAATTGTGTGCCTATGTTGTTTCAGGTGTAAATGTGTGTCAGTGGTGTTTCAGGTGTAAATGTGTGCCTATGTTGTTTCAGGTGTAAATGTGTGTCAGTGGTGTTTCAGGTGTAATTGTGTGCCTATGTTGTTTCAGGTGTAAATGTGTGTCAGTGGTGTTTCAGGTGTAAATGTGTGTCAGTGGTGTTTCAGGTGTAAATGTGTGTCAGTGGTGTTTCAGGTGTAAATGTGTGCCTATGTTGTTTCAGGTGTAAATGTGTGTCAGTGGTGTTTCAGGTGTAAATGTGTGTCAGTGGTGTTTCAGGTGTAAATGTGTGTCAGTGGTGTTTCAGGTGTAAATGTGTGTCAGTGGTGTTTCAGGTGTAAATGTGTGTCAGTGGTGTTTCAGGTGTAAATGTGTGCCTATGTTGTTTCAGGTGTAAATGTGTGTCAGTGGTGTTTCAGGTGAAAATGTGTGTCAGTGGTGTTTCAGGTGTAAATGTGTGTCAGTGGTGTTTCAGGTGTAAATGTGTGTCAGTGGTGTTTCAGGTGTAATTGTGTGCCTATGTTGTTTCAGGTGTAAATGTGTGTCAGTGGTGTTTCAGGTGTAATTGTGTGCCTATGTTGTTTCAGGTGTAAATGTGTGTCAGTGGTGTTTCAGGTGTAATTGTGTGCCTATGTTGTTTCAGGTGTAAATGTGTGTCAGTGGTGTTTCAGGTGTAAATGTGTGTCAGTGGTGTTTCAGGTGTAAATGTGTGTCAGTGGTGTTTCAGGTGTAAATGTGTGCCTATGTTGTTTCAGGTGTAAATGTGTGTCAGTGGTGTTTCAGGTGTAAATGTGTGTCAGTGGTGTTTCAGGTGTAATTGTGTGCCTATGTTGTTTCAGGTGTAAATGTGTGTCAGTGGTGTTTCAGGTGTAATTGTGTGCCTATGTTGTTTCAGGTGTAAATGTGTGTCAGTGGTGTTTCAGGTGTAATTGTGTGTCAGTGGTGTTTCAGGTGTAAATGTGTGTCAGTGGTGTTTCAGGTGTAAATGTGTGTCAGTGGTGTTTCAGGTGTAAATGTGTGTCAGTGGTGTTTCAGGTGTAAATGTGTGTCAGTGGTGTTTCAGGTGTAAATGTGTGTCAGTGGTGTTTCAGGTGTAAATGTGTGCCTATGTTGTTTCAGGTGTAAATGTGTGTCAGTGGTGTTTCAGGTGTAAATGTGTGTCAGTGGTGTTTCAGGTGTAAATGTGTGTCAGTGGTGTTTCAGGTGTAAATGTGTGCCTATGTTGTTTCAGGTGTAAATGTGTGTCAGTGGTGTTTCAGGTGTAAATGTGTGTCAGTGGTGTTTCAGGTGTAAATGTGTGTCAGTGGTGTTTCAGGTGTAAATGTGTGTCAGTGGTGTTTCAGGTGTAAATGTGTGTCAGTGGTGTTTCAGGTGTAAATGTGTGCCTATGTTGTTTCAGGTGTAAATGTGTGTCAGTGGTGTTTCAGGTGTAATTGTGTGCCTATGTTGTTTCAGGTGTAAATGTGTGTCAGTGGTGTTTCAGGTGTAAATGTGTGTGTGTGTTGTTTCAGGTGTAATTGTGTGCCTATGTTGTTTCAGGTGTAATTGTGTGCCTATGTTGTTTCAGGTGTAAATGTGTGTCAGTGGTGTTTCAGGTGTAAATGTGTGTCAGTGGTGTTTCAGGTGTAAATGTGTGTGTGTGTTGTTTCAGGTGTAATTGTGTGCCTATGTTGTTTCAGGTGTAATTGTGTGCCTATGTTGTTTCAGGTGTAATTGTGTGCCTATGTTGTTTCAGGTGTAAATGTGTGTCAGTGGTGTTTCAGGTGTAATTGTGTGTCAGTGGTGTTTCAGGTGTAAATGTGTGTCAGTGGTGTTTCAGGTGTAAATGTGTGTCAGTGGTGTTTCAGGTGTAAATGTGTGTCAGTGGTGTTTCAGGTGTAAATGTGTGTCAGTGGTGTTTCAGGTGTAAATGTGTGTCAGTGGTGTTTCAGGTGTAAATGTGTGTGTGTGTTGTTTCAGGTGTAATTGTGTGCCTATGTTGTTTCAGGTGTAAATGTGTGTCAGTGGTGTTTCAGGTGTAAATGTGTGTCAGTGGTGTTTCAGGTGTAAATGTGTGTCAGTGGTGTTTCAGGTGTAAATGTGTGTCAGTGGTGTTTCAGGTGTAAATGTGTGTCAGTGGTGTTTCAGGTGTAAATGTGTGTCAGTGGTGTTTCAGGTGTAATTGTGTGCCTATGTTGTTTCAGGTGTAAATGTGTGTCAGTGGTGTTTCAGGTGTAAATGTGTGTCAGTGGTGTTTCAGGTGTAAATGTGTGTCAGTGGTGTTTCAGGTGTAAATGTGTGTGTGTGTTGTTTCAGGTGTAATTGTGTGCCTATGTTGTTTCAGGTGTAAATGTGTGTCAGTGGTGTTTCAGGTGTAAATGTGTGTCAGTGGTGTTTCAGGTGTAAATGTGTGTCAGTGGTGTTTCAGGTGTAAATGTGTGTCAGTGGTGTTTCAGGTGTAAATGTGTGTCAGTGGTGTTTCAGGTGTAAATGTGTGTCAGTGGTGTTTCAGGTGTAAATGTGTGTCTATGTTGTTTCAGGTGTAAATGTGTGTCAGTGGTGTTTCAGGTGAAAATGTGTGCCTATGTTGTTTCAGGTGTAAATGTGTGTCAGTGGTGTTTCAGGTGTAAATGTGTGTCAGTGGTGTTTCAGGTGTAAATGTGTGTCAGTGGTGTTTCAGGTGAAAATGTGTGCCTATGTTGTTTCAGGTGTAAATGTGTGTCAGTGGTGTTTCAGGTGTAAATGTGTGTCAGTGGTGTTTCAGGTGTAAATGTGTGTCAGTGGTGTTTCAGGTGTAAATGTGTGTCAGTGGTGTTTCAGGTGTAATTGTGTGCCTATGTTGTTTCAGGTGTAAATGTGTGCCTATGTTGTTTCAGGTGTAAATGTGTGTCAGTGGTGTTTCAGGTGTAAATGTGTGTCAGTGGTGTTTCAGGTGTAAATGTGTGTCAGTGGTGTTTCAGGTGTAAATGTGTGTCAGTGGTGTTTCAGGTGTAAATGTGTGTCAGTGGTGTTTCAGGTGTAATTGTGTGCCTATGTTGTTTCAGGTGTAAATGTGTGCTTATGTTGTTTCAGGTGTAAATGTGTGTCAGTGGTGTTTCAGGTGTAAATGTGTGTCAGTGGTGTTTCAGGTGTAAATGTGTGTCAGTGGTGTTTCAGGTGTAATTGTGTGCCTATGTTGTTTCAGGTGTAAATGTGTGTCAGTGGTGTTTCAGGTGTAAATGTGTGTCAGTGGTGTTTCAGGTGTAATTGTGTGCCTATGTTGTTTCAGGTGTAATTGTGTGCCTATGTTGTTTCAGGTGTAAATGTGTGTCAGTGGTGTTTCAGGTGTAAATGTGTGTCAGTGGTGTTTCAGGTGTAATTGTGTGCCTATGTTGTTTCAGGTGTAAATGTGTGTCAGTGGTGTTTCAGGTGTAATTGTGTGCCTATGTTGTTTCAGGTGTAAATGTGTGTCAGTGGTGTTTCAGGTGTAATTGTGTGCCTATGTTGTTTCAGGTGTAAATGTGTGTCAGTGGTGTTTCAGGTGTAATTGTGTGCCTATGTTGTTTCAGGTGTAAATGTGTGTCAGTGGTGTTTCAGGTGTAAATGTGTGCCTATGTTGTTTCAGGTGTAAATGTGTGTCAGTGGTGTTTCAGGTGTAAATGTGTGTCAGTGGTGTTTCAGGTGTAAATGTGTGTCAGTGGTGTTTCAGGTGTAAATGTGTGTCAGTGGTGTTTCAGGTGTAAATGTGTGTCAGTGGTGTTTCAGGTGTAAATGTGTGTCAGTGGTGTTTCAGGTGTAATTGTGTGCCTATGTTGTTTCAGGTGTAAATGTGTGTCAGTGGTGTTTCAGGTGTAATTGTGTGCCTATGTTGTTTCAGGTGTAAATGTGTGTCAGTGGTGTTTCAGGTGTAAATGTGTGTCAGTGGTGTTTCAGGTGTAAATGTGTGTCAGTGGTGTTTCAGGTGTAATTGTGTGCCTATGTTGTTTCAGGTGTAAATGTGTGTCAGTGGTGTTTCAGGTGTAATTGTGTGCCTATGTTGTTTCAGGTGTAAATGTGTGTCAGTGGTGTTTCAGGTGTAAATGTGTGTCAGTGGTGTTTCAGGTGTAATTGTGTGCCTATGTTGTTTCAGGTGTAAATGTGTGTCAGTGGTGTTTCAGGTGTAAATGTGTGTCAGTGGTGTTTCAGGTGTAAATGTGTGTCAGTGGTGTTTCAGGTGTAATTGTGTGCCTATGTTGTTTCAGGTGTAAATGTGTGTCAGTGGTGTTTCAGGTGTAATTGTGTGCCTATGTTGTTTCAGGTGTAAATGTGTGTCAGTGGTGTTTCAGGTGTAATTGTGTGCCTATGTTGTTTCAGGTGTAAATGTGTGTCAGTGGTGTTTCAGGTGTAAATGTGTGTCAGTGGTGTTTCAGGTGTAAATGTGTGTCAGTGGTGTTTCAGGTGTAATTGTGTGCCTATGTTGTTTCAGGTGTAAATGTGTGTCAGTGGTGTTTCAGGTGTAAATGTGTGTCAGTGGTGTTTCAGGTGTAAATGTGTGTCAGTGGTGTTTCAGGTGTAATTGTGTGCCTATGTTGTTTCAGGTGTAAATGTGTGTCAGTGGTGTTTCAGGTGTAATTGTGTGCCTATGTTGTTTCAGGTGTAAATGTGTGTCAGTGGTGTTTCAGGTGTAAATGTGTGTCAGTGGTGTTTCAGGTGTAAATGTGTGTCAGTGGTGTTTCAGGTGTAAATGTGTGTCAGTGGTGTTTCAGGTGTAAATGTGTGTCAGTGGTGTTTCAGGTGTAATTGTGTGCCTATGTTGTTTCAGGTGTAAATGTGTGTCAGTGGTGTTTCAGGTGTAAATGTGTGTCAGTGGTGTTTCAGGTGTAAATGTGTGTCAGTGGTGTTTCAGGTGTAATTGTGTGCCTATGTTGTTTCAGGTGTAAATGTGTGTCAGTGGTGTTTCAGGTGTAAATGTGTGTCAGTGGTGTTTCAGGTGTAAATGTGTGTCAGTGGTGTTTCAGGTGTAAATGTGTGTCAGTGGTGTTTCAGGTGTAAATGTGTGTCAGTGGTGTTTCAGGTGTAAATGTGTGTCAGTGGTGTTTCAGGTGTAAATGTGTGTCAGTGGTGTTTCAGGTGTAAATGTGTGTCAGTGGTGTTTCAGGTGTAATTGTGTGCCTATGTTGTTTCAGGTGTAAATGTGTGTCAGTGGTGTTTCAGGTGTAAATGTGTGTCAGTGGTGTTTCAGGTGTAATTGTGTGCCTATGTTGCATTGATGTTTGAGGTGCAAATGTGTGTGTGTGTTGTTTCAGGTGTAAATGCGGGCCCATGTTGTTTCAGGTGTAAATGCGGGCCCATGTTGTTTCAGGTGTAAATGCGGGCCCATGTTGTTTCAGGTGTAAATGCGGGCCCATGTTGTTTCAGGTGTAAATGCGGGCCCATGTTGTTTCAGGTGTAAATGCGGGCCCATGTTGTTTCAGGTGTAAATGTGTGCCTGTCTTGTGTGTGTTGTTTCAAGTGTAAATTCGTGTATGTTGTCTGTGTTTGTTCAGGTGAGAATGTGTGTATATAGAAAATCTGTGTATATATTGTGTGTGTTTCAGCTAAGAATGTGTGCATATTGTGTATGTGTATGTTTCAGAGGTAAAAGTGTGTATATGAAGTGGGTGTGTCTGTTTCAGGTGAGAATGGCAGTAGTGTGAAGCGTCCGCGTCCCATCAGCCCCATGGAGGTTACGGAGGAGGACTTCCGCCAGATGCTGAGGAGTCACAAGAGGAAGAAGGCTGATAGTGTGGTGAGCACACACATGGGACAGTTCACTGTGTCTCAGTGGGGTATTCATGTAGCATCCCTTGCACACGGACACGCACACTGTTTACTGTGTCTGGGTATTCCATCTTCCCGAGGCAAGTGAGTTAACTGACTATAAAAGTCTAGTTTCCACCCTTGCCGAACTAGGCTGGTACCATGGAGTTACATTTTGGCTGGACTAACGAGTCTATGCATAGTCCAATCAAAATCGCGCACCAAAATCGAAATCCGGTTCGTAAAGTGTCATGCAGATTTCGGTCGACTGCAGGATTTGCAAAGCATGTGCACCGCTCATTCGTTGTCAACAGATATTTTCTAAATCTTTTCATGTTTTGAATCAAGGTGCTCACATGATTTGATGCACTTCGCGATGTAAGACTCATTTTTTCACAATATAGATCTTGATTATCGATCAAATCGTCTTGACTGGGCGCTACCGTTTTGTTTGAAGCAAATGCAAGTGATACAAGAGGTTGAATCTGAATGGTCAATACGAGAGGCATAGAAAGGACATAACTCGTAATGGCCACTGGTGGCGCTACGATCGAGCCCAGGAATTCCAGCCTAGTTCGGCAAGGGTGGAAACTGGACTTTTAAAGTCAGTTAAGTCTCTTGCCTCGGGAAGATGGGGCTATTCATGTAGCATCTCACTCTCCCTCTCACACAGACACATGCACAGACACGCACACACAGAGTGGCTGTACACAGGAGCTGACTGTATATGGCTGTACACAGAAGCTGACTGTATATGGCTGTACACAGGAGCTGACTGTATATGGCTGTACACAGCTGACTGTATATGGCTGTACACAGGAGCTGACTGTATATGGCTGTACACAGGAGCTGACTGTATATGGCTGTACACAAGGGCTGACTGTATATGGCTGTACACAGGAGCTGACTGTATATGGCTGTACACAGGAGCTGACTGTATATGGCTGTACACAGGAGCTGACTGTATATGGCTGTACACAGGAGCTGACTGTATATGGCTGTACACAGGAGCTGACTGTATATGGCTGTACACAGAAGCTGACTGTATATGGCTGTACACAGGAGCTGACTATATATGGCTGTACACAGGAGCTGACTGTATATGGCTGTACACAGGAGCTGACTGTATATGGCTGTACACAGGAGCTGACTGTATATGGCTGTACACAGGAGCTGACTGTATATGGCTGTACACAGGAGCTGACTGTATATGGCTGTACACAGAAGCTGACTGTATATGGCTGTACACAGGAGCTGACTGTATATGGCTGTACACAGAAGCTGACTGTATATGACTGTACACAGGAGCTGACTATATATGGCTGTACACAGGAGCTGACTGTATATGGCTGTACACAGGAGCTGACTGTATATGGCTGTACACAGGAGCTGACTGTATATGGCTGTACACAGGAGCTGACTGTATATGGCTGTACACAGAAGCTGACTGTATATGGCTGTACACAGAAGCTGACTGTATATGGCTGTACACAGGAGCTGACTGTATACACAGGAGCTGACTGTATATGGCTGTACACAGGAGCTGACTGTATATGGCTGTACACAGGAGCTGACTGTATATGGCTGTACACAGGAGCTGACTGTATATGGCTGTACACAGGCGCTGACTGTATATGGCTGTACACAGGAGCTGACTGTATACACAGAAGCTGACTGTATATGGCTGTACACAGGAGCTGACTGTATATGGCTGTACACAGGAGCTGACTGTATATGGCTGTACACAGGAGCTGACTGTATACACAGAAGCTGACTGTATATGGCTGTACACAGGAGCTGACTGTATATGGCTGTACACAGGAGCTGACTATATATGGCTGTACACAGGAGCTGACTGTATATGGCTGTACACAGGAGCTGACTGTATATGGCTGTACACAGAAGCTGACTGTATATGGCTGTACACAGAAGCTGACTGTATATGGCTGTACACAGGAGCTGACTGTATATGGCTGTACACAGGAGCTGACTGTATATGGCTGTAGACAGGAGCTGACTGTATATGGCTGTACACAGGAGCTGACTATATGGCTGTACACAGGAGCTGACTGTATATGGCTGTACACAGGAGCTGACTGTATATGGCTGTACACAGGAGCTGACTGTATATGGCTGTAGACAGGAGCTGACTGTATATGGCTGTACACAGGAGCTGACTATATGGCTGTACACAGGAGCTGACTGTATATGGCTGTACACAGGAGCTGACTGTATATGACTGTACACAGAAGCTGACTGTATATGGCTGTACACAGAAGCTGACTGTATATGGCTGTACACAGGAGCTGACTGTATATGGCTGTACACAGGAGCTGACTGTATATGGCTGTATATGGCTGTACACAGGAGCTGACTGTATATGGCTGTACACAGGAGCTGACTGTATATGGCTGTACACAGGAGCTGACTGTATATGGCTGTACACAGAAGCTGACTGTATATGGCTGTACACAGGAGCTGACTGTATATGGCTGTACACAGGAGCTGACTGTATATGGCTGTAGACAGGAGCTGACTGTATATGGCTGTAGACAGGAGCTGACTGTATATGGCTGTACACAGGAGCTTACTGTATATGGCTGTACACAGGAGCTGACTGTATATGGCTGTACACAGAAGCTGACTGTATATGGCTGTACACAGAAGCTGACTGTATATGGCTGTACACAGGAGCTGACTGTATATGGCTGTACACAGGAGCTGACTGTATATGACTGTACACAGGAGCTGACTGTATATGGCTGTAGACAGGAGCTGACTGTATATGGCTGTACACAGAAGCTGACTGTATATGGCTGTACACAGAAGCTGACTGTATATGGCTGTACACAGAAGCTGACTGTATATGGCTGTACACAGAAGCTGACTGTATATGGCTGTACACAGAAGCTGACTGTATATGGCTGTACACAGAAGCTGACTGTATATGGCTGTACACAGAAGCTGACTGTATATGGCTGTACACAGAAGCTGACTGTATATGGCTGTACACAGGAGCTGACTGTATATGGCTGTACACAGGAGCTGACTGTATATGGCTGTAGACAGGAGCTGACTGTATATGGCTGTAGACAGGAGCTGACTGTATATGGCTGTACACAGGAGCTTACTGTATATGGCTGTACACAGGAGCTGACTGTATATGGCTGTACACAGGAGCTGACTGTATATGGCTGTACACAGAAGCTGACTGTATATGGCTGTACACAGGAGCTGACTGTATATGGCTGTACACAGGAGCTGACTGTATATGACTGTACACAGGAGCTGACTGTATATGACTGTACACAGAAGCTGACTGTATATGGCTGTACACAGGAGCTGACTGTATATGGCTGTACACAGGAGCTGACTGTATATGGCTGTACACAGAAGCTGACTGTATATGGCTGTACACAGAAGCTGACTGTATATGGCTGTAGACAGGAGCTGACTGTATACACAGAAGCTGACTGTATATGGCTGTACACAGGAGCTGACTGTATATGGCTGTACACAAGGGCTGACTGTATATGGCTGTACACAGGAGCTGACTGTATATGGCTGTACACAGGAGCTGACTGTATATGGCTGTACACAGACGCTGACTGTATATGGCTGTACACAGAAGCTGACTGTATATGGCTGTACACAGGAGCTGACTGTATACACAGAAGCTGACTGTATACACAGAAGCTGACTGTATATGGCTGTACACAGGAGCTGACTGTATACACAGAAGCTGACTGTATACACAGAAGCTGACTGTATATGGCTGTACTCAGGAGCTGACTGTATACGGCTGTACACAGAAGCTGACTGTACATGGCTGTACACAGAAGCTGACTGTATATGGCTGTACACAGGAGCTGACTGTATATGGCTGTACACAGGAGCTGACTGTATATGGCTGTACACAGAAGCTGACTGTATATGGCTGTACACAGGAGCTGACTGTATATGGCTGTACACAGAAGCTGACTGTATATGGCTGTACACAGGAGCTGACTGTATATGGCTGTACACAGGAGCTGACTGTATATGGCTGTACACAGGAGCTGACTGTATATGGCTGTACACAGAAGCTGACTGTATATGGCTGTAGACAGGAGCTGACTGTATATGGCTGTAGACAGGAGCTGACTGTATATGGCTGTACACAGAAGCTGACTGTATATGGCTGTACACAGGAGCTGACTGTATACGGCTGTACACAGGAGCTGACTGTATATGGCTGTACTCAGAAGCTGACTGTATATGGCTGTACACAGGAGCTGACTGTATACGGCTGTACTCAGGAGCTGACTGTATATGGCTGTACACAGGAGCTGACTGTATATGGCTGTACACAGAGGCTGACTGTACATGGCTGTACTCAGGAGCTGACTGTATATGGCTGTACACAGGAGCTGACTGTATATGGCTGTACACAGGAGCTGACTGTATATGGCTGTACTCTGGAGCTGACTGTACATGGCTGTACACGGGAGCTGACTGTATTTGCATGCCTCTACTCCACTGTTGTGTTTCAGGAGTTGCCAGAGTTGGACACACAGAACATCTCGCTCCAGGACATTCTGTCTCGATGTCAGGCCAACAAGAAGATCACAACCAAAGCCTCTCCTTCTTCAAGTACAAGTATGTCTTCACCTTGAAAACTTAGATTACGTGATTATCGGTATGAAATGTCGGGCGACAAGGATGTGTGTGCTGCCAGTTCAGTTCATTGAGTTGCATCCCTTGGGCACACTAGAAACATACGATCGTGGGTTCAAATCCCAAGTCAGCACCAATTTCATGCTTGTGGGTTTCACCAAAGTGGTAAAGTCTAAGGCCTGCATCACTTCGGGGTGACAAAGCTGACATGCCGTGATATAACTAGAATACTGTTCAAAGCGGTGTTAAGGCCAACTCACTCAATATGAAATGTAGTCTTCTTATCCTTGCTAGGGGCAGTCGGGTAGCCTGGTGGTTAAAGTGTTCTCTCGTCACGCCGAAGATCCGGGTTCGATTCCCGCCATGGGTACAATGTGTGAAGCCCATTTCTGGTGTCCCCCGCCGTGATATTGCTGGAATATTGCTAAAAGCGGCATAAAAGCATACTCACTCACTCACTCACTCTTATCCTTGCTTCCTTACCTTGTGTTTGTTTGGGACCTGGAAATATGATATGTACTCCCATCTGTTGAATTGATGTTAGCAGGATAATAACGATAATGGTCTTACTCAATTATTATAGGGGCTCTGTTGTATAGCCCAAACAAACAAACAATTTTCACTGACATGACCAAGATGTTTTACATCATTAACTGATTCTGTTAGCATCAGCGTCCGCAACAGCAGCATCAGCCTCAGCACCAACAACACAAACCTCACCTGTATTGAAGAAGAAGATCAAGGGCAAGGATAGGGAGGAGAAGAAAGCCAAGAAGAAGATCAAGACGGAGTCCGTGGATTCCGGCAGTGTGGATGAGAGAGTTGCCTCCCCTTCTATACAGACGGCCAGCGCCGGGCTGGAGGTCCATCCAGACATCCTGACAAGAGAGGACGACACTGTGCCTGATTTTCCATTACCTGAGTGAGTTGGATGTTTTGTTGTAAAGATATTGCCAGGAAAAACATTCTTCATTGAAACCATTTTATGTCGAGCTCCATTAGCTTGATATGTAATTGTTTACATCTTACATATCCTTGTTGTGGATTCAGGACGGTCAGGTAGCCTAGTGGTTAAAGCGTTCTATTCATCACATGGGTACAATGTGTGAAGCCCATTTCCGCTGTCCTGCCGTGATATTGCTGGAATATTGCTAAAAGCGGCGTAAAACCATACTCACTCACTTTTGTGGGTTCTGGGTTTGGATGGGTCCCCAGCAGTCCATGTCTGTCGTAAGAGGCAATCAAATAGATTGAGTTGTTAAGTACAGTGGTTTGGTTTATGCCGTGTTATCGTACGTGACGATGTGGATCTTTGAAAATATACCTGGTCCAGACACACGTCTGTTATTCAAATGTTAAGACTGGTAATTTCCTTGTGAATGTTGTGGAAGGTTAACACCAGGGGTCCGGAAAATTTAAAATCCCAATGGGACATTTGCATTTAGGCCACGCCCCCTTCAAATAGCGTATTTTAGTACGACTTTTCACACACATTACAAGTTTACGTATTCATAATATGATGAATTATGAATTGTTTCACCGGACAATTAATAACAAATAATATCATTTTAGATTTACATGGAAAAAATATGTTTGTTTCTGTTATAATAACGATCTGTTAACGTAGTGAACGGTCTAATTAATATTCATGAGTTATATTCATGAGTCTGCTCAAGTGTACGCGTTGTAACATTTGGATCGAGACTATTATCCCATATTTAGTTATCACGTGACCTCACGGGAAAAGTTTTTTTTTAAACTAATGATTTTTTTAAAAACGAGACAGATAATTTAATCACAAATACTAAAATATCGTTGATAGCAATAGTTATTTAAATACTTTTTTCATCTGTACTTAATTATTGACCATAAAAAAATTGGATATCGATCGTCCGAGAAAGCAAAATGGCGGTCAATCAAGATTCAATATACGACTAGCTACTGAAAACAATAAAATCTGCAAATCCTCATTGTATGTCAACCAAGTGAAAGTCGTTAGCCACGACTTAAAAAATGATCGTCCAGACTTTGAGGGTTTGGCAGATCCGCTCGACTAATCTGCATCGGTCGACTGGCTGTCGTCACGCTTTCGCTTCTTGTCTGAGGTTATGTATCATAGCATTGTGAGGATAATGAGGTACATCGATGATGCAAGGTATTAATGTACAGTTGTAAACACCTTTCACTCAAATTAACAAGATGTTCTCAGTAATTAATCCTCGATTAATCAGTGTCAACTCAGTTTATTGCCTATTACAGTGATTGACAGATTGGACTATCATGTAGGTACGATGTATTTACAGCAATCAAAACAAACAAAGCTTGTCAGTGTAGTTAATCTTCATTGTGTTGCAACTGCAGACAAAAACTGCTCAGTCCTAACTGTTGATCATGTCCGGTCAAAATTTAAGAATGTCCGGACAATACTTTTTAAAATGTCCGGTAAGCAATATTTTAAAACGGACATTTGAGATTCCCGATCGGACATGTCCGGCGCATATGACGGTTTCTGGACCCCTGGTTAACACATTTTTTATCTCTTTTTTTTTCAGCACTGGACCATCCAAGTTAGACAACTTCTTCAGTTTATTGCGTGATATGATAAATGAATTTCCTGATCAACGAGTAACCACAGCCAAGGTCAGTGTTTGTGTGCTGGTGGCGATATTGGGAGATATATCTTGATATGTTTATCATTGAGATGGGCTGGCCATGTACATCTGGCCTCTGACCATCATCTGTCAGTCAACAGAAGCATTCAAGTCTTTGAATGGCATTTAGAAGTGATTCACACTACACAGGGGGCCGCGATTCGCTGTGCAGAGTTGCATCCCTTGGGCAAGCCAGAAACCTATGATTGTGGGTTCGAATCCCGGTTTGCCTCGATTATGTTTCTAGGTTTATCAGCACCATACCCCTGCTCGTGGGTTTCACCGAAGTGGTAAACGTCAGACCTGCATCACTTGGGGCTTTCCTCCCACATTTAGCTGACACGCCGTGATATAACTGGAATACTGTTAACAGTGGCGTTAAACCCAACTCACTCACTCGCTCACTCACACTACACAAGGAACATGTTGTTTGAACTCCTGGCTTCCATTTGTCCATTTCTAATCACCAGTCAGCACTAATTAACTGTTAGCTTCCCTTGTTTATGTTTCCCTCTTTGTTATCTTATCACGTTTGTTGTTTTACATGTACCTACATATGCTCTCTGTGTCCTAGCAGTCATTCACCTGATGAAGGAGTAAGCATATACTCCGAAACGTTGTGCTCCTCATAACAAAGAAGTTGACCTAGATATATTCTCTCTCTTAACAGAAGCATCACCAAATAGTCTGAATGGACCAGAATGTATCTGTAAATGATTGCTTATTTATTATTTTAATTGTTTAATCTCTGTTATGTTAGGAAAAGAGTATTGTCTGTTTTGATCAGTTGTAGCTCACCTGAACTCAGCGTTCACATAACCTTATGGCATGACACAATCTCATTAAAATCAGATCTTAGTTTTCGCTACTGCTAACCAAAGATCTGAGGACATCCCATTACGGGACCCGTCAGAACGATTTTTCGCGAACATTGACCGACCAATGAAATGACTGACAAGAAATCAACATTTGCCAATCAGAAGGCAGCTATCTCGAGCTTTACAGCACTAGTTTCAAACTGGCGACTACACTTAGAAACATATTTTTAAAACTGACCAAAACAACATTCTGGAATGGCTTATAGATGTCATAGATTGTATGGATATAATCATAAAACCCGTAACTGTCGTTCGGAATATTTCGAGGTTGCATGACTAGAAAACACATTCCGACTGTCACTTTCAGGATCTGGTAAGTGTTGCTCTGATTGGTTGGATGAAAGGTCGTGCTGACGTGACCCGTATTGGGATGTCCTCAGATGCTTGTTTAGCGGTAGCGATAATAAACATGGTCACAACATTGTGTTTAATTATTTCATTCTTGCCCATTACTCTTATCTATTTTTGCATGTTTTATTTTTAATTTCATTTGCAGTAATTGTATGGTATACTCAAAAATGTGATATACCTTTTTTCTGTTGTATTTTGATTATTGATCCTTCTAAGGCCTATCATGAAATATTCATGCTGTTATGTATCAGATACTTCAAATACTTATATTTGAATGTTATTTAACTTTAAATAATATGTTTATGTGGTTAACATACTAGTTTGAACAATAAAAAAACACACAAAAAAACACTGCCTGTTACAAGACAAAAATCTCAATAAAGTTTGCAGTTACATATTCTTAAAAGTCATTAATGCATTTGTAATTATCCCCCGCCCAACGTCCGTCCGTTCGTCCGTCCGTCCATCCATCATGTTTCGTTTCCGGAGCATAACTCAGAAACCGTTCAATATTTTTTCATCAAACTTTGCATGTCTGTCAGGTACATGCTGAACAGGTGCCTTTTGCTATTTAGAAATTTTAGAAATTTTTATTTTTTACGTTTCCATGGCAACAAGATGGACTTAGGTTCCAAACTCTTCTTTTTTTTACAATTTCCATGACAAGTTCCACCTCGGTTAAAAAAGGTTAGGGCTTGTTTAGATTTAATTATGTCATAAATTCTGCAACAGGGGCGGGGGATATAGCCACGTAAGTGGCAAACTCTTGTTAAACTTGGTATGTACCTTCCCTAGGAAGGGGCCCTATAATAAAAGGTTTTCGTAAAGATGTGTCAAAGGTCAAGGTCAGCATTTAGTTTTTGTGTGTAAAACATGGTTAGATTCTGAGTGAGGTTACATCGACATGTCCATGTACCCTTTAAAATCCTACCACATGAAGTGTTGGTGTCATGTCTATCAAAGGTCAAGGTCATCTTTGAGGTTATTGTGAAACAGGGTTTTGTATCATTCTTTGACAGTTACTGTTGCCCTTTTACTACAATCCTGAAACTTGGTAAATGTTGGAACTTAAGAAGTTCTCTTGACTCTGTTCAGTGTGTGGAAGTAATATTTTTGAACTGAAGATAAAATGATGGTATTTTAAGACTTTGGTGCTAGGGGTAATGATACTGTTGGTCTCTGTTACAGCTGGAAGAGAGGATACGAGAATGGCAGGAGTCTCCATCAAGCTCTCTCAACTCCTGGTTTCCAATCCAGGCGTCGTGGGTAGACTGTGTCGTCTCCGCTCTCAAATTCCTGTCTGGGGACGTGCTGGGTGAGAAAATATTAGTCTGTGTGATGATGATCTGTGTTATGTTCATGGTCAGCTCAGGAGGACTAGCTCCAGGGCCCCGTTCCACAAAGCGATCTTAGGGCTGAGTTGACGGTAACTCACTGAGTACGCGATCTTAAATTTTTGTTACGATCAGCCGCCCATTCCACAAAGCAATCTTAACTTAGAGAGTTTAAGTTAAGATCAAAATGCTAAGTTGCTCTGGACCAACTTAGGATCGCTAAAATCGATCTTAAATATTGTACCATAACAACAAAGATGGGGACTTTTATTATGATGTGCAAGGAAATGCGTCGTCTGCTAAACATGACCAAGGGAGGCCACTCTAAGGGAAACTTTTATATCTTCATGGCTGAAGATTCTGATCTTTGTTAAAATCGGCTACTTAAGAACTTGTAAAGTTACAATTGCCCTAAGATCGCTTTGTGGAACGGTTGTAAACTTTAGCCAAGACAATTTTAAAATCAACGTAAGTCTCTAAGATTGATTATAGTTATGATTGCTTTGTGGAACGGGGCCCAGGATGTACCAGGAGCCTGCGATGACAATTTGACAATAACAAACTTGGATAAATAGAACAGATTTTTTTCATTTTGGCCCAAACATTTTCTGTTGGCGAGTGAATCACACACAATATTATCAATATCAATTGCTGAATAAATGAATTGCAAGTGATTCCGTGGCATGTGATTGCTGACCATACAACATGGCTGACAAAGACATTAGGCCATGTCAACTAACAGACTACTTGGCACTGATTGGATGATAATAGAATGGTACTCGTGTTGCATTATCGTGTAGAACGGTGTCACTGATTACATACGATTGTCTAAATTTTGTTTGCGTTAATTATGAAATAAGCAGTCTGTTAGGTCATTATTGTTGATATATTTATTGATAAGAATTTACTTCAATATGGTTTTGCATGTTTGGAGGTACGGTGTATAAACATGAAAACTGGTGTGCAGTGTCAGTTTAATGTGTAGTCAAATTTGGTGTTCTTTAAGTACTTTTAGTAGTACATAATTGAATTTGTTTTAGGTCTGTCAGTGGACAACTTCATCCCCTATCTGGACTACAAGGAGCGGGCCCAGCAATGGAAGTGGATCGGGATGGGGCGAGACACCGAGGCAGAGTTAGCTCCCTTGTTCCAGCACTGGATGAAGAACAAGGACTATGTGATGGCAGACGGCCTGGACTCCAGTCAAGGCTCACCGCCTCCACCGAGAGCGTCAGTATTTTACTACTGTTCTTCCTTCCTCAAGACCCTCTCAAAGATTTACATCGGTCTATCTGTTTTCAAATCCAGGGGACTCTCGGTTATAGTTTTGGGTTGAACATTGGGGCTCCAAGGCTTGAAGATAGGGGTTCTAAACCATGAACATGGGGGCTCCAAGGTGCATTTAAAGTTCACTAAAAGACCACCCTTTTTTGTTTGAGGCAGGATGTTGGGTAGTGAGGTGGGTGGGCCTGGTGGACAGGCTGGGTGGGTCTGGTGGACAGGCTAGGTGGGCCTGGTAGTGAGGTGGGTGGGCCTGGTAGACAGGCTGGGTGGGTCTGGTGGACAGGCTAGGTGGGCCTGGTAGTGAGGTGGATGGGCCTGGTAGACAAGCTGGGTGGGTCTGGTGGACATGCTACCATTGCTAGGTGGGCCTGGTATTGAGGTGGATGGGCCTGGTGGACAAGCTAGGTGGGCCTGGTGGACAAGCTGGGTAGGCCTGGTAGTGAGGTGGGTGGGTCTGGTAGTGAGGTGGGTGGGTCTGGTAGTGAGGTGGGTGGGCCTGGTAGTGAGGTGGATGGGCCTGGTAGTGAGGTGGATGGGCCTGGTAGTGAGGTGGGTGGGCCTGGTAGTGAGGTGGGTGGGCCTGGTAGTGAGGTGGGTGGGCCTGGTAGTGAGGTGGGTGGGCCTGGTAGTGAGGTGGATGGGCCTGGTTGTGAGGTGGGTGGGCCTGGTAGTGAGGTGGGTGGGCCTGGTAGTGAGATGGGTGGGCCTACTAGTGAGGTGGATGGGCCTGGTGGTGAGGTGGGTGGGCCTGGTAGTGAGGTGGGTGGGCCTGGTAGTGAGGTGGGTGGGCCTGGTAGTGAGGTGGGTGGGCCTGGTAGTGAGGTGGATGGGCCTGGTAGTGAAGTAGGTGGGTCTGGTGGACAAGCTGGGTGGGCCTAGTAGTGAGGTTTCGTGGGCCTGGTAGTGAGGTGGGTGGGCCTGGTAGTGAAGTAGGTGGGCCTGGTACTGAGGTGGGTGGGCCTGGTAGGTGGGTGGTGGGCCACAAATGCTGATGATTGGATCTCCATTCATCTACTGCTCTGAAAGTCACTGTGAAGTGTTGTGTCCCTTACCCTTAGCTGTGACAGGATCCTCATTTTCTTGGGGTTGAATCCAATATTGATTCTTGTCAACACCAAACATGCATTTTGTTCTAACAATAGTTGCATATGACTGGGACTTGTGTCAGTTTGGGGTCAGTCCAACACTAAACTGACATGCTGGGGTATAACTGACACAAAGTTATGTTTAACATAACTCGCAGTATCATCCAGCTTTAAATTGATCAGAACTATCAACACCCCACCTTAAACTGCAGACATATCACTTATGAGAAATATTATTTGAAAATACAGTATAGATCATGAGCGACACGTTTGGAAACTATGTTGAGGCAGGTGATCTTTTTTTTATTAGTGTTTCAGTTTGTTTTCTGAAAGACTTCAGGTAAACTCTCCATGAATTCACCTCATGTTTTGTGTTTCCAGGAAGACTGCGTTTGTTGTGCGGCCGACCAGTCAAGAGGAGAAAGCTACATTCCAGGAGCAGGTCAGTTCGCTGGGAGTTTGTGTGTGGTTGGCACGGGGTATGGATGAGTTGTGACCCTTGGGTGCTGGGAATAGCCATGTTAGTTTTAACAGTGCTGTGCTTGTACTTGAAGACAGGGGTATACTTGTACTTGAAGACAGGTGTATGCTTGTACTTGAAGACAGGTGTATGCTTGTACTTGAAGACAGGTGTATGCTTGTACTTGAAGACAGGTGTATGCTTGTACTTGAGGACAGGGGTATGCTTGTACTTGAAGACAGGGATATGCTTGTACTTGAAGACAGGGATATGTTTGTACTTGAAGACAGGGGTATGCTTGTACTTGAAGACAGGTGTATGCTTGTACTTGAAGACAGGTGTATGCTTGTACTTGAAGACAGGTGTATGCTTGTACTTGAAGACAGGTGTATGCTTGTACTTGAGGACAGGGGTATGCTTGTACTTGAAGACAGGGATATGTTTGTACTTGAAGACAGGGATATGTTTGTACTTGAGGACAGGGATATGCTTGTACTTGAAGACAGGGATATGTTTGTACTTGAGGACAGGGATATGCTTGTACTTGAAGACAGGTGTATGCTTGTACTTGAAGACAGGTGTATGCTTGTACTTGAAGACAGGTGTATGCTTGTACTTGAGGACAGGGATATGCTTGTACTTGAGGACAGGGATATACTTGTACTTGAAGACAGGTGTATGCTTGTACTTGAAGACAGGGATATGTTTGTACTTGAGGACAGGGATATGCTTGTACTTGAAGACAGGGATATGTTTGTACTTGAGGACAGGGGTATGCTTGTACTTGAAGACAGGTGTATGCTTGTACTTGAAGACAGGGGTATGCTTGTACTTGAAGACCGGGTATGCTTGTACTTGAAGACAGGTGTATGCTTGTACTTGAAGACAGGAATATACTTGTACTTGAACACAGGGGTATGCTTGTACTTGAAGACAGGTGTATGCTTGTACTTGAAGACAGGGGTATGCTTGTACTTGAAGACCGGGTATGCTTGTACTTGAAGACGGGTGTATGCTTGTACTTGAAGACAGGGGTATGCTTGTACTTGAAGACAGGGGTATGCTTGTACTTGAAGACAGGGGTATGCTTGTACTTGAAGACCAGGGTGTGCTTGCAATATTATGTCAGTTGGAACCTGTATGGGCTTGCTTTCAATGGATTGAAACTTAATTTTTCAGGAGAAGAAGAGGTTTGAGAACCCTCACAAGGCTTTCATCTATCACATGCATGGCTACGAGTCCGTGGTGGGGCCAGTGAAGGGCGTCTACAGCAAGGACAACGCCATGAACAAGGCCAGGGAACACGCCCTGCTGGTGTCGGACCGACCGGCATTTGTCACCATACTCACATTAGGTAGGTCACCAACTTTGTCACCATACTGTCTTTGACTTTGTCATCGTTATTTCATTAAATATGTCCCTGACTTTGTCACTGTACTTTCATTTAGTATGTCCCTGACTTTGTCACTGTACTTTCATTTAGTATGTCCCTGACTTTGTCACTGTACTTTCATTTAGTATGTCCCTGACTTTGTCACTGTACTTTCATTTAGTATGTCCCTGACTTTGTCACCGTACTTTCATTTAGTATGTCCCTGACTTTGTCACTGTACTTTCATTTAGTATGTCCCTGACTTTGTCACTGTACTTTCATTTAGTATGTCCCTGACTGTCACTGTACTTTCATTTAGTATGTCCCTGACTGTCACTGTACTTTCATTTAGTATGTCCCTGACTTTGTCACCGTACTTTCATTTAGTATGTCCCTGACTTTGTCACTGTACTTTCATTTAGTATGTCCCTGACTTTGTCACCGTACTTTCATTTAGTATGTCCCTGACTTTGTCACCGTACTTTCATTTAGTATGTCCCTGACTTTGTCACCGTACTTTCATTTAGTATGTCCCTGACTTTGTCACTGTACTTTCATTTAGTATGTCCCTGACTTTGTCACCGTACTTTCATTTAGTATGTCCCTGACTTTGTCACTGTACTTTCATTTAGTATATCCCTGACTTTGTCACTGTACTTTCATTTAGTATGTCTCTGACTTTGTCACCATACTTTCATATTAAGTAGGTAACTGATTTTGTCACCATACTTTCATATTACAGCTGAAAAATATAGTCATGGTTCTCAGTCACTGCCCACATCATCACAAAGTTCATAGCACGTTTTGATTTGTTTCCATTTTCAATTTTTTTGTGCATTGTGTTTAAGTATTAGGATTTTGATACTTTTTTGAAAATGGAAATAAAAACAAAACATGCGGCAGACTTTATGATCATACGGGCGGTGCCTGAGAATCAAGACTATTACTTTTTTTAGCCTAAGTAGGTAATTTTTTTGTCATCATACTGACATTAAGTAGGTCTGCCTGAGCAGCTTTTGTCAAGCCACCCACATACTGACATTGAGTAGGTCTGCCTGAGCAGTATTTGTCAAGCCACCAACATACTGACATTGAGTAGGTCTGCCTGAGCAGTATTTGTCAAGCCACCCACATACTGACATTGAGTAGGTCTGCCTGAGCAGTATTTGTCAAGCCACCCACATACTGACATTAAGTAGGTCTGCCTGAGCAGTATTTGTCAAGCCACCCACATACTGACATTGAGTAGGTCTGCCTGAGCAGTATTTGTCAAGCCACCCACATACTGACATTAAGTAGGTCTGCCTGAGCAGTATTTGTCAAGCCACCCACATACTGACATTGAGTAGGTCTGCCTGAGCAGTATTTGTCAAGCCACCCACATACTGACATTAAGTAGGTCTGCCTGAGCAGTATTTGTCAAGCCACCCACATACTGACATTGAGTAGGTCTGCCTGAGCAGTATTTGTCAAGCCACCCACATACTGACATTGAGTAGGTCTGTCTGAGCAGTATTTGTCAAGCCACCCACATACTGACATTAAGTAGGTCTGCCTGAGCAGTATTTGTCAAGCCACCCACATACTGACATTGAGTAGGTCTGCCTGAGCAGTATTTGTCAAGCCACCCACATACTGACATTGAGTAGGTCTGCCTGAGCAGTATTTGTCAAGCCAACCACATACTGACATTGAGTAGGTCTGCCTGAGCAGTATTTGTCAAGCCACCCACATACTGACATTGAGTAGGTCACTGATTGTGTTTTGAAGCTGAAACTGCATTTAGAGACCTTCCTGTCTTCAGTAAGTATTGGATACAGTTGATGACAAGCAGGCTCTTAGTGGATGGAATAATTATCCTGGATAGGTTTCTTTCCTGACTTACCTCCCTTGTATGCTTCCAGTGCGTGATGCCGCAGCGCGCCTGCCGAACGGTGAGGGGACGAGGGGGGACATCTGTGAGCTGCTGAAAGACTCTCAGTTCCTGGCTCCTGGGGTCACAGACACACAGGTGGGTGGGTCATCAGTAACCATGGAAACTAGTAACCACATCAATCATGATCATGGCTTTGAATCCCCAATTTGTCCTGGTTACATGATCCCCATACCTGTGTTTATTTTCTTCCTCGTTATTCTGACAGGCTGTGATTTAACTGTTGATCTGCCAACTTTTTGTTACAAATTTGCAACTGAAAAATGATTTTTTTTCTTAATTCATACAAGTAATATGCCAATCTACAAAATGAAATCACGACTAGATTTTTACAGACACCAGTAGAGAGAGGGTCATCGTTTGGCCTTAAACCATCTGCTTTGAACTCGAGCCTGGTGAAGTCTATTTATAGTGTTGCATCTGTCCAATCGAGACACCCCACTCGTATTTTCAGAAGTTGCTACATTTGAAGTAGAAACTAAGTGATAAAATTATCAATTGTGTTTCGGAAATATTGTTAGACTTTGGTGTTTAATTATCATTTGAGAAACTTATGAAACTGAACTTCTGTTTAAAGTGGCTCTGAACCAATTTTGCTCACTGTAGTTTTAAGTTATTATTGGAAAAAAGTACTTCTGGTTAACCATGGTAACAATAAATTCAAATCAAATTCAACAGAAATTCAAGGTATTCTTGTGTAAAAAGCTCATGAATTTGGGGAGCAATTGGCAGGGAAATTCTGCACGACTGAATAAAGAATTCTTTCGGAAATGGCTTCAGTGGCCTTTAAGGACTTTTGTCATCACAACCTGCGCCCCACCCCCCTGCCCCCACCCCCCTGCCCCCACCCATCAAGTGGTACAGGTAATAGAGGCTGGTGATTGTTGTCCACAGATCAACACGGTGGTCAGTGGGGCGCTGGACAGGCTGCACTCGGAGAAGGACCCCTGTGTTAAGTACGATGTCAATCGCAAACTCTGGATATATCTCCACAGGAACAGGACAGAGGAAGAATTTGGTAAACACTTCAATTCGGATTAATTCTTTGCTTGTAACTTTTGACATTTCCCCAACTGTCTATGTAATTCATAAACCAAGGCTGTGGGGGCACGGGTGGCCCAGTCGTCTAAGGCGCCGCGATTCGCTGTGCAGAGTTGCGTCCCTTGGGCACGCCAGAAACCTATGATTGTGGGTTCGAATCCCGGTTCGCCCCGATTATGTTTCTAGGTTTGTCAGCACCATACCCGTGCCCGTGGGTTTCACCGAAGTGGTAAACGTCTGAGACCTGCATCACTTCGGGCTTTCCTCCCACATTAAGCTGACACGCCGCGATATAACTGGAATAATGTTAAAAGCGGCGTTAAACCAAACTCACTCACTCACTAAACCAAGGCCGTAATACATGGGAACTACCACTGAAAAGAAGAGGTACCTCTTTGTCAGTTTGGCTGTAAGAATAGTGTACCATGTACCATGATGAAATATCTGGTTTTGAATGTCTCTGTGACTCAAAGTTGATGAGGAGTCACAGATGGCCACAGTTCGCTGTGCAGAGTTGGGTTGGAATCTCGGTTCGCCCTGATTATGTTTCTAGGTTTGTCAGCACCATACCCATACCCAAAGTGGAAAACGATGATATAACTGGAACAGGGTAGGGTTAAACCCAACTCACTCACTCAAAGTTGATGAGATTTTTGTGTGTTGTTTTTGATAAGGCTGGTACAACTTTTTATTCAGTGCTGTCATGGAATCTTGGATGTAACAAAATATATGTGTTGAAAAACATTGTTCAATAGAGGACAAATAGGTTGTATTGAGCGGTGGGCATGCACATGTGTGTAGTGATGGCTCACCGAGATACCATGCTGCAGTTTAACAAGAATACCCCACTCAGACACAGTAAACTGACCCCGAGCTGACCAGTCCTTATTTGAGCCCTTTAAAGCTGTGTGCCAGGCAGGTTTAACAAGTACCACCCTTTAACATCTTCTGGAATGACGCTCTATCACTAGATCAAGAAGGCAGTCTGTTTGCAAAAACAAATTCATGATGAGATTGTATGAATATGTGATTGCTTATTGCATAATTTCTTCGTTGAAATATGACCAGTACGACCAGATAGATGGGAGAAGGCAGCATTAGAAGTTGGCACTAGTTCTGTAGTCCTTGCCAAACTGCTCAATAGTAAAGGACTAGTAGAGATATGCCATTTTTTAGGGTTTTGCATGCAGGACTAGGACTAGTGGACTGAAACTGTTAGTTTCTACCCCTGGAGGGTTGTAAACAGGATAAGATGATATCTCACTCCTCTTATTTTAAAATATCTTAAAGGAAGGGGTGTTTGAGTGAAAAGTCATGCAGCTGAATGAATTTGTCTTGTGCTTGGACTTGGCTAATATGACTCTGTGAAATCTCCGTGTTCCAGAACGAATCCACCAAGCCCAGGGTGCAGCAGTCAAGGCCAAGAAGTCTCTACAGAAACCCAAGACAGCAAAAACTGTAAGTCCGGGATTACGAGAGTAATTTTTATTTATATTATAAGCAGTGTTGGTCATGAAGTTTTTTTTGATAGTTTGTTGTTTAAAGTCTCTGTCAGCAATATTCCAGCTGTTTGATGGCGGTCCGTCAATAATCAAGTCTGGACTAGATGCAACTGAGATACAATGATATGCATCAACCAAGTCTAAGACCAAAGCCCAAGACCAAATTTACTATGTCCCCCTCGTTTTGTGTATGACCTTCACAACTATGACTAAAACATTTTGTTGAAACATTGTGTAAATATATTTCTTTGCTTTAGATCAAAGATGCAATATCCGCCCAATCTGCTCCACGCCCGACAATCTCCACCAGTCTTGCCACGGAAGCTGCCTCCTTGAATGTGGAGGATCTGGCCACTCTGCAGACCCAGGCATTGACCAGCCCCTCCGTTGTGCACAGCCCCAAGACTCTGGGCCAGACCACATTCGCACGGACGCCACAGTCAAGTCCCAAGACGGCCTCTCCTAAACATGCAAATCTGACTTTGACCTCATCTTCTACCCTCAGTGCTTCTCTTGCTCAATCTCCTCTCAAGAACACGACCCATCTGCTGACATCTCCCACCAGCCTAGCTCAAACATCCAAACCTGTAGGCGTCCCTATGGTGTCGGCCACAGTCCCCGGTGCTATCACGACCATTTCTCAGGTCAAGGCCGAAACTGTTGGACGTAAAAATCAAACCGTGAACTTACTGCAGCAGCAGCATTTACTAAGACAAAGCGGTGCCATCACCGCAGCGTTAGCCAATCAGCAAGTAGGGCAGAATGTTACCATGACAACAAAAGGCGAGATGGTCCTACAGCGACCAACCAGCACGTCAGTGACTGTAGCAGGTGCTCACCAGGTCCCGAACACAGCCAAACTTATCTCGTTAGCACAGGTGACGACAGGTATGGGGACGATGTCGACCCCGGTGTCGACGGTGGTGAGTTCGATGTCTGGAGCCGACAGCCAGGCCGTGGCCAGGCTGATACAGCAGGTGCAGGGGGGCCCACAGATGCTGTCAGTCAGCAACCTTCTGGCGGCCGGAGGTGCAGGGGCCCCCAGATTGCAGGGTGCAAACCCACGCACGACAACCATCAAGATTCAGGGTGAGTTTCTGGACTTGGTCAAGTATTTGTTGCAAATAACACTAACACATTAATGTTCATGGGACCCCTCATAGTGTAAGTGCACACAATCCGAACCAAAACACATGAGGTGTCTTGATGTGGCGTGATTTCAGAGGAGGAGTGAGTTTGGTTTTACGCCGCTTTTAGCAATATTCCAGCAATATCACAGCGGGGGACACTAGAAATGGGCTTCACACATTGTACTCATGTCGGGATTGAACCCGGGTCTTCGGCGTGACGAGCGAACGCTTTAACCACTAGGCTACCCGACCGCCCCTCAGAAGAGGATGCATGTAGGGAGGTCCTGCCCCACACTGTCTCCTGGGCCAAGTGACTTTGTTCCAAATATGCCTCTGTTCACCCAGCAGTGAATGGGTACCAGGTAGGATGAGGAGGTAATGTGGCTGTTAACCTTCAAGCTCCTCACAAGGTAGCATGGATTGTATACTCCCCAGGGAGCTGAGAATGAAAAATTATGTTCTCATTGGTCCATTGACATTATTGTTCCATTGATATTATGATTTGTGTGATCAATTGTGGCATACAAAAGCTATTTTGATTCCCAGAATTTGTCATATCTATGATGTTTTGAAGATTTGAGAAAACTATTCCCTCACTGTGTGACTGAGTGCCTGAAATGGTCTGTACACTTTGCTGGTTATGATTGACTTCTTCGAGTTAAGTTAACCAACATGGTTTAGTAATACAGGCAGTTTGGCTGAAGATTTTTGAAAACCTTGTGACATGGTGTGTTTCAGCCACATTCTGACTGTGTGACATCGTATGTTTCAGCCACATTCTGACTGTGTGACATCGTATGTTTCAGCCACATTCTGACTGTGTGACATCGTATGTTTCAGCCACATTCTGACTGTGTGACATCGTATGTTTCAGCCACATTCTGACTGTGGGACATCGTATGTTTCAGCCACATTCTGACTGTGTGACATCGTATGTTTCAGGCTCATTCTGACTGTGTGACATCGTATGTTTCAGCCACATTCTGACTGTGACATCGTATGTTTCAGCCACATTCTGACTGTGTGACATCGTATGTTTCAGCCACATTCTGACTGTGTGATGTATGTTTCAGCCACATTCTGACTGTGTGACATCGTATGTTTCAGGCTCATTCTGACTGTGATGTATGTTTCAGCCACATTCTGACTGTGACATCGTATGTTTCAGCCACATTCTGACTGTGTGACATCGTATGTTTCAGCCACATTCTGACTGTGTGACATCGTATGTTTCAGCTACATTCTGACTGTGATGTATGTTTCAGCCACATTCTGGCTGTGTGACATCTTATGTTATAGGCACATTCTGACTGTGACATATGTTTCAGCCACATTCTGACTGTGTGACATCATATGTTTCAGCCACATTCTGACTGTGACGTATGTTTCAGGAAGCAGCATAGTCCCGCCAGTGGGAGGCAAGCCAATCCAGATCAGCGGGAAGCCCCTCACTCACTCCAAGAGCCTGATGCAGCTAGGTGGGAAGAACCAGCAGTCCCTGGGGATGATCCACACACAGCAACTGTCGGCCATCAGCATCATACCTCAGACAATCACCACTGGCATCGCCACGCTCTCACAGCCACGCAGTGTCGTGTCTTCAGGTAGCCACATTAATACTGGAGTTGCTTCGTGGGGAAAGTGTTGCACTGTATCTAGTTCATTGCCATCAGTTTTTATACATTCTCATTAAACCCAGATTTTAATGCTCGCTACCGCTATATAAAGACCTCCAATTACAGCTCATGTCAGAACGACCTCACATCTGACCAATCAGAGCATCGCTTGCAAGGATGTGTTTTCTAACCATGCACTGAAAAGTTTACATGGGGCATTCCAAACAACAATTATGAACAACAATTATGAACAACAATTACGACCTGTACAACTGATTCCGTATGCTAAAATGGGGTAAACATTTGAAATGGAAGAGACCTTATATAGTCGGAAATACTGCCATACAAAGTTGTATACAACCATCCTGCCTTGACCATCTATTAGACTTGCTAGAATTTTTGTATGCTTCGTTATCCAATTTTGAATTGAGTACTTTTTCAAAATTATTTTCAAGACCTAGACACGAATGGAAGCTAAGTTGATTATATATATCAGAGAGTTTTCATTTATCACATTATGTCAAATGATCATAGATATTTTAGTGAGAGGAATTCATGACAGTTATGCAGTGTTGCCTCCCTTGACTGTGCCAGGATCCACTTTGTGTTTGGATCCAAGATCCATTTTGTGTCTAAGTTTGTCCATGGTTTGTCAGCACCATATCCATGCTCATGGGTTTCACCATAGTGGTCTTCGACCTGTGTCTCTTCGGACTTGGTTCCTAAATCATGTTGACTCCCTGTGAAATAACTGACATATTTTTCCAAGCAATGTAAAACCTCACTCACTCACTCACTCACTCACTCACTCACTCACTCACTCACTCACTCACTCACTCACTCACTCACTCACTCACTCACTCACTCACTCACTCACTCTTGTTTTCAGCCAGCTCCAACACAGGCGCGACGGAAGTATCGACAACCGGGAACCAACACATGACGGCGGGGCAGCCCAAGATGACCATTGTAGGTCAGGTGGGGCCCATCACATCCACGCAGGCCCAGACAGTACACATGGGGGGCCAGCCCAGGGTCGTCAACACTTCCCCGGGAGGCATCTTCGTCACACATCTCGCACCAGGAATCTCACTCAGACCAGGTGAGGGTAGCACGATTGGGATCTGTAGCTATTGATAAGACAATTGTACCTTATGCATCAGCATATGGTGTGTGAAAAATGTTCTCATGCATCACAAGAGAACTTATTGTTCAGTTTCAGTTTCAAGAGGTAAATGATCGTCTGTCAGCATCATACTTGTGCTTATTGGTTTCATTTAATTGTCGTGGGCGGTCGGGTAGCCTAGTGGTTAAAGCGTTCGCTCGTCACGCCTAGGACCTGGGTTCGATTCCCGACATGGGTACAATGTGTGAAGCCCATTTCTGGTGTCCCCCGCTGTGATATTGCTGGAATATTGCTAAAAGCGGCGTAAAACCAAACTCAATCACTCACTCACTCATTTAATTGTCAGACATGTAAACTGCTCATCTTTGAACTTTCCTCTACATCAACCTTTAGCCTCCATGGTCAAGTGGATAGTGCATCTGTCCGAAGAGTCGCTTTCTGGCTGAGATAATGCCGATGCGACGTTAAATTTGAGCTCACACACTCTGACTGAAGAGCAGAAGGTCGATGGTTTGATCCCCCACCGCAGCATACCAAAAGATGTTAGTAGATGGTACTTGATGTTACCCTGACTGGCGTTCTGTTTTAAGGGTCAAGGACTGTCAGTGAGTCAGCATACTGAGTTGGGTGGTGTGGCTGGATTGTGTGTCATGTCATATGTTGTGGACGTGACACATGCTTTCAATCATTGGTTTGCTTGGCAGCCATGATATAGGTGGATATCACTGACTGGCATTAGACATTCACTCACTACCTTCCTTGTTTGTAGGTTTACCGGGCGTGGGCCAGGCCAAAATGGTGTCGGCCAGCCAGGCAGGTCTTGCACAACTGATCATGCAGCAGGCGCCTCAGGGACTGAAGACTGCAGGAGGCGACACTGTTGGGGTCATGCCGAATGTCTCACAGGGTAAACGTAATACCACTGGTTCTAGTTGTGGCCTCTTTCACTGAGTAGTTAGATACAGTTAGATATCTGTTGTAATGCACAGAAACATTTTATAATTACATGCTCGAATATTGAATTAATTCCCAAATCAAAAAAAATATTGCTTGGATTTATTAAATTCATCATTTATGAAAAGTGTGTTTGTAGATGATGCAGTTTTCATTTGAAGCCATGCTGTATGTCATTGACTACATTATCCTGACTACATTCATACAGACTCTCACTGTATCCTTGATTGTAACAGGAACGCCGATCATCGTCAGCAATGCAGGGAAGGGTGGTCAGAACATCCAGGTGGTGCGGACCGTATTGTCCCAGCAGGCAGGCCTGAAGCCGGGGCAAGCCACCATCCTCATCTCACAGCCCACTCTCCAGCAGAACCCCGCCACCATGATGTCCACATCCCAGGTCATCCAGACCACGAAGTCCGTCCGGGGCTCGCCCAAAGGCAAACCACAGCCGGTGTATGCACGGATCATCACACCCCCACCAGGGATGAAGCTCCCTGTCGGTGCCCCTGGTGTCAGTGTCATACAGACTGTTGGGAAACTTTTGAACAATGTCACAACAGCTACAGCGCATCATCCAACGGTGTCAACGGTAACGGTGGCTACACCACCGTCGACACCGTTGGCAGCGGTAGAGATTGGAGATGGAACAGGAAAGACAGATTCTGGAGAGAGTAAACCTTAGGGGATGATTGTGTTGACCAAGTCCATCTCCTCAGGCATCATTAGCTTCATCCTCTGGGATTGTATGGAGTCTGTACAGATACCACCAGCCTCAGTTGTTTAACAACACTTGGCACAGCACTGATATTGTGTGTGTGTGTGTCTGGTCTGCCTGCTCAATGGAACAAGGCCAGGGTCCTGTTCCACAAAGTGATCTTAGCTTTAAGATGATCGTAACTCCCATACTTTAACGCAGGCTTACGACTATCGTAGCGCTAAGATGGCTGTGTGGAACTAGGCCCTGATCAGGAACTGAAGGGCAGGATGTCTGAAGGAACATTGCAGATTGTCAACATTGTTGGGAAATACATCAATCTGATGTGTTACTGTGAAGACTACGGACAGTGAAATAGATAATATTTACCTGGTAATTCAAGGAATTTCAGATGAGTGCAACGGCCTTATTTGATATAAGGATAATTTCAGCCTGCACCAATTTTGACAGGAGTCATTCTTGAAAAGATGGGACTAACCTGCACTCAGTTGGCAGTGATCAATCAGTGAAGGCCAGACTTGCCCGGAGTGTGTCACAAGTGTGTTCAGGATGACCGCTACTGTCTCACTCTTGCTCTAGAATCACACAAATAGCCCCACCATTCACACAACTAGCCCCACCATTCACACAGCTAGCCCCACCATTCACACAACTAGCCCCACCATTCACACAACTAGCCCCAGCATTCACACAACTAGCCCCAGCATTCACACAACTAGCCCCACCATTCACACAGCTAGCCCCACCATTCACACAGCTAGCCCCACCATTCATACAGCTAGCCCCACCATTCACACAACTAGCCCCATCATTCACACAGCTAGCCCCACCATTCACACAACTAGCCCCACCATTCACACAGCTAGCCCCACCATTCACACATTTAGCCCCACCATTCATACAGCTAGCCCCACCATTCACACACCTAGCCCCACCATTCACACAGCTAGCCCCATCATTCACACAACTAGCCCCAACTAGCCCCACCATTCACACAACTAGCCCCACCATTCACACAACTAGCCCCACCATTCACACAACTAGCCCCACCATTGACAAAACTAGCCCCACCATTCACACACCTAGCCCCACCATTCACACAACTAGCCCCACCATTCACACAGCTAGCCCCACCATTCACACAACTAGCCCCACCATTCACACAACTAGCCCCACCATTCACACAACTAGCCCCACCATTCACACAACTAGCCCCACCATTCACACAACTAGCCCCACCATTCACACATTTAGCCCCACCATTCATACAGCTAGCCCCACCATTCACACAACTAGCCCCACCATTCACACAACTAGCCCCGTCATTCACACAGCTAGCCCCACCATTCACACAACTAGCCCCACCATTCACACAGCTAGCCCCACCATTCACACAACTAGCCCCACCATTCACACAACTAGCCCCGTCATTCACACAGCTAGCCCCACCATTCACACAACTAGCCCCACCATTCACACAGATGTTGACAAGACCAGGGACCTTTTGCTCAACCATTCTCACAGAAGATTTCATTAATTAGGTATCTATGTACCAAGTTATCTGAGGTGGTGCACCTGGCTGTACAAAGTGTCCCCTTGGTTTTATAGGAACCTCTGACTGTGACTTCCGATTCTGATTATGTTTCCAGGTATTTTAGCTGGATTGTCAATCACTGGATTATCTGGTTCAGACTTGATTATTTACACGCTGCCGTCACATTGCTGGAATACAGCTGAGTGCGGTGTTAAACAACAAATAAACAAACAAATTAACAAACAAATTATATGTTAAGGCAGAAATCCACCCAAAATGTTTAGTCTAGTAGACTTCGATGTTTACAGACAATGGTTGTGTGAATGGGTTAGTGTTTTAACTAAAACATGACTGCCATTATTCAAATTATCAATGGATGGTAACCATGGTAACAGTGAAACTTGTTAGGCATCGGCTGTCCGAAGTAATTGATGATCTTTGATATATAGAGATTACTAAACAAGTGTCTGTCGGGTACCATTTACATTATCAATTGTAAGATAAATGTTAACTGACCGACACAAATGCTGTAATCTGATTGTTACACACCCAAAAATTGAACAATTTCAGCATCAAATCTATGCATATTTTGTCTGTTCTCATGATCACAGTGGCGCATTAATACATAACAACAGCCATGAGTGACATCATCCTGCTCACTGCTTGCTTCTTATACTTAGGGGGAACTATAGAAACTTATTTTAGCCATATCTGTGGATTGTCAAGGCATTGATGATAATGCAAACTGGATACGATCAAAGAACATTTATTAAACACTCCAGAACCATAAAGATTTGACACAGCTTTAGGTGAATTTGACTGAAGCCCGAGAAATGGATCAAGGAATTGCGATCAGGAAAGTGGTCTTGTTTCTTCTTCTTTCATGTTAGGTCACCCACAGATGTGTAGGAACATGTGGGCTTGATGACAGCTCGTTCTTCAGTACATGATCATGTTAGGTCACCCACAGGTGTGTAGGAACATGTGGGCTTGATGACAGCCCGTTCTGCAGTACATGATCATGTTAGGTCACCCACACATGTGTAGGAACATGTGGGCTTGATGACAGCTCGTTCTTCAGTACATGATCATGTTAGGTCACCCACAGGTGTGTAGGAACATGTGGGCTTGATGACAGCCCATTCTTCAGTACATGATCATGTTAGGTCACCCACAGGTGTGTAGGAACATGTGGGCTTGATGACAGCCCGTTCTGCAGTACATGATCATGTTAGGTCACCCACAGGTGTGTAGGAACATGTGGGCTTGATGACAGCTCGTTCTGCAGTACATGATCATGTTAGGTCACCCACAGATGTGTAGGAACATGTGGGCTTGATGACAGCTCGTTCTTCAGTACATGATCATGTTAGGTCACCCACAGGTGTGTAGGAACATGTGGGCTTGATGACAGCCCATTCTGCAGTACATGATCATGTTAGGTCACCCACAGGTGTGTAGGAACGTGTGGGCTTGATGACAGCTCGTTCTGCAGTACATGATCATGTTAGGTCTCCCACAGATGTGTAGGAACATGTGGGCTTGATGACAGCCAATTCTGCAGTACATGATCATGTTAGGTCACCCACAGGTGTGTAGGAACATGTGGGCTTGATGACAGCTCGTTCTTCAGTACATGATCATGTTAGGTCACCCACAGGTGTGTAGGAACATGTGGGCTTGATGACAGCCCATTCTTCAGTACATGATCATGTTAGGTCACCCACAGGTGTGTAGGAACATGTGGGCTTGATGACAGCTCGTTCTTCAGTACATGATCATGTTAGGTCACCCACAGGTGTGTAGGAACATGTGGGCTTGATGACAGCCCATTCTTCAGTACATGATCATGTTAGGTCACCCACAGATGTGTAGGAACATGTGGGCTTGATGACAGCTCGTTCTTCAGTACATGATCATGTTAGGTCACCCACAGGTGTGTAGGAACATGTGGGCTTGATGACAGCTCGTTCTTCAGTACATGATCATGTTAGGTCACCCACAGGTGTGTAGGAACATGTGGGCTTGATGACAGCTCGTTCTTCAGTACATGATCATGTTCGGTCACCCACAGGTGTGTAGGAACATGTGGGCTTGATGACAGCCCATTCTTCAGTACATGATCATGTTAGATCACCCACAGGTGTGTAGGAACATGTGGGCTTGATGACCGTCCGTTCTGCAGTACATGATCATGTTAGGTCACCCACAGATGTGTAGGAACATGTGGGCTTGATGACAGCCCGTTCTGCAGTACATGATCATGTTAGGTCACCCACAGGTGTGTAGGAACATGTGGGCTTGATGACAGCCCGTTCTGCAGTACATGATCATGTTAGGTCACCCACAGGTGTGTAGGAACATGTGGGCTTGATGACAGCCCGTTCTGCAGTACATGATCATGTTAGGTCACCCACAGATGTGTAGGAACGTGTGGGCTTGATGACAGCCCGTTTTGCAGTACATGATCATGTTAGGTCACCCACAGGTGTGTAGGAACATGTGGGCTTGATGACAGCCCGTTCTGCAGTACATGATCATGTTAGGTCACCCACAGATGTGTAGGAACATGTGGGCTTGATGACAGCCCATTCTTCAGTACATGATCATGTTAGGTCACCCACAGGTGTGTAGGAACATGTGGGCTTGATGACAGCCCATTCTTCAGTACATGATCATGTTAGGTCACCCACAGGTGTGTAGGAACATGTGGGCTTGATGACAGCTCGTTCTGCAGTACATGATCATGTTAGGTCACCCACAGGTGTGTAGGAACATGTGGGCTTGATGACAGCCCATTCTTCAGTACATGATCATGTTAGGTCACCCACAGGTGTGTAGGAACATGTGGGCTTGATGACAGCCCATTCTTCAGTACATGATCATGTTAGGTCACCCACAGGTGTGTAGGAACATGTGGGCTTGATGACAGCCCATTCTTCAGTACATGATCATGTTAGGTCACCCACAGGTGTGTAGGAACATGTGGGCTTGATGACAGCTCGTTCTTCAGTACATGATCATGTTCGGTCACCCACAGGTGTGTAGGAACATGTGGGCTTGATGACAGCCCATTCTTCAGTACATGATCATGTTAGATCACCCACAGGTGTGTAGGAACATGTGGGCTTGATGACCGTCCGTTCTGCAGTACATGATCATGTTAGGTCACCCACAGATGTGTAGGAACATGTGGGCTTGATGACAGCCCGTTCTGCAGTACATGATCATGTTAGGTCACCCACAGGTGTGTAGGAACATGTGGGCTTGATGACAGCCCGTTCTGCAGTACATGATCATGTTAGGTCACCCACAGGTGTGTAGGAACATGTGGGCTTGATGACAGCCCGTTCTGCAGTACATGATCATGTTAGGTCACCCACAGATGTGTAGGAACGTGTGGGCTTGATGACAGCCCGTTTTGCAGTACATGATCATGTTAGGTCACCCACAGGTGTGTAGGAACATGTGGGCTTGATGACAGCCCGTTCTGCAGTACATGATCATGTTAGGTCACCCACAGATGTGTAGGAACATGTGGGCTTGATGACAGCCCATTCTTCAGTACATGATCATGTTAGGTCACCCACAGGTGTGTAGGAACATGTGGGCTTGATGACAGCCCATTCTTCAGTACATGATCATGTTAGGTCACCCACAGGTGTGTAGGAACATGTGGGCTTGATGACAGCTCGTTCTGCAGTACATGATCATGTTAGGTCACCCACAGGTGTGTAGGAACATGTGGGCTTGATGACAGCCCATTCTTCAGTACATGATCATGTTAGGTCACCCACAGGTGTGTAGGAACATGTGGGCTTGATGACAGCCCATTCTTCAGTACATGATCATGTTAGGTCACCCACAGGTGTGTAGGAACATGTGGGCTTGATGACAGCCCATTCTTCAGTACATGATCATGTTAGGTCACCCACAGGTGTGTAGGAACATGTGGGCTTGATGACAGCCCATTCTTCAGTACATGATCATGTTAGGTCACCCACAGGTGTGTAGGAACATGTGGGCTTGATGACAGCCCATTCTTCAGTACATGATCATGTTAGGTCACCCACAGGTGTGTAGGAACATGTGGGCTTGATGACAGCTCGTTCTTCAGTACATGATCATGTTAGGTCACCCACAGGTGTGTAGGAACATGTGGGCTTGATGACAGCCCATTCTTCAGTAAATGATCATGTTAGGTCACCCACAGGTGTGTAGGAACATGTGGGCTTGATGACAGCTCGTTCTTCAGTACATGATCATGTTAGGTCACCCACAGGTGTGTAGGAACATGTGGGCTTGATGACAGCCCATTCTTCAGTACATGATCATGTTAGGTCACCCACAGGTGTGTAGGAACATGTGGGCTTGATGACAGCTCGTTCTTCAGTACATGATCATGTTAGGTCACCCACAGGTGTGTAGGAACATGTGGGCTTGATGACAGCCCATTCTTCAGTACATGATCATGTTAGGTCACCCACAGGTGTGTAGGAACATGTGGGCTTGATGACAGCCCATTCTTCAGTACATGATCATGTTAGGTCACCCACAGGTGTGTAGGAACATGTGGGCTTGATGACAGCCCATTCTTCAGTACATGATCATGTTAGGTCACCCACAGGTGTGTAGGAACATGTGGGCTTGATGACAGCCCGTTCTGCAGTACATGATCATGTTAGAAGAAGTTACTTTTGAGTCATCATCTGGTCCCACGGACACTTGTTTTCAACCCCTTTGCCATGTTTGTCAACTGATTGTACACCGGGTTCTTATGCCATAGAGAGATGTTTGAATTTTGAAATACCTTGAGATGGTCCCAAATAATGAATTGTTACACAAGTAATCTAATATTTACAAATAATCTCACTTCGATATACCGGAATATTTTGTTTTTCTTAACTACCATAGCTATATTACTACCTTCGAATGAAACAAGTTATACTTTCATCAATTAATATTTTGTTTAGATAATGTTTTATGAATCATCCTCATTCTCGTATTGTTTTTCATCATTCTTATGTTCAACCCGTCTCTGATTTTATTGAAAAATATGGAAGTAGTCCTGGAAATTCTTAAATTTGATGGCTATGTATGTGTGTTGTATTTGGTAAGAAAACAACATTATGATATGGGTCAGCACTGCAAGGATGCTTTTGTCAATATAAACTACAGCTTATTCTTCTGTGTGTAGATTTACCAGATCTTCATGATCATGAAAAAAGCAGTTTCAAGAACTATTTTAGGTCAAGGTTGATGTTAGGTTTTCCTTCGAAAATAAAAACCCGAAAAAACATATGACACAAGAATATGTTAAAAACTTTCAAAACATGTTTAAGGGGTTGGTGGTTGGTGGGATTGGTCTTAGGACTACATGTATAGGAAGTGTCCAGACCTTAAATAATGATAAAGATTTTGAGCCCACCCCCACCTCCACCACCTTTTGCTGTGTCATTTTTCATGACTCAAACCACCCCCCCCACTCGAACCCAACCACCCTACTACTCTCACCGTCCCACCAACCCCCACCCTATAATAAATGACCAGTCCCTTAGTATTTTCATTTTCATTATTACTTCTTTTTAATTCCATAATCAGCTGTATGACATGACATGGGTGTGGCCCTGGTAAGCCAAAGGCTCGCACACACTAAAGCAGTGCTGCTCGTCTTTAAATATACTACTCAAAAGAAGTTAAGAACACCCAATTTTTTATATGACTATAGTTAATCTGTCATGGCTGGTTGGTCTTGCAACACACATCCTTCCAATTGTGGGTGTTCCTTAACTTGTTTTGAGTAGTATATAATGGAAGTTGTACCAGTGTTGGACATAAGTGTTGTGTTTTTGATGAATGCCGGTGGAACATTACATTAGAACCGTCATAAAACCTTGCCATTTCCCATAAATGAAGGATAGGAAAATGGGTGAGAAGAAAGCATTAATAATGATGTATTTTTATCGGGACAGTGAGAATGACAGTGAAATGATCCTGCTTGGTTATATTATCCCCGTAGTGAAAGGGCAGCAACAGTGAACATTACTTTTTGAACAATCTCAAACATTTTGATGATGTCTATTCACTCCTGACTCACTGCATTGATCTTGAATTCTTTAGATAAGGCACTGCAGTGGATGTTATGCCGATAGGCTGTGTATCACTGCTACTGTGGGTTGCCTTAAGCATCAGCTACACTGAAATATCGGCATCATACTGATCACTTGTAAGCTGACGCAGGAATACTACACACATTCAGAAGTAGTTTTCAGGCAATCACTTTTACAAATATGGTAAATGTGGAGAGAAAAACTTTTGCTGGGCTGCTGTTGGGAACTAGAGTTTTATGTTCAAGCTATTCTCATCACTTTCCATCTGATATGATACCTCTCTTCCCAGAGGGAGGAATCGAATCAGCGTAAATTTCAATGTGAATGATCTGAACGCAAAAATAGGATGTTGTTAGTCTTGTTCTGACCAATTTTTAAACCTTAAATACCAGGGCTCCATTCCATAAAGCGGTCGTAGAGCTAAGGTGATAGCATCACCCATACTTTAACATAGGCCTATGATTGTCGTAGCCCTACAATCGCTTTGTGGAACAGGACACAGATAGTTCTTCACAATAGGGTGATCAGGGTGGTTCTAAACCAGCCCAACCTATGTCTGTTGTCTTTGTGATTGCTACAGATTATGTATGTTATTGATTGTTGAATTTCTTTTTTACATTAGATTCCTATTTTGTTACGGATTTTGTTGACATTTCAACCAGTACCATCTTATTGTGTAGGCTTCCTCACCTGTTGTTCAGTTCTTGCTCCTGTTTATCGCATTTTTAGCATTTAAATTGTCAAGATTTGTATGCAGTGACCAGGGTTCCAGATAACGTTTTTGGCCATTGAGTATTCACTCACAACTATTCAATCCCATTGGGTATTGATAGTTTTCTTTGGATATTTCATATATTTTTACTCCGACTCTTACCCCACCCTAATGTGTTTGTTTTTGTGACCCTCCCAATGTCCGTGTACATTTTTTTTGTGAACCTCCCCAAAAAGACAAAATGCAAAAGCACTTTATATTTTGTTATAAAATGTCGATTTTCACGACGCACCCCAAATATGAATTTTGTTGATTCTGGGGGACCCATAAGAAAGACATTTTTGTAAGGAGATGCTAAGAGGCCGGTTTCTGAAAGCAAACTAGCACTACAGCTATCACCTCTAATTGTTTAGCATTGATTCACAAACATCAAATTGCCCAGATGGAAACATGGCCAAGGATAACTTACATTTTCGGAATAAGTACACATTCTGTGGTTTCTGTTACATATTTACTTATAACTGTCAATTTGATTTGGCTCCAAGAAACAGTTTTGCTTACATGGTACCCATGTCTGCTTATTTAGATGTTCATGTTGAACACTGCAACTCTGGTGAATCAGGTAGTTCACTAGGACTTGCAATATGTTGTATTTTACTTACATGTGACAGTTTATTCAGGAATCCATCAGTGTGTGAAGTGATGTGTGTGTATGAGTGCATGTACATCTGTGTGTGTTTCTACAAGCCTGCTGGCTCAGGTGTAGATTGTATCTGTTTAACCATCATCAGTTGGAGAGCCCTCAAAGGTTGAAATAAGCATCATTCAATGCACTTGCCTGACATTTCAGAATTTTGTACAAACAAATTATTTGTTGAAAGGTGTGAAAGAGAAAAAAATTTCTCTGTAGCAAAATGTCCAGAATATTTACAGGTTTGTCCTCAAGTTGTATGCATTTTGTATTTGAACAGATCCCCTGACAATATGTTCACTAATAGGCTATCCAGTAGAACTAGGAAAGGTGTTTGAAATTTCTTCTTTTCTATTTTTTTGTCTTGGAAAACAAACAAATAATTGTCATCATCATCAATCATCACAATCATTTAATATGTTATAGGTCATGCATTTCACACAGTCTGTTTCCATGAAACAGATTACAATGGCTATTATTGTCCTGTTAGAAGAAGTGAAGAAGAATCAATAAATGTCATCACTTTGTTCAACTGTTTCATTTGGTTGAATTTGTATACTATTATGTATTATTTATGTTGATTAAGCCTTGGCGTTCTGTGCTATAATCTCTTTGTGTCCAATCCAGGGAATCAGATGTGGTTGTTGAACTGTCACAGCCAGGGATGCTGTAGATGTGTGTGTGTATGTGTATGTGTTTATGTGTGTGTGTGTGTGTGTGTGTGTGTGTGTGTGTGTGTGTGTGTGTGTCCACTCCTGTAGTGTATGATGTCAGCTCAGTTGTATATGCAGTTGCTGAATGAATCGTGTATTGTGATATATTGTAAATATGTACATTTTTCAAAACTCACTTTGGTTCTCTGCTGATGAGAAATACTGACAATTGAAAATATAATTTATTAGATATGATGGTTTGTGTTTTGTTGTTCTTCAGTGACACAGTCACTGCACCTTAAACAGGAAGTTGGAGACACTGTCACTACACCTTAAACAGGACGTTGGAGACACTGTCACTACACCTTAAACAGGAAGTTGGGAGACACAGTCACTACACCTTAAATAGGAAATTAGAGACACAGTCACTATGCCTTAAACAGGAAGTTGGAGACACAGTCACTACACCTTAAACAGGAAGTTAGAGACACTGTCACTATGCCTTAAACAGGACGTTGGAGACACTGTCACTACACCTTAAATAGGAAGTTAGAGACAGTCACTACACCTTAAACAGGAAGTTGGAGACACAGTCACTGCACCTTAAACAGGAAGTTGGAGACAGTCACTACACCTTAAACAGGAAGTTAGAGACACAGTCACTATGCCTTAAACAGGAAGTTGGAGACACAGTCACTACACCTTAAACAGGACGTTGGAGACACTGTCACTACACCTTAAACAGGAAGTTGGGAGACACAGTCACTACACCTTAAACAGGACGTTGGAGACACTGTCACTACACCTTAAACAGGAAGTTGGGAGACACAGTCACTACACCTTAAACAGGACGTTGGAGACACTGTCACTACACCTTAAACAGGAAGTTGGGAGACACAGTCACTACACCTTAAATAGGAAGTTAGAGACACAGTCACTATGCCTTAAACAGGAAGTTGGAGAGAGTCACTACACCTTAAACAGGAAGTTGGGAGACACAGTCACTACACCTTAAATAGGAAGTTAGAGACACAGTCACTATGCCTTAAACAGGAAGTTGGAGGCAGTCACTACACCTTAAACAGGAAGTTGGGAGACACAGTCACTACACCTTCAACAGGAAGTTGGAGACACTGTCACTACACCTTAAACAGGAAGTTGGAGACACTGTCACTACACCTTAAATAGGAAGTTAGAGACACAGTCACTACACCTTAAACAGGAAGTTGGAGACAGTCACTACACCTTAAACAGGAAGTTGGAGACACAGTCACTGCACCTTAAACAGGAAGTTGGAGACACAGTCACTGCACCTTAAACAGGACGTTGGAGACACTGTCACTGCACCTTCAACAGGACGTTGGAGACACAGTCACTACACCTTCAACAGGACGTTGGAGACAGTCACTACACCTTAAACAGGAAGTTGGAGACACAGTCACTACACCTTCAACAGGAAGTTGGAGACACAGTCACTACACCTTAAACAGGAAGTTGGAGACACAGTCACTACACCTTCAACAGGAAGTTGGAGACACTGTCACTACACCTTAAACAGGAAGTTGGAGACACAGTCACTACACCTTAAACAGGAAGTTGGAGACACAGTCACTACACCTTAAACAGGACGTTGGAGACACAGTCACTACACCTTAAACAGGAAGTTGGAGACACAGTCACTACACCTTCAACAGGAAGTTGGAGACACAGTCACTACACCTTAAACAGGAAGTTGGAGACACAGTCACTACACCTTCAACAGGAAGTTGGAGACACAGTCACTACACCTTAAACAGGAAGTTGGAGACACAGTCACTACACCTTAAACAGGAAGTTGGAGACACAGTCACTACACCTTCAACAGGAAGTTGGAGACACAGTCACTACACCTTAAACAGGAAGTTGGAGACACTGTTACTATACCTTAAACAGGAAGTTGGAGACAGTCACAACACCCAATCTCATTAAAATCAGATCTAAGTTCTCGCTGCCGCTAAACAAAGATCTGAGGACATCCCAGTAGGGGGCACATCAGAACAACCTTTCATCCAACCAATCAGGGCGTCGCTTACCAGATCCTGAAAGTGACAGTCCCAATGTGTTTTCTAATCATGCAACCACAAAATATTTAACAGAGGGTATTCCCCATGACAGTTACAGGTTTTATGATTATACCTATACAATCTAGGACATCTATAAGCCATTCCAGAATGTTGTTTTGGTCAGTTTCAAATTTTTTAATCGAGAATACGTCAAAATATGTTTCGAAGCATAGTCGCCAATTTGAAACTATTGCCAAAAAGCTCGAGATAGCTGCCTTCTGATTGGCAAATGTTGATTTCTTGTCAGTCATTTTCATGTTTGTGAAAGGTTGTTCTGACGTGACCTGTAATGGGATGTCCTCAGATCTTTGGTTAGCGGTAGCGAAAACTAAGATCTGATTTTAATGAGATTGCCACAACACCAGCTGTCACTAGGCCAAATATTGTCACAAGACTGGTGACACTAGATCAAATGCTGTCACTGGATTGGCAACACTAGACCAAATGCTGTCATTAGACTGGTGACACTAGGCCAAATGCTGTCATTAGACTGGTGACACTAGACCAAATGCTGTCACTGGAATGGTGACACTAAACTAAATGCTGTCACTGGAATGGTGACACTAGACCAAATGCTGTCACTGGAATGGTGACACTAGACCAAATGAAGTCACTGAAGTCATGACACTAGACCAAATGCTGTCACTGACTGGTGACACTAGACCAAATGCTGTCACTGAAGTAATGACACTAGACCAAATGCTGTCACTGACTGGTGACACTAGACCAAATGCTGTCACTGACTGGTGACACTAGGCAAAATGTTGTCTCTGACTGATGGCACTAGACCAAATGATGTCACTGACTGATGGCACTAGACCAAATATTGTCACAAGACTGGTGACACTAGATCAAATGCTGTCACTGGATTGGCAACACTAGACCAAATGCTGTCATAAGACTGGTGACACTAGACCAAATGCTGTCATTAGACTGGTGACACTAGACCAAATGCTGTCACTGGAATGGTGACACTAAACCAAATGAAGTCACTAAAGTAATAACACTAGACCAAATGCTGTCATAAGACTGGTGACACTAGACCAAATGCTGTCATTAGACTGGTGACACTAGACCAAATGCTGTCACTGGAATGGTGACACTAGACCAAATGAAGTCACTGAAGTAATGACACTAGACCAAATGCTGTCACTGACTGGTGACACTAGACCAAATGCTGTCATTAGACTGGTGACACTAGACCAAATGCTGTCACTGGAATGGTGACACTAAACCAAATGAAGTCACTAAAGTAATAACACTAGACCAAATGCTGTCATAAGACTGGTGACACTAGACCAAATGCTGTCATTAGACTGGTGACACTAGACCAAATGCTGTCACTGGAATGGTGACACTAGACCAAATGAAGTCACTGAAGTAATGACACTAGACCAAATTCTGTCACTGACTGGTGACACAAGACCAAATTCTGTCACTGACTGGTGACACTAGACCAAATGCTGTCACTGGAATGGTGACACTAGACCAAATGAAGTCACTGAAGTAATGACACTAGACCAAATCCTGTCACTGGATTGGTGACACTAGACCAAATGCTGTCATTAGACTGGTGACACTAGTCCAAATTCTGTCACTGGATTGGTGACAAAAGACCAAATGCTGTCATGAGACTGATGACACAAGACCAAATGCTGTCATGAGCCTGATGACACTAGACCAAATGATGTCATGAGACTGGTGACACAAGAACAAATGCTGTCACTGACTGGTGACACTAGACCAAATTCTGTCACTGGATTGGTGAAAAAAGACCAAATGCTGTCATGAGACTGATGACACTAGACCAAATGCTGTCATGAGACTGATGACACTAGACCAAATGCTGTCATTAGACTGATGACACTAGACCAAATGCTGTCATGAGACTGATGACACTAGACCAAATGCTGTCATTAGACTGATGACACTAGACCAAATGCTGTCATGAGACTGATGACACTAGACCAAATGCTGTCATGAGACTGATGACACTAGACCAAATGCTGTCATTAGACTGGTGACACTAGACCAAATGCTGTCATTAGACTGATGACACTAGACCAAATGCTGTCATGAGACTGGTGACACTAGACCAAATGCTGTCATGAGACTGGTGACACTAGACCAAATGCTGTCATGAGACTGATGACACTAGACCAAATGCTGTCATGAGACTGGTGACACTAGACCAAATACTGTCATTAGACTGGTGACACTAGACCAAATGCTGTCATTAGACTGGTGACACTAGACCAAATGCTGTCACTGAAGTAATGACACTAGACCAAATGCTGTCACTGAAGTAATGACACTAAACCAAATGATGTCCTGAGACTGGTGACACTAGACCAAATGCTGTCATGAGACTGGTGACACTAGACCAAATGATGTCACTGAAGTAATGACACTAGACCAAATGATGTCACTGGGTTGGAGATATGTCGTTGATTAACTGGAGGCCTGGACTACAGGACAATTTGACAATATTATTCAGTGGTTGCACATATAATGACAAATGACAAATATCAGATCATTTTTGTATAATTAAGATTTATTTTAAGAAAGGTAAACAAACGTGAGCGTTCAAGGTTTTATCACTGGAATGCAATATACATATTGGATTGTGTTATGTACATCTTGTGGTGTTGGAGAGAAGTCATAACCACATACAATGTTACAAGTATGTCTTACATCGGACCTGTTCGGTTTATGAACATAACCTTAATTAATTTCAATTAATCCTAATACAAAAATGTACAAATATATGTTTAGCAAAATGTATTTACATGATACATTAAGAAAATATGTTGGTTTTCATAATGAAAAAGTGACGAGGAAACATGATCCAAGGTAGAGGCTAAAATTATAATGCAACAAGAGAGTGAGTATGGTTTTACGCCGCTTTTAGCAATATTCCAGCAATATCACGGCGGGGGACATCACAAATGGGCTTCACACATTGTACCCATGTCGGGAATCGAACCCGGGTATTTGGCGTGACGAGCGAACGCTTTAACCACTAGGCTACCCAACCGCCCCTTATGCAACAAGAAACTATTTACAGACATGTATAGTATACAGAAGACTGAGACTCTGTAAATCGTGAAATAAATGTGTCTCCAAAAGACTGCGACTGCTGGTCCCAAGCCAAAAATGCGACTCAATATGAATGCGACACCCCCCTCCTCTCAAGCATCAGTGGATGTTATCTAAAGAAAATGTCCTCTGTCAGGTTTACAGGAGAATCCTCATCTTAATTCAACTTTACATTAATCCAATCACACACAAAAAGGCAGCGCTCATTAGCGCCAAGTAGAGTACTTCCGCTAAAACAGTACATGCGCGCTGGCTCGTGTCGGCCTTTGACGCAGTCGCTAAGAACAAAGACACTGTGTTGCGTGGTTGGCGTCTGTCTTGACTTGCAGGTGTGATCAGTGATGACATTAGTGAGTAGAACTCTTGTCTTGACCCCAGCAGTGACAATTCCCAGGATGTAATTAGTGTTTGAATGACATTGTTTATATACTTGTTACAAGTGCTGCTCAATAAACAGTGGTGTGGAATACACAGTTGTTTGTTTTCAGTGTATGTCTAAGTTGGTATTTCTGCTATCCAAAATGTCTTATCGTTGATATAAATGCGATGTTTAATAATGCAAGAATTTTTCGCATTTAATTCAGGCTCACGTTTCAAGATTTACAGTATTCCACGTACACATAGGAGCACTTATTACTAGGTTCAGGAAGGCAAAGGTGGGGTCAGGTTCCAAGGTGGATCCAGCCTTTCTAAAAGGGAAGGGTCCAAGATATCAAAATCCTCTCAGATAATTTTACTGCCTATAACATTTTTTGGTTTTCAAAAAGGGGGGATGCATACTCCCTTGATCCCACTTTGGATCCGCTAATGGGTTAGGGAAATGGTTTTTTACAGGGCAGGGAGTTTTTTTGTTAAAATAATTTTCTTCCTAAATACAGGAAATATAATCATTTTGCCTCAAATTTCAAACAAAAATGTTTGCTGGATAGGCCTGATTTAAACCTATGGGGGGCTTTGGATTTGGTCTGAATGTGTTAAAGATTCATTTGATTGGGTGTTAGTGTAAGGGAGGTAACTCTTGGATATAAGGATAGGGTGCAGTGCTGTACTGCCCCAATAACAATTCCTGAGTTTTCCCTGTAAAAGAAGCTAAAGAAGCTTACAATAACTTTGTGGTGATGTAATTATATATCATGCACCCGAACGAAGATCGATTCATAATGACACAAATATTGCCATGACACCAGTGACAGTGACAGCCAACCATGACACTACAAGGCTGTTGCTATGGTTACAATAGTTGGCATTACAGGCACATTGAGTTGTTGAGATGCCGTTGTACATCACATCGCTGATACATTCTTCCTTCCTCTGCTCCCCACACAGTCGGTACACCTCCACCGTCCGAACAGAATCAGCTGAAGAGAGAATATGCGAAATGGGTTTAACACTACTTTAAACAGTAACTTCAATTATGTCTCCCAGTTTACACATGTGGAGCGGTGGTGGGGTAGCCTAGTGGTCAAGTCCCGGGTTTGATTCCTGAAATGGGTACAATGTGTGAAGCCCATTTCTGGTGTCCCCCCGCCATGATATTGGTGTAATAGTGCTAAAAGCAGCGTAAAGTTTTGTAAGAAAGTATTTAACAGTTTTTGAGTTACGCTCCAGAAATCGAACTCTACCCTATAGAACCTAAGTCCAACTTGTTGCCATGGAAACGTAAAAAAAATAAAAAAAATAAAATTCCTAAATAGCAAAAGGCACCAGTTCAGTATGTGCCTGGTAGACATGCAAAGTTTTGTAAGAAAGTATTTAACAGTTTTTGAGTTACGCTCCAGAAATGAACACCACCCTTATAGAACCTAAGTCCAATTTGTTGCCATGGAAACGTAAAAAATAAAAATTTCTTAATAGCAAAAGGCACCAGTTCAATTTGTAGTTTAAACCCATGAAAAGTAACATGGAGAAATATTCAACAGTTTTTGAGTTCTGCTTCGGAAACTAACATCACTCACACAGTGAGCCTATGTCCAGTTATCTTTCATGAAAATTGGAAAATAAAAAAATTGGAAAAATTCCAAAATAGCAAAAGGCACACCTTCACCACTTAAGTGATATAAATGCAAAGTTTGATGAAGAAATATTTAACGGTTTTCGAGTTCTGCTCCGGAAACGATTCTGACAGACAGGCGGTCGGACGGACGGACATGCCCATAGTTATATCCCCCCGCATTATATGCCGGGGGGATAACATGTGGAATTGTAACCTGTGAGAACTGGGTTAGAACTAGTCTTCAGCAACCCAAGCTTGTTGTAATTCATATTCTCAGCTCCTTGGGGTGTATACAAACCCAAGCTGCCTTGTGAGGTGCTAAAAGGATAAGTCATATTACCATTTCATAGTACTAGGTACTCATTTTCTTACCAATGAAGATCCGGGGTAGAATAGGTCTTAAGCAACCCATGTTTGTTGTAAGAGGTGACTAACGGGATTGGGTGGTCAGGCTCCCTGACTTGGTTGATGCAAGTCATCGTATCCCATTTGCATGGATCGATGCTCATTATATCAGTCCCTGGATTGTCTGGTCAGACTTGATTATTTACAGAACGCTGTCACATAGCTGGAATATTGCTGAGTGCAGCGTTAAACAACAAACAAACAAAACTCATTTGCTGTTGGGTGGACAGAGGCCTATATTGGAACAGTCACTTGCCTAAGGAGACACCATAGTGAGTGAGTGAGTATGGTTTAACGCCGTTTTTAGCAATATCACGGCGGGGGACACCAGATATGGGCTTCCCACATTGTACCCATGTCGGGAATCGAACCTGGGTCTTCCGCGTGACGAGCGAATGCTTTAACCACTAGGCTACCCGACCGTCACTCAGGAGACACCACATGTGTTACATGTGCTTTAGTGTCGAGCAGGACTGAAGGCCTAAAGACTCTGGAGCCAGTCTGCTGAACGAGGTCACCCATCCACCGACTCTTCATGACACCTGTGAAGATCCTTGTTTTATTCCCGTAATGCTGCACGCCAGGCAAGATAACAACAAGTACCATTTTTTAACTTCTTTTGGTATGATGCAGCCAGGGATCAAACCCTGATCCTACCACTTTATCCACGGTTGATAGAGAGTTAAGCTATTGGTGGAATGTTCTATTTCCACCTTAGATCATGCTGCATTATTGTCTCCCTGGTGGTGGAATGTTCTATTTCCACCTTAGATCATGCTGCATTATTGTTTCCCTGGTGATGGAATGTTCTATTTCCACCTTAGATCATGCTGCATTATTGTTTCCCTGGTGATGGAATGTTCTATTTCCACTTTAGATCATGCTGCATTATTGTTTCCCTGGTGATGGAATGTTCTATTTCCACCTTAGATCATGCTGCATTATTGTCTCCCTGGTTAAAGTATCCCCCGGAACCAATTCCTACACAGTCGACTTACAAAATTTACCACAGAATTAATGAGTCAGGAGGTGGGATGAATATAATATATAACACTATCCTCTTTAAATGAACATTTAAAAAAATATAAGCTTTCAACATTTGAATTTTGTGTCTTACTTTCGCAAAATATAAGAAGGCAAGGGATTAATCAAGAACGTAAATTCATTGGATTTGGTTGGTTGGTTTGTTGTTTAACGCCGCACTCAGCAATATTCCAGCTATATGACGGCGTTCTGTAAATAATTGAGTCTGGACCGGACAATCCAGTGATTGACATCATGAACATCGATCCACGCAATTGGGATAGATGACATGCATCAACCAAGTCAGAGAGCCTGACCACCCGATCCACCTTTTGCGACAAGCATAGTCGCCTGTTACAGCCATTGGTTGCTGAAGACCTATTCTACCCCGGATCTTCACGGGTCTAAATTCATTGGAAGAGTCCATGGTTCCACTTACACCAGCGTTCGCCCCGAATCTTGAGACAGGAACCGGTGCAGTAGGAGGTCGGCACCAGGGGCTGGAAGTTATCTGCACAATTTTTGTCGGGGTACAGGCAGTTATAGCAGATGAAGGACGACTGCACTGGAACAGAGGGAACATCATTTTTAAGATTGGAATATGGCTACATGCATGCATGTGTCTGCTAGTCGGGACTAATGCTGTTTAAATACAACTGAGATACCATGCCTCAGTTTAACCAGGATACCCTATTCGGTCACAGTATACCAACTTCTAGCTGACCAGTTCTTGCCCCTTAATGCTGAGAGCCAGGCAGGGTAACAACAAGTACTGTCTTTTAGTGTCCTTTATTGTGACGAAGCCAGACGCTCTATCCACTATACCACGGCAGCAGTCCGTCCATATAACAAACTATGGTGCATTTGGTGATGAATAATAATCATTTCTTACAATTTTCGCAGTTTCAGCTTCATTTTCAATGTCTAAGTATTTATCAATTTTCAAAAACTCTTTTGAAAAAGAAAAAGAATCTTAAGGCTGCAGTAAAAAAAGGTTTCTCGAACACACTTTTCTCAAATGTGGGAGGTAAGGCATGACTGTAAACGACAATAATGTTCAAAATAATGCGTAGAAGATCATCAAGTGAGTGAGTGAGTGAGTGAGTGAGTGAGTGAGTTGGGTTTAACACTGCTTTTAACATTATTCCAGTTATATCACGGCATGTCAGCTTAATGTGGGAGGAAAGCCCGAAGTGATGCGGGTCTCAGACGTTTACCACTTTGGTGAAACCAACGAGCACGGGTATGGTGCTGACAAACCTAGAAACATAATCGGGATTCGAACCCACCATCATAGGTTTCTGGCGTGCCCAAGGGACGCAACTCTGCACAGCGAATCACGTCGCCTTAGGCGACTGGGCCACCTGTGCCCCCAGAAGATCATCAAAGTTGCATTCTTGATTCTAAAGTTTTTAAATCAACAATCAAAAGTTAAATTTCAATGACACATATATCAGCGTACTATCAATACCTAGTTAATGATATTCAAATTTAAATGCTAAGCAGAGACCACAACCCAGGGGTTCCGTAGGTATTGGCAACGCTGGTCAACCACGCTGTCATCACAGCATCCCTCCTCTACATCTCCAGGGCAAGCATTTCGGTAAACTACACTCACCATTCCCATGGTTCTCGCAATCTCAAATTACCCGTCCTTGATTTCCATTTGCCAAGTTGATTGGCTATGCTACTAGGTCTAACATACCAGTCGACCCGTGAAGATTCCGCGGTAGAATAGGTCTTCAGCAACCCATACTTGCCGTAAAAGGTGACTATGCTTGTCGTAAAAGGCGACTAACGGGATCGGGTGGTCAGGCTCGCTGACTTGGTTGATACATGTCATCGATCCCAATAGCGTGGATCGATGCTCATGATGTGAGTCACTGGATTGTTTGGTCCAGACTCGATTATTTACAGACCGCTGTCATATAGCTGGAATATTGCTGAGTGCGGCATTAAACAACAAACCAACCAAAAACCATACCCGTTAGAATATGAGTTACAAACCAGCTTCAATGTTGGGTTGGCCAGTCCCATTGATTATGTATGCGAGAAATTCAACATTGAAAAACTGACTGACATGCAAAAGAAAGCCCTAAAAAATCTTGTCAATGGAAAGGATGTCTTCATGTTCATTAAAACTAGCGGTGGCTTTGGTTTCTAGCTAATACGAGTTACCTCCCTTATCCTTTCTCTTATGTCGATGCTTGATTGGTCGGCAAAATGTTGATGAAAATCAAGGGCGGGTAATTTGCAATTGCAAGAATCCAGGGTTAAGAGTAGGTTTACCGAAGTGCTAGCCCTGGAGGTGTAGAGGAGGATGCACAGCGTCGTCCAGGGTTTTGTAATCGAACGCAAGCTGGGTCTCTGTTATCATAGTAATCATAAACTGCTACTAGTGCTAGATTGACATCGACTTGACATAACTTTGAGTTGGCAGAAAGGTGGATTTAGAATAACTTTAATCAGACTTCTTAGGGCCGTCAAATGGCCCTATACCAACTTTACTCTGATCTGAGGAGAAGTGCACTTTACTGGGCGCAAGTTTTCATATTTTAATTAGCGCCACTATGTTTATTTTCTCTTTTAGTTTTTACTTTATCGCATTTGAACAGCATTTCGTTTTTATTGTTTTCGCGTAATTTTCATTTCATTTCCACTCTAATCCTAGTTTTGTATTTTGTCTCTCATCTGAGTAAACTTGTGTGAGTTGGAGAGTAGGGTTTGTGATATATTGGCATAGCGCTGTGTGGAGGATCGTTGCCAGCTTGAAGCAAAGCTAGGCTAATGAGTTAATCTAATTACCCAACACCGTACCATGTAGGGGACCACAGGTGCTATCCCAAATAATCATGATATTAAGTGCTCCTTTACCAAGTCATCAGCACCCAATTGTTAACCTTTATGTGCATGCGCAGTTGCCATTTTCTCCAAAAAACCCTCGAAACTTGACAGCAATTTTACAGAATTTCACCAAATTGGATTAATTAGTTAAAAGAGATAGGAAACCCATACCCTCCCTTACAACTAACCCCAGGCATCGTAAATGGTTGTTTGATCGGAGAGGATTACCTAACCCTAATGATCGTAAAGGGGTGCTTGATCGGAAAGGGGGACCAACTGACCAAGGGCTAAAGATTGAGTTGGGGGTAACCTACCCTAACCCTAAAAAACAAACCTCAAGGATGGGAAAGACACGCGAGATCTGTGAAGCGATTCGAGCCACGGTCGGCAGCCTTAACCAATTAGCGTAATAAGCTGCGCCCGGTAAACTGCATTGTTATCCTGATATGGTTTCAAACAATGACTTAGGTTTGATTTTCTCCCAAGTCTTGTCTCAATAAAACACTTGATCTAAGTATTGAGTATGCCATTGTCAACGCCAAATCAGGCAACAGAATGAATTATACTTGTTGAATACTAATTCATTGACATCAATTTAACTCACCTGATGAAATTAGACAGAGGCTAATAACGATGACGTCGAGACAATATTCCATCCTCGCCATGATATAACATTACATGAAACTATTTACAACCCGTCACCTGACGAATAATATTTATGTCATCCCCACTTTGACACACCTGGCCTAGTTTCACACCTGACCGGTAGATGTCTCTCGTTCCACTTCCGCCCTCGTTTATATGGTCTCTGCTGGAAAGTGTAAAGACAGTTCAATGTTCAAAACCGCGAAATAACAGAAACAGCAATTGAACCAAATAAAATGTCGTTAAATTGTGATCCAATTGATAATCAGACTAGGATGTACGTGGGTATTTCATTTATACGAATGTATATTTGGGTGTTTCTTTTCGCCTACTTGGATCTTTATGCATTGAATGATCAGCAAAGACGGCATGAAAGAGTATGGATAACGGATTACATATAATTTTTTATAAATTATTTATTAATGTTTGGGAGCTCAATGTTTTTTTCCCCAATGAACTTTATTCTTTGGACAGATATAAAATGGCTACTAGGAGCAGAAACAACAGCCATGTGTTTTGCTACAAACACACACGAGAGGTGACATGTGTTTCATTGCTTGACAATGCTGCCATTGTACCCTTTTCTATTAATGCATGTAAAACGACAAGAAAGTTGAAAATAACGCGTAGAACATCAAACTGAGATTAAAAATCATCACCAAAGTAGCATTATTGATTCTAAACTATTTATATCAACAGTCGAAAGAATATATATTGTACAACTTATATATATAGTTTTTTTCTGGGGCAGTGTGGTAGCCTAGTGGTTAAAGCGTCACGCCGAAGACCCGGGTTCGATTCCCCACATAATGTGTGAAGCCCATTTCTGGTGTCCCCCGCCGTGACATTGCTGGAATATTACTAAAAGCTCACTCACTCACTCACTCACTATATATTTTTCTTCACTAAAAATACTTTTATTCATGTTCGTATCAATGAACGTTACAAAGTATTGATGTAAATGGTTTTAAACGATTACCTCACTTGGAGGCTGCTAACCAGAGTACCGCCACCGGGGGGTCAGTAGGTAAATCGACCCGTGAAGACCCGGGGTAGAATAGGTCTTCAGCAACCCATGCTTGCCGTAAAAGGCGACTATGCTTGTCGTAAGGCGACTAACGGGATCGGGTGGTCAGGCTCGCTGACTTGATTGATACATGTCCTGGTATCCCAATCGCGTGGATCGATGCTCATGATATCAATCACTGGATCGTCTGGTCCAGACTCCATTATTTACAGGCCGTCGTCATATAGCTGTAACGTTGCTGAGTGCGGCGTTAAACAAACAACAAACAAACAAACAAACAAACAAAAACAGTAGGTAAATCAGTTAACATGTGCTGATATTGGTCAACCAAGGTTAACTTGGTTAATTTGTGGTGACACACTGTGTGAGGTGTATGATATTAGGAAAATTTAGGAGCTGATCGAGTTGATCCGATGGCAATGCACATGAAATACACACAATTAGATAGAAATAGTTTATTCAGTATTGTAAATATCATAATCTAAATATCATTTCCAATACATGTGTCAAAAGGCGGTACATTTATCATTCTATTGATCTCTGTAAATCAGCTGTTTCAGGAAATATTACATGTCGTTGAAGGGGAATAGTATTTGATTGTGTATGACGTCATAATGTATCATAGCGACGTCGTCATTGTTCAAGCAAGAGAAGTCAGAGCGGCGCGTGTTTTAAAAACTCCTCATCATTTAGACCGTGACGAAGATTGTTGCAGCAAAGGTAGGTTTTGATGCTCTCAATCCGACAATGCATCTCTAATGGTGAACACCGAAGTGTTTAACCTGCCAAAAAATCGAGTATAAACTCACTGGGGTAAGCTCACTGAATAACGTGGAGTTGGTTGGAACATACACGGAGATCACGAGCTACGTGTGACCACGTGACAGCCCCGATCAACTTCTGACCAAGAAATTGAAAGTCACTCATACAACCAACATCAAAATATTATAACTGAACATCGAAGTATTCAATGTCCATAATATTGTTTGCTGTGACCGGGGTAATAATAGTGTAGCGCTATGAGCATCCACTCGGTGAATGGAATCTGGTGCATTATAAATAATAATAATAATAATAATAATAATAATAATAATAATAATAATAATAATAATAACAACAACAACAACCAGAACCACAACAACAACACATAATATTATTACCCACATAATAATAATAATAATAATAATAATAATAATAATAATAATAATAATAATAATAATATTATTACTATCATCATCATCATCATCATCATCATCATTATTATTATTATTATTATTATTATTATTATTATTATTATCATCATTATATTACTGGTGATAGGCAAGTTAATCGTACACATAAAGTCACAATTTACCAAATCTGCCACTCAAGAATATTCATAATGAAACGAAAAGACCATGCCGCAAAAACAACACCATTTCTTATTCTTAAAATCGAAGATCTTGTTTCACTGTTCTGAAAGTTTATCTTTGAAATTAAAACCAAACCATAATTTTGTTGTTAACATATTAAACCTTACGTGTTAATCACATAAATTCAGAGCGACTTTGGGAAATTCTTTCCAGGGAAAAATGTCCCTGGTATTAATCGACCTTGAGATGGAAAGCGACCACCCTGATATTGGAAGAACCAGTAAGAAGACACAAGAGTCACCTAAAGGGTTCAAGGCCATGTCTGATGACCTTGAAATAGTCAGCCTTGACCTTGATACAGCCAAGGCTGAGAATAAAGACCAAACTGGAGACCAAGTATATGGTAATTTGTATTAATTGTTTTAACCATTGTTCCTCAGTTGTAGCTATGTAATCTCAAGGATTAAAGGACTATCAAACCCACATATATTTCTGTGTGATATTATGACTCAAATGATTGTTTTACCACAAGAAGCACACGAAAGAAATACTTGTTAACTCTTAATTTTCCTGTAGGTGCTGACGACACTAAATTGACAGAACATACTCGAAAGGAGAAGGCTAAAAGCAAGAAGACAAAGGATGTAAAGGAGGCAAGGGATGCAAAGAAGAACGGGACCTCCCAGAAAAGACTCAAACCCAAGCAGAAGAACGTCGACACCAGGAAGAAACAAACAAATGAGAGAGACACGGAAGATACGGTTGAGATCACCAAGTGGGACACTCTCCGCCGCCTTGTGCATGTAAGGCCACAACAAACTGATTATGTGTTTTCGTAATCGCCGCTTCCCTTCTGAGAAAATACTTTGTTCGGGTGGTGAATGTATTATCAGACTGAAATGAGTGAGTGAATATGGTTTTAAGCCGCGTTTAGCAATATTCCAGCAATATACGGCGTGGGACACCAAAATGGGCTTCACACATTGTACCCATGTTGAGAATCGAACCCGGGTCTTCGGCGTGACGAGCGAACGCTTTAACCACTAGGCTACCCGACCGCCTCCAGACTGAAATGAACATATTTCGCTACAAATGTAACCCCTGTTAAGGCCACAAAACTACACGGACCAAAATGGCGTTTTATATAGGTAACTCATTGTTACACTACGGGGTATACGCACATAATAAATACATATATATAACCTATATAGTAATGTTTATTTGTGTTTATTTATAATTCCGCCGGCTTTTCACGTTTGACCGAGTTATAAACGTTATCATGGCCCTGGCGTTGGTTAAATGATATTAGTGTAGAATTTCTGTTCTATGATTTGTCATTGCTTCGTCCCCGTGTCTGTAATTCCATTATTTCAGGTAAATGATTACAGACTTGTATTTGTGGGATTCTTGGTAAGAGTTGAAATTATTCCAAGGAACACACTGTCTATTATGTCATTTCCGTGCAGGCGTTACGACTGCGGAGATCCGGCACGTCCTCATCTCAACTCAACAGGGACGACTTCGGTTACGACGATATCCGTTTTAATGGTAAGTTTTCCCGATATCAGGGCATTATATTCTTTGATGTGTAGTTTTACTTGAAGGCCTTGTTCGTAAAGTCAGCTGCACCCTGAACCATAATACGACAGTCTTCTTCACCTACAGTTTTTGTATTTCTTTATGGCGTCTGGATCCAAGATGAATATTCTGAGCGAACTTCTGTAGAGGTCAAATGTTCCAGTATACGCCCCTCAATACACCAACTCTACTGTTCAGTCCACATGTTCTAGTACGCCCCTCAATACACCACCTCTTCTGTTCAGTCCACATGTTCGAGTACGCCCCTCAATATACCAACTCTACTGTTCAGGCCACCTGTTCAATTAAGCCCCTCATTATACCACCTCTTCTGTTCAGGCCACATATTCAAGTACGCCCCTCAATATACCGACTCTACTGTTCAGTCCACCTATTCGAGAACGCCCCTTAATATACCATCTCTTCTGTTCAGTCCACATGTTCGAGTACGTCCCTAAATTCACCACCTCTTCTGTTCAGTCCACATGTTCGAGTACGTCCCTCAATATAACAACTCTATTGTTCAGTCCACATGTTCGAGTACGCCCCTCTATATACCACCTCTTCTGTTCAGTCCACATGTTCGAGTACGCCCCTATATACCACCTCTTCTGTTCAGTCCACATGTTCGAGTACGCCCCTCAATATACCACCTTTTCTGTTCAGTCCACATGTTCGAGTACGTCCCTCAATTTACCACCTCTTCTGTTCAGTCTACATGTTCGAGTACGTCCCTCAATTTACCACCTTTTCTGTTCAGTCCACATGTTCGAGTACGTCCCTCAATTTACCACCTCTTCTGTTCAGTCCACATGTTCGAGTACGTCCCTCAATATACCAACTCTACTGTTCAGTCCACATGTTCGAGTACGTCCCTCAATTTACCATCTCTACAGTTCAGGTCATCTGTTCAATTAAGCCCCCATCTCTACTGTTCAGTCCACATATTCAAGTACGCCCCTCAATATACAACCTCTTCTGTTCAGGTCACCTGTTCGAGTACGCCCCTCAGTATACCACCTCTTCTGTTCAGGCGACCTGTTTGAGTACGCCCCTTAATATACCACCTCTTCTGTTCAGTCCACATGTTCGTATAAGCCCCTCAATATACCACATCTTCTGTTCAGGTCACCTGTTCGAGTACGCCCCTCAATATACCACCTCTTCTGTTCAGTCCACATGTTCGATTAAGCCCCTCAATATACCACCTCTTCTGTTCAGGTCACCTGTTCGAGTACGCCCCTCAATATACCACCTCTTCTGTTCAGTCCACATGTTCGATTAAGCCCCTCAATATACCACATCTTCTGTTCAGGTCACCTGTTCGAGTACGCCCCTCAATATACCACCTCTTCTGTTCAGTCCACATGTTCGATTAAGCCCCTCAATATACCACCTCTTCTGTTCAGGTCACCTGTTCGAGTACGCCCCTCAATATACCACCTCTTCTGTTCAGTCCACATGTTCGATTAAGCCCCTCAATATACCACCTCTTCTGTTCAGGTCACCTGTTCGAGTACGCCCCTCAATATACCACCTCTTCTGTTCAGTCCACACGTTCGAGTACGCCCCTCAATATACCACCTCTTCTGTTCAGGTCACCTGTTCGAGTACGCCCCTCATCCCCCGATCGTCCCCCAGGTTGACGTCCCCCGTCTCCGTCTGGGACCTACACTGAAAGAGAGACTCTACAACATCGCCGACCGCCTCCTCCGATGTGGATCAGTCAGACACCACAATCAATACACGTTGTAGTAGATTCGCTCCACGTCTTCTCCTTGTTGCCCCCAGTACCGCGTGCATGTCGTAAGAGGCGACTAAAAAGAGGATTGAGTGGTCACAGTGGGTGACCTGGTTGATTGAATGTCACCGTGCCCCAGTAGCGTGGAGCCATGTTCATGCTATCAACCACTGGTTTATCTGACCCAGACTAAATATTTGCAGGCAGACGCGATACAAATGGAATATTTTAGACTGCGGCGTGAAACAGCATTCACTCATCCATATTGTAACTGTATAGTTTGGGTGTTTTTGAAGTCGTGTTGGGAGGTATGAATTGTGTAAGTCTAGGCATCAGTGAAATAAGGAAGAAAGGGTAACTGTAATTTGTTATAGCGTCTGTCACATGTGTCAGTGAAAGTTTAGGTGTTTATGCACACGCGCGCACGCGCGCACACACACACACACACTCATACACTCTAATGAACGTTGATTTAGAAGATTTGTCTTGTTTTATCACAGTTTGTATAGCTAAGCATTTAAATCAACCAATCCATGAATTGATAGATACTGTGATCGTTAACATGGTCATATAACGTGAAAAAATAATGTATATCACAAAACAGCAGGCGAAAATATGTTTTTTAAATGTATTGTGTTTATTTTCATCAATAAAAAATATTAAAAACTCCAAGTTGTATATTCTTTTGTATTGAGGCTATATCTCTCGCCCCAAAGGTTGTACAATGTTGCACGTCATAGAAAAACACTAAATGTATGCAGCATTCAGAAAAGTGAAGCCGTGCACGACCCCGATTATCCAGCCTTTTGTACATAGTATCTCTCTTCTATTTCGATAAAGACACTGGCCCCATTCGCCATCATATTCGCTTCGTATCGCATTGTTATCATATATATCAATCACTGGTTTGTCTGGTCCAGATAGGAAATTACAGTCCCTTAGACCATCGATTTGGTGTCCCAAATTTATCATTGTTTGTTTGTTCGTTGTATAACGCCACACTCAGCAATATTCTTGAGCTGTGAAGGCTGTCTGTACGGAAACCTTTTAGCGCCAATTTATTAAAAAAAAATTCTTGAAATTTCAAGATGTTCTGTTGAAATTTCAAGATACGTACTTAGTTGAAATTTCAAGATAATTATCTTAAAATTTCAAGATAATAAGTTAAAATTTTGAGATTATAAATTGAAATTTCAACTTTATATCTTGAAATTTCAAGATACTAAGGTGATTTTTCAAGATGCTATGTTGAAATTCCAAGATACTAAGGTGAAGTTTCAAGATACTAAGTTGAAATTCCAAGATACTAAGGTGAAATTTCAAGATACTAAGTTGAAATTTCAAGATGATGATCTTGACCCGCGGCACAACTGGTTGCAGGACGTTACGAGGGAGGTTTCCCTGGATGGTGACACGATCCAGCTTACAATCGTGTGACAGACTAACCCCAAACCATTACCGAACCTCCACCATACGACGTCGTAGGTGTAATGTTCCTGGGTGTGTAGGCCATATTTGTATGCCTCTAAATCCTCCATCGGCCATCCGTGACATGGAGCAGGAACTTGCCCTAATAGGACCAATGGACTCTTCGCCTAGTCCTCAGATTCCAAGCTCTCCTCCCAGTAAACATCCGGGTAGAATAGGTCTTCAGCAACCCATGCAAGGCGACATTGCTTGTTGTAAGAGGCAACAAACGGGATCGGGTTGTCGAGCTCACTGACTTGGTTGATGCATGTCATCGTTTCCCAATTGCCTGGATCGATGGAAATGACATCAATCACTGGATTGTCTGGTCCGGACTCGATTATTTACAGATCGCCGTCATATAGCTGGAATAATGCTACAAACAACAACCCACCAACCATACAAGGTCTCCGGGCCAAACACCATGCTGAACGAACTCCCCGATGATGCTCGAAAGGAAGGGTCCCTTGATTACCCTCATTGACTTCATTCCCACCGATTCCAGTCGTTTCTTCGAAGTTCTGGTTGACATCCGTCTATTGGGTAACCATTGGCGCTTCAGAACAGGAGCTGCTGCAAATGGTTGACGACGTACAAGCCGAAGCAGGGCCATGTCCCCAAGCCTTGACGTCACGCGAGGTCCTCCTGACCGTGGGAGATCCTGCACAGCATTGGTTTGCCGGTCTGCTGATTACGGTGGAGTAACCTAGTTGACGTCCTATGCTATTGTAGGTCATGCCTGACGAATGCATACCCAAAATACGCAATCTTAGCGCCTCTGATAACCTCCAAGCCATGTTCACAGATGATATTTCAACAGTGCAAGTCAGTGACGACCCACAATTGCATTGTACAGATACTACATTTTGAAAAAGATGCATGGGTGGCATGCTGCACGTGCATCTGGTGCGATGTGACTTCACAGGCGCCATTGTACTGTCCTTGCATTTCGATTGAACATCATTCTTGACAAATTCATCACGAAATTTGCAGTTGTTTCGAATGGGGATATATCAGTATTAATTATTTCCAGCGGTGCTTAACATTTTACTTTCGACCCGTGAAGATTCCGGGGTAGAATAGGTCTTCAGCAACCGATGCTTGCCGTAAAAGGTGACTCTGCTTGTCGTAAAAGGCAACTAACGGGATCGGGTGGTCAGGCTCACTGACTTGGTTGATGCATGTCATAGATCCCAATGGCGTGGATCGATGCTCATGATATTAATCACTGGATTGTCTGGTCCAGACTCGATTATTTACAGACCGCCGTCATATAGCTGGAATATTGCTGAGTGTGGCTTTAAACAACAAAGCACCGAACCAACCAACATTTTTCTTTCTGTATATATTAAGGCTCGACAGCAAGAAATAAAAACGCTTCACAATTATTTTTTTATTATTTAGGTTATTTAGGACTCAGTTTATGCATGCCATGGTATCCCAATTGCTATGGGTCCACTTATCTTAATATTTACATGACGATTCATATTTTATACTGAGGTCTAGTGGATAGATCGACTGACCGGAAGGTCGGTGGTTCGAGCCTCAGGCCGTGGCATACCAAAACATGTTAACAGATGGTACTTTTTGTACCCTGACTGGCGCTTGGCATTAACGAACAAGGACGGATCCAGCATTTTTGAAAGGGAGGGGTCCAAGATATCAAAATCCTTTCTCGGATAATTGTACTGCACAACATACATTTGGTTTTCATATTAATGGGCGGGAGAAGGATCCGGACTACCTGGACCCCGCCTATCACGAATGACGAACAAGTACTGGTCAGCTTGAAATCGGTATGTGGCTGAGTGGGGTAACCATGTTAAACTGCCGCATGGCATCCGAGTGGGCTGGCACTACGAACCCGTCAATAGTCCGGGCTAGGAGGACAAGCGCGCAGACACACATGCACGTCGCTTTATAAATAGTATTACGGCTCTGTTAGGGTGGGTGGGGGAACATGCGTAGATATTTTATGTCTGTTTCAGTAACTCTTTCATCCAGGATTTGTGTAGGCTCACATTAATTGGAAATGTTTATTCTCCAGATCAGGTCAAATGGGGACAGAATTACCGTTTTGGCTAGCACCTGGTGTCATCACTGATCAATTCCTATAATTTTCACCCATATTTGTGTACTTTTATGCCCAGTGGGATCTGTTTCAGCCATCTGGCTTTTCTCTTTTTTTTTATCTACTTCGCAAGATTATTTCACTGTTTACTTGTGTTTGTGTGGCTGATTGTACCAGTCCGGACTTGTGCTGGTATTATAGTACTCTCAGCTTGACAAGATGTGTACAGCCATGTGATTTGTCAGTCGGTTTGACTTCTTGAGCCTGCCTGCTTAACCCATGTTTCATGGGAGTGGATGGTCTGACATTTTCAGTACGTTCCGATAAAGTATAGGTATCTATTTTGCATAATTATGTTTTAATAAACTGATTGAACTTGTCCCTCCACAATATTGCATATTTTCTCAAAACCCATGATAACAATTGAGCTACACCTTTGTATTTCAAGCAGCTTTCAATAAATTGTTTGGCCTCCAGTTTCAGGAACTTGGAGAGGGCCATTCTGTTTGCAGGTTGTTTTGTTTCTGAAAGTGTATCCACACTTTAGTCACCTTGTGTTATACAGGTAGTAGAGTCAGTAAAGTAGATGAGCCATGCATACTATATATCAATGGGGATTTCAGGTACGAATATTAGTCCCCAGCAACCCAAGTTTGTCCAAAATGGTTTAAATATTTCCTGCTGCCATAAGGGTGGTTAGGCTCACCAGCATGTGTTATTGTATCCCAATTGCACGGATTGAACATTGATGATTGTGATGTCAATCACTGGATTGTCTGGTCCAGGCTTGATAATATACTGGTACACACTGCTGTCATATGGCTGGAGCACAGCCTATTGCAGCGTTAAGCAAACAAATGCTTAAGTCTGGACCAGTGAGTGAAAGTGAATAACAACCAAACACTAGGATATCAGTTTGTTTAATATTTCATAAAATTTCTGTACAAAAATAAGCTTTCCTTAGCAGAGAAACAAAACATCAGAATGAACTTAATTGCTCGTGCATTTCTGTAGAATTTCACATTAATTCATCCTCGATAATCCAGGGTATCATGAATACCCATGACCTATTCACTACCATAGCTTCGTTTTGAGCTCAATTTGAACGGCACTACTAAAAACACCAATCCAATCAAATAAATTGCTTGTTAAGTCAGAAATATAAGTGATGAGGCAGAACGGAACCCAAGCGCATTGCATGTGTGGGGTCATTATGAAGAATATCTACCCGCTGAAACAATGGATATAACACATGATTAATCAAGGATGAATTCAAGTTGGCCATTCTGATGTTGTGTTTTTCCACAAGGAGGAGAACAGAACACATGTTATAAGTTAACATTTATCCTCAGGACTTGGACAGTTCACACACTCAACATACAAACAGGAACAAAACAGGCCCCCTTCAAGCACTCTATTACGGGACGTCATGTGGTACAATTTGGTACTTGTGTTAACACATAAACCTATCATGAAGGATAGCTTGATAACACTTAAATAAATTTGAATTTCAACCCATAAAGTGTCCCCTGACTGAGATATAAAAATAATATGTACATCACTGATCAAATATTGTGAAGCAAGCATATTTTATATCACAAATTGATGGGAAAGATGCATCGAATTTGGTCACCATTCTGAAGCTGATTCCTTATCTTTAAGTCAGTTATCAACCATCCAATCATGAAATGTTGACTTGTATAACATAGTAAACTCATTCAACAAACAGATCACTGTAAAGTCTGACAAGCACCTTGACTCACTCAAACAGTATGTACACAGATTGCATCCTGTATCACAGTGTCCTAAGTGGTTACCGCACGAGTGGAATAACCTCATCAACAAGATAACAACAGATCTTAAAGCAAAACAAGAGTAATTTCGGAAAAAAACATTCAAGATATGATGGAAGGACTTGAGAAAAATGACAAACGTGCATGTTATTTAAGTAAATTTGTGCATAATTATTGGAAGATTCTCATCTATTTTTGAAGGTTAATTCATAAAAGATTGTATCCAATCTGTGCTGGAAATATTATTCCATACAAGAAAAGATGTGCCAGGGAGTTCCTGTGATGGCCAGTGCATCACTGGACTGTCCATGATGTTAAATATACAACACACCTTTTGATAAGGATGTTACATGGCGGTTGACGGAGAATAGTATTCCATATTGCCATGTAAGCAACTGATATAACAACACTGACATTTCATTTCTATTCATGTGTCTAAAATATCATAAATCATTACTGGTTTAAGTACAAATTGTAACCTCTTCTAGTTGGCTGGAATATTTTTGGCAGTATTTAATATTTGAAAGATCTACTTTTAATAGTTCATCAAGACTTTGGCCATTGTGTTTAATAATTAGGTGAAGTGTGGCACAGTCAGAGCAACAGCATTGTCCTCCTTTTGTTTATACGTCTCTCTTGAAGATGCCATCATTTCATCATCGAAAGTCAAGGGAGACGACTCCTTGCTGCAGGTAAAGGGAGGTAACTGGCACCAAACATGACTCAAGACTTTTGAACAAATAACCAGTTGTAGTATCTTGACCAGTACGGTGGCGGCAGTGTTTGTATTCCTTCGTTTCAATATTATCCTGTATGTTTACTGTTTAGAGAGGAGCCATGTTCAAGGAACAGCCTCCATCAGCTGTGGGAGTTGTCACAGGAAACAATAGAGCAGATGTCGGCACTTCATCCCACGCAGACAGGAGGAGAGTTGTGAGAAAGTGGATGTGCAGACACTCATTGTAGATATGTGGAGATGGAGGTGGGAGCTAGTTGCTCTTCATCTCATTGCGGATACACTGCCGGAAGGCTTCCCAGTTCCCCTGCGTGTGCATCAGATGAGACTGTTGAGTAGAAAAACAGGGATGAGTTTTACAATAGCTGCCTTTAAATAATCAAGTATGCGACTGGCAAACCACATCAAAATGAGGTGAGGTGAAATGGGGTTTAACACTGCATTCATTGATATAGTGATGTGTGTGTGGCTGTGTGTACTAGTCCAGACGGACCATAGAGCTGGCTATACCGAGATATGATGCAGTTTAACATGGATACCTGACTCAGACACGGTATACAGCTCTAGGACGACCTGTCCTTGTTTCAGCCCCTTTATGCCAAGTACCAAGCAGGGTAACAACAACTACCATCTTTTAACGTCCATCGGAATGATGCAGCAAGGAGATCGAACCACCGACCTTCCGCTCTATCCATGAAATCACGGAAGCGGCCCAATGAAACTGCGCATGTGCATCTGTCAAGCAGCAGTCATAAATATTCCAGCTGTATCCAAGTGGACAGTAAACGATCACGTCTAGGCCAGGCAAACTAATTACTGTAATTCTGGAAACATTTGTGCCATGAAATTAGTGCGAGTGGCTTATAGCTTTCCACAGGAACTCATTCCCGTGGAAAGCTATAATGTGGGAGGAAAGCCAGAAGTGATGCAGGACCAATAACAAGTTCCTGTGTAGCCTTCACTGCATCTGGACAGTTGCAACAGCCTGTTGACTGGATTACCCAAGATCAAAGCTATTTCTTTTTGTAAGAGTAGGAAGCAGTGTGGTGTAAAGTTGACAGTGTCAGTGATTCTTTAACTACAGATGCATGTGTTGTTGTAGTTAGCAAGGAGGTTGGAGTTGAGTGGTAACAATACTCATGGCCGGTGTATGTCTTGACTAGTCAGTGGTATGTAAGCAACTTGACAAGTAAGTGAGTTGGGTTTTACACCGCTTTTAAAAGTATTCCAGTTATATCACAGCGTGTCTGCTTAATGTGGGAGGAAAGCCCGAAGTGATGCAGGTCTCATGTTTTCCACTTCGGTGAAACCCACAAGCACAGGTATGGTGCTGACAAACCTAGAAACATAATCGAATCGGATTCGAATCCACAATCATAGGTTTCTGGCGTGCCAAAGGGGCGCAACTCTGGACAGCGAATCGTGGCGCCTAAGACGACTGGGCCACCTGTGCCCCCGCAACTTGACAAGATTTTGCAGGTAAATGAACTTTCTTGATTATACATTGTGTCACAATATGTAATTAAGGAAACCGGAATTGAGGTTATATTAATTCAATCATATACTGGCTGGTTTGACAATGAGTGGGAGTGAATAATGAAATATGTCTCCTTACGTCTTTGTTGGTCTGCAAATTGTGGATAATTGTCACCCTCAGTTTTTGCAAAACGTTTCAGATTTACATATGCAGATGAATTATTCGGGCTGTCCACTCTAATGGCAATATCACATCTTTAGTCCAGGAATGGATTTTACCAAATTTTGAACAGTATTTCAGTCATACCACTGTGTCAACAACATTTGAGTATTGATTGAAAATCATGCTTGAGCGTGCATTATTTCAACGTTTACTGAAACAAGCAAGATGGCGCTGTGTGATGTTCGTGTGGCTACTAGTGTGGCTACTGGTGTGGCTACTAGTGTGACTAGTTGTGAGGCTACTGGTGTGGCTACTTGCGTGGCTACTGGCATGGCTACTGGCATGGCTACTGGTGTGGCTACTGGTGTGGCTACTGGTGTGGCTACTAGTGTGGCTACTGGTGTGGCTACTGGTGTGGATACTAGTGTGGCTACTGGTGTGGCTAGTTGTGTGGCTACTGGTGTGGCTACTGGTCTGACTACTGGTCCGACTCTACTGACCCTTGAACCTCGGTGTAACCTGTCCTTCATGATGGAGATGAACTCCGGGGAGCTGAGGTGACCGTCACCGTCGGAATCAAAGATCTGGAACACAGTGTTGACAACGTCCTTGCCCAGCGTGAAGCCCGTACATACCCTCACTGCCCTCTGGAACTCATCTGAAACACACACGCCAATATGTGCTCAAACACCAATCATTAACCATGTACTCACCTACAAAGCCTCAGTAGGAAGAGCCAGAACCATGTAACAAATGCATTTAATTATTGAAAACAAATTATATTCAAGCTTAACAGCACTGTGCTTGCCATTCCTTTTAATCTCACATCAGTCTGTATATAATCAACTCTGGGTGTTGTGGATTTCACCAAATTGTCAAACATCCATCAAGCATGCATCTACAGGCCAAGAATCATAATGGAATGTGTCTGGGATTTCAACCAACGACCAGTAAACTAAGGGCTGCAACTCCGCAGTGTGAATAACATACCTTGGGAGACAGGCTGTTGGGCGTAGGTATACATCTTCATGGCGATCGAGAAATCATCCAGGTTGTTCAAGAACTGACAGAACTTCTTGAACTCTTGGAAAGTAATGCCCTGAAATGTCCAAAAAGTCTCAAAACAGCTGGCAATGCCAATCAGATTTAACGGCAAAACACAAAACTGATTAATCTCAATTTGGACATATGGGCCAAGAAAAGTTTCCCTGTCAAAGGCTGTGCAGTGCAATACTGAATGCGAATGTGTTTGCAAAGATAGCTCCTTGACTAACACTTAATCTCTTAAAAAAGTATACATTTGATGATTTTTATTGTTAAACTGTCTCTTGAAATAATAGAAATGAGCCCAGGGAAGTTCTTCAACAAACTGAAAAAAACTACACTAGCTAAAGTTTAGTAGACTTCAAAATGCTTGGGAATTTTTGTTTCAGTGCCTGTAGGGAGACAATAACCCCATTTTTATCCAGCATCTGACGGAGTTACCTTCTCTTGCTGAATCCTGTCCTTGACCCTGGCAATGCACTCGTCAATCTCTGTGCGGTCCAGCAGGGTGTAGCGGAGGAGGATGTGGGCGAAGTCCACCTCAGAGATCGTGTTCATGCCCTTGGAGAACTCGAGGAACTCCAGCTCAATCACCTCACTCTGCAGGTTCTCCATGAATCTGGTCAACACAAGATGACATGTTATAGAAGTATGTGACAAACTCACATTCTGTCCATGAACGCCCTGGCTCCCAACCCCTATGTGGCTGACATGGCCACAGATTAATCCGCAACATCCAGCAACATGTCTCCTGTAAAGTCCCATTCTGTTCTTAAATCCATGTATCGCAGAAGGGCCGATATGCCTGGGAGTTGACTCACAATTCTATACTACTCAAAAGAAGTTAAAGAACGCATGATTTTTATTTATATGACAGCAGTTAATCTGTCATGGCTGATGGGTGCTTCAACACACTGACTTCCAATTGTGAGTGTTCCTTAACTTGTTTTCAGTAGTATATTTTCACAGCACTCCTGTGCGTCTGGCTTACCTGTGAAAGTCGTCATACTTGAGGACGTCCTTTCCATACTTGCCAAAGAAGTGGATCATCAGAGACGTGTCCTGTATTCTCGTCTCCACTGCCTACACAACACAGACGACCAACATGTCACACGAGGCTCACAAAACAGCTTCAAGTGTGAACCAATCGCAACACTTGCTCCAGTAGGAAACTCAGACAGATATATGCTCATCTCTACAGTCGGACCAACAGAGCCAATAACAGTTCCCGTGTGTAACAGCAGAGTTGTCTCCCTTCAATGAAGGCCACACCTCAACTGGACAAGAGGTCAAGGGCAAAAAGAATATTTTTTCAAAATACCATTCCAACAAATATAACATATTGGCACCATATTAGAAAGATTTGCTCGCTTGGAAAAAAGGGTCATATTGTGTGGGGTTGATTTTTTCATTGTCAAATTGTGACGGCAGTCAAGGTGCTACCAGAGTTAATGACAGCCCTGTTAACTGTCAGAGATGAGCATATCCTCATGTTAACAATAAAACAAACAACACAAGCAGTTAAACCTGCCAACAGCTGCAGTTAAAGAGAATTAGTTTAGGTACACAAGTTGGTAATCTGATGTTAAGCTTTTAAAAGGTCAGGAAGTAAATCAAGACCATTAAAAATGAATAAACTCATGAAAACGCATCTCACCGTCACATATTGGTGACATCAATGTTCAAATGTTAGTAAAACAATGAATTGAACAGCCGCCCACTACACCAACTCTTAGTTCAACAACTAAGACAGTTAGGGTGATACATAGCATTTGTTAGGGTGATACATAGAATCGGACTCTATCGGTAAGTATGATAAAACTTAATAACACATATAATAGGAACCAATTCAATTGGTGTAAGTAAGATATAAGTATGTTACTTCATTAACATAGGTACTTATTCAGTTATCACACGTATAGATAATTAGATCATTATTGGGTGTAAGTAATAAATAAGTACTGTTATATAAATATATGGAAAAAAGAAATCTCACCATAATTTTATTTTATATGAAATGAGACACCTGATTTATCCAGCATGGACGTTGTGGGAAAAAGGGTGCATCGCAGGGCGAACAACGCCTAGGTAAAACATCTAGTGTCTAGAAGCTATTAAGAAGCACCAACACCGCACTGTGTATTCACTACCGTTGTGGTTAGTGTACTACATGTCTATAGGTGACCGGAACTGTCGGCGCCAACGCCGGCGTGACCTGTGGCTATGTGGTTAGCTATACTTACTGGAATCACTTTGGACAAAACCTAGCAGGAAGAAATGTACATGTGTCTAGGTAGTACCAGCTGTCTTTCTCTCAATGCAGCTACCGTCAATATTCTGATACTAGGACCACTTTCAAGGACAGAACATACGACCCCAGTATTATCGGATGCTGGATTTATATAGGAGCATCACCCACAGCCCAACGGTAGAAATCAACATTTTTAGTCCACTAGTCCTTATAATGATAACATAAAGCAAAACCCTTAAAAATGGCAAATATCTACTAGTCCTTATACCTTAACTATTGGGCAGATTGGAGAGGACTATAGGACTAATGCCAATTTCTAACCCTGCGGCCTTGTATGTAGCCCACAGAGGCTGGGATCAAAGCCTTTCACAGATGGTTCTTCATCTTAAGTGGAAGGGTAATGTGGAAACCAAGTAAGATAAGGTCAAACAAAACTTTCTTGTTTTCGATTTTGGAGAAATATTGATGTGATAAATGGAACTAATATTTATGTAATCAGACAAAGAAAATGTTTTGATCATAATATTGACGGCATATTGCTACTTTGATCAGTTCTTTGACATCTAATTCAAAATGAAGCTAATCTTCATCATGTTTAAAACATAATTCAAACTAAACTTATGAATAACATTGAGGAACATTCAGAATTCTACATAAATATTGCTAGAGAAATCAAACCTTACTTAAAATTACTATACAACATAATTGAAATCTACAGGTAAATAAGATCCTTGAAATGGCATACACTTGAATTTCATAATCCAGGCATACTGTATATGCCAAAATGTATTAAAAAAAGCCGACTAATACAAAAATATCAAACTTTTATCATACTGGAGGTATGTATGCAAAACAGCATGCATTACTATGTCAGAGTTTGTTAGACAGTGGCGCCACCTACTTCCATCTTCCTTCCCTCGCCATCCTCAGAGTCAGGCTGCTTGCTAAACACTCGCTCCAGCTGCAATAGTCGGGCAATATCACATGACCTGTCACACTCGGCACGTATATGGCATGTCTATTACATGTCAATTACATGTCAAAAATGCATAGCTGTCCATCACTTACCTGGTACACAGCTAGCGTATACCCCGTCAAGTATCATTGCACCTACACTGTGTGTTTCACACTGAAAATCCTATTTCTGTGGCAAATTCTGGTGTAGTTTTGTAGATCATGTCAAAAATATGATCAGGGGAGGGAAAATGTTGGTAAATATGAATCATGAAATTAGGACTTTTTTCGAGAATCTCACTCACTAATAAGCAACTAAATTTTTGTGTTTAAGTCAAATGCAAATTTTTGGCAAATTAGCGTTAAAGTTGAAAACACTTCAGGATATGCGACAATGTTCCTTTCAACTAACATTACACTTTATTGACTTCAAGAGAAACAGAAAAGTACATCTGTTGGTCAATACATGTCTCGAAAATAATATTTCAAATAAACTTCATACAACTTTTGTTCATACGTCCAATGTTTGAATTGACTTTGAACCTGATTGAGTCTCACAAAAAACAAAACAAACAACAACCGATACTTCATACGATTTTTTCAAGTTTTTCTTGTTTCTAAATTTTCTGAAGTCATTTAGTCTTCTATCCCTGAATGTTGTTTGAAATTTCATATTTGGAACATATTGTTAAGTTTAAATTTCGGGTAAGGTTAATTTTAACTTAACCCACAAGACTAACAGTGTGATTTCAAGGACACGGAAGTTACTTGTATGGTGTAGATGATACGCATAAAAAATATTAAAAGTGAAGTTTTAAAATCCCAGCCAGTGAACAAAATGAGTTAGTATTTTGCAATATCTTAAAAACTAAGTAAAAAGATATGTCCAAATATCCCACAATGTTACCATTATGCAGCCAATTATGTGTTAGATCGTCTCCATACACTGCTATCCAAAAGCTGGCCATTACATCCAATAATATTGCAAAATATGATAATGCATAGCTATAATGTGCAGCCCATTCTTACAAAACAGTATACCAAACCAAATGTAATAGCTGAAATCCAGTGTATTATTTCACGAACATGTTGTACAATATTCACTACAAAGGTCCTAATATGTATGCCTTCTTCAATGGCAGAAAACTAGGTGTGACAATCTGTGAGCAATTGATGCATGATTCTGACGGGTGTGTACCAGGGTAATAAATATTCAACATCTGATATCACAGGTTTCCATGCAAACTATATGGTCTCTGTCAGATCACTAATGATCAGCTAGTTCTCCAAGATATGCATTCATAACCACACGTTTCTGTCACATTCTTCATACTAACGACAGGTATTCCTGAAATCCAACATTCCAATGCTATAGTAGCTTGTCATAATTTCATAACTCTACACTCTGGCAATGGACGACTTACCTGTCACATATGACTTAACATGACAAATGGCCTAGAACTGTCAGTTGTCAAGGAAGCAATCAATGACATGATCGACACAATCGATGGATCAGTGACAAGTGACTGACCCAGTGATGACAGCAAGGAACAATCCATGTCAATCAACACGTGAAACATACATCGTCGAACATCGTTCAAATTCATCTAGACTGAGAAGTTGAAGAAATAGAACTCCTGCAGAAGGAGTTCCGGGCAGTTTTCTACCCATGCTGAAGCAGGTTGTAGAGAATACTCCTCAGTGAGAGCTTGTGATGCATACATGCCTAGCTGATAGAGGTGATATAAACATCGGAGGGTCATGGATAAAAACACCTAGCAGACTCATGGATATATGAATTGTAGCTGAGAGCAGCGATGTTGAACACCTAGCTGCGAGTTGTATATATATATATATATATATATATACATATATATATACACACCTGGATAAAAACACCTAGCAGACTAATGGATTTATGAATTGTAGCTGAGCAGCGATGTAGAACACCTAGCTGCGAGTTGTATATATATATGTATATACACACATGGATAAAAACACCTAGCAGACTCATGGATATATGAATTGTAGCTGAGAGCAGCGATGTAGAACACCTAGCTATGAGTTGTGTGTGTATATATATATATGTCCACTATCTGATAGTCATTGATATTAGTGTGCCTTGCTGCAACGACATACAGTGGTTCTTAATAAACACCCTGCTGAGAGTCATTGATAATTATCCCCAGCAGTCGTTAATACATACATCTGGCAGAGTTGTTGATATATACACCTATCAGAGAGTTGTTGATATATACACCTAGTAGAGAGTCGTGGATATATATACCTAGCAGATAGTCATTGATATATACACTTAGCAGAGAGTCGTGGATATATATACCTAGTAGAGAGTCGTGGATATATATACCTAGTAGAGAGTCATTGATATATAACCCCTAGCTCAGAGTCATTGACATATATACCTTTAGAAAAGTCATTGATATATACACCTATCAGAGAGTCATTGATATATACACCTAGCAGAGAGTCGATATATACACCTAGTAAAGAGTTTTTCACATATATATATATATACCTAGTAGAGAGTCGTTGATGTATACACCTAGCAAAGAGTCAATATATACACCTAGTAATGAGTCGTTGATATATACACCTAGTAATGAGTCGTTGATATATACACCTAGCAGAGAGTCATTGATATATATTCCTATAGAAAAGTTGTTGACATATAGACCTAGCGGAATCAATATATACCTAGCAAAGAGTTGTTATATAACCCCAAGCAGAGGGATCTTGACATAGATCTATACACCTATGATCTATACACCTATGTTGAGGGTCTCTGACATATACACCTAGTGGAGTGTCTGTATACACGGTATATATCTGTATACAGTCACACTCAGATGGTCTCCACGGTAAGCAGTTTCAGACATGCTGTTGGGTTATGGATTTGTTAATTCAGGGCCCACTTGCACAAAGCGATCTTAGCGCTAAGACTCTTGTAAGCCTATGTTTAAGTATGGGAGTTACGATCATCTTAGCGCTAAAATCGCTTTGTGCAAGTGGGCCCTGGTCAATTATAACACACAGATGTGTAGTGGGTCAATTAAACAGGAAACGCATCACTGTTAAGTGGTTAAGAACAAAACATAAACAAGCATTGCAGGCAACAGAACACACCAGGCAAAGGGTCTAGCAAAGACTGGCAAGCACTGCAAAGTCCCAGTCTAAATACCAAGCAACCAAACGTGTCACAACATGCAGCACACAATGCACATGCACATGCAGGGGGGGACGAGGGAGGAAGCAATGGGTCGGTACCGTGGGGAGAGGCGAAACTGATAAAGAGGTGATGATGCTATACTGGGTGACACTTTTTAACAAAAAAGTCTACATAAACCCTGACGCTGCAGGACTCTTGTCTAGCCCTGAGAGACGATGGTGAAGGAGATCTTGTTTAGCTCTGTACATCAAAGTCCAACAAGACTCATTAGAACTTTATATATATACAATTTCCTGGGTTTCATTTACTTATTACAGAAGGGATAATAACATCAAGGATCAATTATTATTGTGATTCATATATGCACACTTAATCATTCCTGTCTTCTTTTACATTAGGGAATTCACATTAAGAATATTAGTGGCTTGGAATAATTTTCCTTAATGAAGGTTTAGGACCCAGACCGTGATAAATGTGACCTAGATTGCGTGTTGTGATTCTGGGAACAGTAGTGACTAGGGAGACGTACAGCTAACATTGTCTGCAGTCTTTGTCTTTCCCGAGGTACAAACTTTCGCTCATGAGGGGGAAGAATGAAGAAAGATTCCAACTGAAAAGAAAGAGATGAAAGACATTGTGAAAAAAAAATACTGATACCTTCACCCTCCAAAGCCTCAGGGTCATACTGAAAAACAGGCTCGCATCCAACATAGCATTAATGAGCCATCAAAATCACTTACAAAAATATCCAAAAATTATAGAAAACACTGACCAAATATAACTACACACTTGACATGAATTTACCTTGGTCATATAAAATGAGATATAAAAATATTAAAAAGGACAAAACATTACAGTGAGACACTGTCAAGAATGTGATAAATCATTGTCGAATGTTGTCAGAGTGCAGTACAACACGGAACAGAGAAATGCCTCCTTGGAACGAAAGACACTTCAGACAGACAAAATCTTGGCACCATTTACATGCAGAGCTTGAACAGAAAATATATTCTATGTGATGGAGGAGAAACGGTAAGACATTCCCGGCACTACTGCCCCGGAGATGTATTCTGTACCATGACAGACTCTGATCATTGTAACCCATGCGTGATCTGTGCAGACTTGTGTGTCGGACAGTGTCCCGAACTGGTGCAACTAGACTGGGTCGTAGTCTCTGTATACGGGACAGTGTCCTGAACTGGTGCAACTAGACTGGGTCGTAGTCTCTGTATACTGGACAGTGTCCTGAACTGATGCAACTAGACTGGGTCGTAGTCTCTATACAGTCAAACCCTGCTAATCTGGACAGTCTTCTTCGAACAGATACTGTCTCAATTGCCAAATTTCCTGAAGAACGTAGAATGGAGTTATGTCCCTTTGTATCAAGATATAATGAATTTAATTCTTTAATTTCTTACATCTCACAATACAACAAAGGAGATTAATTTCATTGTTGTTATTTACGAATCGCTAAATGAAAAATAGCAAAATGAAAATAATATTAAAATGACTTTCCGGATAATTTTTAAACACCGACTCAAATGGTATAAAAAAGAAACAGAAACTGAAGTTAACATGCAATATCACTTTGTGTTGAAAAGAGGATTCATTGCGAAAATTGTAATTCAGAGCTAAGTGTTTACCGCAAAGTTTGAAGCGATGTTGATTTACAGCCCTCGGATATGACAAATCCTGTTCTGCAGTCGTTAAGCCATGAAAAATGGGCATAAATTCAGGAAATTAACCAATGTCATTTACATATAATATTTCGATATTTTCAACCACCATCATTGTAAGAGTGAGTGAGTGAGTGAGTTAAAGTTTAATGCTGCATCTATTATTGTAAGAACAAAACAAAGTTCAGTAAACCAACTAAAAAAATTAATTACCCCCCCCACACCCCAAATTAAATTAATTACCAAACAAGAAAATATTGTGTGAAAAGTGGGTTTTCCTGGCTAGAGTGTGGCTATTTGTATAAAACGCTGATCTAGTAAATAGTGTGTAGGTGGCTCTGCCCGGAGACAGCTAGCATGTACAAGTAGTATCATTGTATCAAGGAAGAACACTCCAACAGAGACTAGACCCAGTCTACCATGTTCCAGTTACATGTATACACAGACACGTTGTCCCTTTAGGTTTGGTGAGAACTCAATCAGGTGTAAACCGAGGACAAGTACCACATTGGGCGAGGGGCAGGCTTCAGTGTTTATGTAAAAGAAGGTATTATTCTGGTACAAGTTTATAAGCAGGGCTGAAATAAAACCTCAAAAACACTTGTTAAGGGGACAGAAACTCAGAGTGGTGGAGTCAAGCCTCGTGATGTATTCCTGAAGACCTGTCAACAAAAAATCTCAACATCTTAACCCGCAACTGAGAGATTGTCTCGTCCAGACTTGATTATTTACAAGCTGCTGTCATATTGAATATTGCCGAGTGCGGCGATAAACAACCAAAAAAACACTAGATGATGGCTCTGTCAGATGATGGTATCATGTGTCTTACAGTCTCTCTTCTAGAGGATTGGTGATTGTGGCTCGACAGTGTATTACAATTACAGAGTTATTCCCCTTGCATGTAGACATCAAGAGGACATATCACAAAACCTATGACAGCTTGATGTCTACTTACATGTATATCATAAGTTATCCCCCTTGCATGCAGATTCAAAAGACTATGCCACAGAATCATCATTACAAACTAACTGCAATACTTCCCATTGCATGTTGACTTCAACAGGACATATCACACAACCTAGGATACTGCTTGATGTATACTGCCATTGCTGTCAGAGTTATTCCCCTTGCATGTTGACTTCAACAGAAGAACATATCACACAACCTAGGATACTGCTTGATGTATACTGCCATAGCTGTCAGAGTTATTCCCCTTGCATGTAGACTTCAACAGAAGAACATATCACACAACCTAGGGTACTGCTTGATGTATACTGCCATCGCTGTTGGAGTTATTCCCCTTGCATCTAGACTTCAACAGAAGAACATATCACACAACCTAGGATACTGCTTGATGTATACTGCCATTGCTGTCAGAGTTATTCCCCTTGCATGTTGACTTCAACAGAAGAACATATCACACAACCTAGGATACTGCTTGATGTATACTGTCATCGCTGTTGGAGTTATTCCCCTTACATGTAGACTTCAACAGAAGAACATATCACACAACCTAGGATACTGCTTGATGTATACTGTCATCGCTGTTGGAGTTATTCCCCTTACATGTAGACTTCAACAGAAGAACATATCACACAACCTAGGGTACTGCTTGATGTATACTGTCATAGCTGTCAGAGTTATTCCCCTTGCATGTTGACTTCAACAGAAGAACATATCACACAACCTAGGATACTGCTTGATGTACACTGTCATAGCTGTCAGAGTTATTCCCCTTGCATCTAGACTTCAACAGAAGGACATATCACACAACCTAGGATACTGCTTGATGTATACTGTCATAGCTGTCAGAGTTATTCCCCTTGCATCTAGACTTCAACAGAAGGACATATCACACAACCTAGGATACTGCTTGATGTATACTGTCATAGCTGTCAGAGTTATTCCCCTTACATGTAGACTTCAACAGAAGTACATATCACACAACCTAGGATACTGCTTGATGTATACTGTCATAGCTGTCAGAGTTATTCCCCTTGCATGTTGACTTCAACAGAAGAACATATCACACAACCTAGGATACTGCTTGATGTACACTGTCATAGCTGTCAGAGTTATTCCCCTTGCATCTAGACTTCAACAGAAGAACATATCACACAACCTAGGATACTGCTTGATGTATACTGTCATAGCTGTCAGAGTTATTCCCCTTGCATCTAGACTTCAACAGAAGGACATATCACACAACCTAGGATACTGCTTGATGTATACTGTCATAGCTGTCAGAGTTATTCCCCTTACATGTAGACTTCAACAGAAGAACATATCACACAACCTAGGATACTGCTTGATGTATACTGTCATAGCTGTCGGAGTTATTCCCCTTGCATCTAGACTTCAACAGAAGGACATATCACACAACCTAGGATACTGCTTGATGTATACTGTCATAGCTGTCAGAGTTATTCCCCTTACATGTAGACTTCAACAGAAGAACATATCACACAACCTAGGATACTGCTTGATGTATACTGTCATAGCTGTCAGAGTTATTCCCCTTGCATCTAGACTTCAACAGAAGGACATATCACACAAACTAGGATACTGCTTGATGTATACTGTCATAGCTGTCAGAGTTATTCCCCTTGCATCTAGACTTCAACAGAAGAACATATCACACAACCTAGGGTACTGCTTGATGTATACTGTCATAGCTGTCGGAGTTATTCCCCTTACATGTAGACTTCAACAGAAGAACATATCACACAACCTAGGATACTGCTTGATGTATACTGTCATAGCTGTCGGAGTTATTCCCCTTACATGTAGACTTCAACAGAAGAACATATCACACAACCTAGGATACTGCTTGATGTATACTGTCATAGCTGTCAGAGTTATTCCCCTTGCATGTAGATTCAAACAAGAGATTATACCACAGAACCAATGATAATGCATGCTAACTGTTGGACGGATCAGAGTTATGCCCCTTTGAATGTACATTTGATTCAAACAAGAGATTATACCAGACACATTGATATTGCCTTCAGTAAACTTACATATTTCAGAGTTACTTCCCTTTGGTGACAGAATATACCACATACCCACTGATACTCCCCAATGATAACTGCAACACTGGTCCGACACACTTGAATCAGTGAACAATATGGGTTTAATGTTGCTTCTAGCATTATTTTTTAGTGTTACTAATGTAGCCGGTCGGTGGTGTTAACTCTGAGTTAGCCACATATTCAAGCACCATAAGTCTACCTCTACATTTGTATCTACATTTACTTCCTCCTCCATCATCATCATCATCATCATCATCATGGGGGGCACGGGTGGCCCAGTTGTCTAAGGCACCGCAATTCGCTGTGCAGAGTTGTGTCCCCTGGGCATGCCAGAAACCTATGATTGTGGGTTTGAATCCTGGTTCGTCCCGATTATGTTTCTAGGTTTGTCAGCACCATACCCGTGCTCGTGGGTTTCACCGAAGTGGTAAACGTCTGAAACCTGCATCACTTCGGGCTTTCCTCCCACATTAAGCTGACAGGCCTTGATATAACTGGAATACTGTTAAAAGCAGCGTTAAACCAAACTCACTCATCATCATCATCATCACTTCATGTTGTGTTCATTACATGTTGTCCTTGTCTGCAGTTGAATATCAGCCCACAACTGAAACACCCTTTGCAGTTTCTGATTTTTCAGCTTAACCTAGACATTTGACAAGGTAATCTCTTTGGTGATATGGACAAGGTGCCCGACTTCGGATCAGGTGATCCTTGGTTCACATCCCATCACATGGCTTGGAATTTTTAGGCTCGGTCACTTGGTTGATTGAGTGTCATCATACCACTTATAATACATAGTGCTCACAATATCGATCACTGGTTTGTCTGGTCCAGTCTCGATTATTGACAGGCCAATCGTCATATAGCTGAAATATTGCTGAGTGCATCATTAAGCAACA